ATTTTAAATTTTTTTATATATAATATAATTTATTATTTATTTTTATTTAATATAAATATAAATATTAAATTTAAAATAATTAATATTTTAAATAAATTATTATATTTTATTTATTATAATATATTTTTTTAATAAATTATATTTATTTATTTATAAAATAAATAATAATAATATATTATTATTATTATTATTATTATTATTATTATTATTATTATTTATTTTATTTTTTTATTTTTTATTATAATAAGTTTATTTTTATTAAAATTAATATTTTATTTATATTATATATATATATATTTATTTAATTAAATTAAATTATATTAATATTTTATTTTATTTTTTATATATTTTATATATAATTAATTTAATTTTTAATAATTAAAATAAATAATAAAACCTTTTATTTTAATACATGCCCTGGAATATAGCGCTTAAACCGCTGTCCCACGGTTGAATCCACGGTATTTTCCTACTTTACTCTGATTGGTTGCATCCTTGCTTACGTCAGCCCTGCTCTCCCACCTTCAATCCCACTCCTCCTAAGTCTGGTCCTTACAAATCAATAGCAGGTTAATCAGACTATAAATTCAAGACAGGTTCAATTAAACTAGAGGTTCAATACAACGTCAATTAGACTGTTGGTTCAACTGCTGTTCAATTGCAGTTCGATTAGACTGCAGGTTCAACTGTAGATCAACTGCATTCTAATCGCAGGTCAATCGCAGGTCAATTAGACTGTTGTTTCAACTGCAGTTCAATCCAGGTTCAACAGCTGTTCAATACAGGTTCAATTAGACTGCTGTTTCAACAGTCGTTCAATCCAGGTTCAATTAGTCAGCGGGTCAATTAGACGGCGGTTTCAACAGCTCTTCAATACAGGTTCAATTAGACTACAAGTTCAACAGCTGTTCAATCCAGGTTCAACTAGACTGTAGATTCAATCTAGGTTCAATACAGGTTCAATCCAGGTTCAATTAGTCAGCAGGTCCGTTGCAGTTCAATTAGACTACTGGATCAACTGTAGATCAACCGCAGTCCAATCAGACTACAGCTTCAACTGCAGATCAATCGCAGGTCAATTGCAGTTCAATACAGGTTCAATCAGACCTTGAATACAACTGCAAATCAATCGCAGGTCAATTAGACTATAAGTTCAATTGCAGTTCAATTGAATCGCAGGTCAATTGAACCGACAGTCAGGTTCAATACAGCTTCAACTGCAGTCTAATTGAATCGCAAGTCAATTGCAGGTCAATTAGACTACAGGTTCAACTGCAGTTCAATTAGACTTCAAGGTCAACTGCAAATCAAACAGCAAATCAATCGCAGGTCAATTAGAATACAGGTTCAATCCAGGTTCAATCGCAGTTCAATTGAAGCGCAGGTCAGGTTGAAGCGCCAGTCAGGTTGAATACAGCCTCAATCGCAGGTGCGGGGGGGGGGGCGCAGGGGTATGGCGGCACTAAATTGAATAAGTGGCTCTAATTGGGTGGCTTGCCAGCGTTTCCTTGTGGCTTGCCAGCATTTGCGACCGGGGTTGAGAATAAGGTTATTTTAGCAACGTTTCCTGCAGCCTTAGCGCGTGGCTTGACGACATTTAAGGTTTACTAGCCAATCAATAAGTGGGCCCCGAGGAAACGCTCATACAAAAATTTGAACTAATGGCGGGGGTTCAGGGAAACGTTCGATCTTTGGCTGTACACTGTATATTATAAAATTTAAAGTTTAAAAATAAATATTAATAAAAATATTTTTTAATTTAATAAATAAATAAGTTTTAAAAAAAAATATTAATTTTATAATTATATATATATAATTATTAAAAATTATTTTTTTTAATAAATTTTATTTTTTTTTATTTATTAATTTAATTTATTAATTAAAATTATAATTATTAAATAAAATAAAATAAAAAATTAATTAATTATTTATATTAAAAAAATTAATAATAAAAAATTATAAAAATATAATAAATTATATATAATATTTTTTTAAATAAATTAAAATTTTATATTTAATTTAATTATTTTAATTTAAAAATTAATTAATTATTAAGTTTTTAATTTAATTTATATTAAAAAATAAATTTAAAAATTAATTAAATAAATTTTTTAAATAAATTTTTTAAATATAATTTATACGTAAAATTTATTTTTTATTATTATTTTAAAAATTTAAATTTTATTTAAAATTTATTATTTACGAATAAATTATTTTAAAATTTATTTATATTATATTTAATTAATTATAAAACTTTAATAATTAATTTTAATTAATTAATAATTAAGTTTTTAAATTATTTTTTTTAATTTTATATTTAATTAACGGTTATATTATTTTAAAATTATCGATATTATATAATTTTAAAACCGGATTTTAAAGGATTATTACGATAAAAAATTTTTAATAAAAAATTTTATTAAAAATTTAAAAATTTAAATTTATAATATTTTTTCGTAAATTTAAAATATATCTTTTCGTAAATTTAAAATACAAGTTAATTAAACTGTAGTTTTAATACAGGTTTAATTAAACCTTAAATTAAATAATAAATCAATCGCAAGTTAATTAAATTATAAGTTTAATCCAGATTTAATCACAAGTCAAAGCATATCCCTCGTGAACTCGGGCACAACATTTTTATCCCTTTCAATCCTTTCTCCACCCAAGCTTATCATCGCCTGGACTCCGGCCCATTAATATCTTCGACGATGTAATATTCCGGCAGCCATTGGGCTGAATACAGTTAGGTTGTAACCAAATAATAATTCTTCCGCTATCACGAGTATATATAAGATGAACAAAAATTTATCTAAAAGGGATTTGTCCAAGACTTCGGCTTATATTCCTTCCACGCCACGTCGATCTTCTCGATCTTCTCAATGAGATCCTTCAGGCCCGTATCACCTTCTGCCGCCTGCTTGTCCGCCTGTCCCTTCATGAAATCGTTGATGTAAGCATCTTTCAGCTTGTGTAGGTGGTCGTCGATGTGTGTGACGGCCTTGGCGCTCGCGGTCGTGCACTTGTCGCGGATGAAGATGTCCCAACGGCCCTCGAGACCCAGCGGCTGCCACTGGCCGTACGCTTGGCCTTTGCTGTCTCGGCGCACCCAATTCGGTAGCTGATTCACGTCTAGCTCGAGGAACCGCGCCGCGATCCGTTCCTTCTGAGCCTTTAGTCGCTTCGCCACCGTGTCGTCCTGCAGGTACTTCATCGCTGTCATCACGTCCTTCAGGTTCTTGACCGCCCGGTGGCCCCCCCCCTCGTACTTCAACATCGTGTCGTCGTTTTGGATCGTCGGGTCCCTGCTGAACATCTGCCATGAGAGACAAAAGTTAATCAAGGCAAATAAAATCAATCGGCTTTTTTTCCCAATTTGTCGGGAGCTGGGGAAGGAGAATAACCTACCCGTTCCTTAGCGGTATTAACGCCGGAATCGAGGAGCACAAACTCGCTGAGGTATTTGTTGTCGTTCCCGGGAAGCACGGCGAGCACGTGGTTGACGGGATCGCGCTTCACGTTGTCGAGTGCGAAGCGCGAGGCCTCCGGGACGCCAACCCAGAGCGTCTTGACGGCCTGGCAGAAGGTTTGCGGGGGGCCGGCGCCGGGAGCGTAATTCGGGAGAGTCTGCCTTACGTCCTTGTTTACCTCGTCTATGAATTGGGCTACGAGCTGGAGCTCTAGTATGTGCTCGGTAGCCCAGTCGGTGTCGAGGCCGGTGGTAGGGTACTGCTGGTTGCCGTCGAAGCCGAAATCATTGCACTGACCGGGGTTGGTGTACCCGTACACACGTACGTCTTTCACTTTCTGTGTAGGCATGAAAGCGGGACCGTCAGTCTCTCCAATGCTCCACCATACAATCTCAAGATTCACTAGGGGTGGAACCTCTGTTGAGGATATGGTGAAATGTCACTTACCGTGTTGAGCGAACCACTCGTATCGTACGGAGGAGCTAGGAGCAAGACACCTGCCTTGGAAGTACTTGCACACGCCTTTACAGTCCGGCGGGAATCTGTAACTCGGCGGCTCCACTGATGCCAATGTTCGGCATCGGATGAATTGCCATATTCTACGAAGTAGCGTCGTCTCAGAGCGTTCGAGTACTGGTCGGGCTCCCAGCCTTTGATCTGCGAACAAGGGGCGTCGTCTCCTCCATTTTCGCTTTGGCTGCTCTCGGGGCAGAGCAAGGACTGAGCTCCGATTTTAATGACCGGCTCTACCGTGATCCTTTCTCGCTTGTCCAGAGCCTGTCGCTGTGAGAGGGGACCGAGTGCTTGGCTCGCGTTGGCTGAGACGTCGTCGGCATCTATTAATGCGGTGTGTAGCCTCACCGTGTCCCTCTTATCAGGGAGTCCGGCGCTAGGGTCCGGACACTCTTCCATCGGTATGATGGGCTTCATGCCTGAGCCCGGAAGGTTGAACCGCGGCAGGTTCCAGTTGAACACGGACGGTGCTTCGGCCTTTGCATACAAGTCTACTCCGATGTTGATCCCCCAAGTGAATGGACAGCTGCCATCCGTGGTGAAAGAAGAGTGGGCGGTGGCCTCGATCCAACCGTCAGCGACGACGGAGGCGAGCGCGTCGCCGTCAATGTTCCACCGCTCGTTGATCTTGATGCCGAACTCGATGGCGGCGATGGCGTGTAGCTTGGCGCGGCCGTCGGCCGTGATACCGGCATAGAACTCGGGCGCCTGTACTCCCTGGAAGTCGCCCGAGTTGCCGTAGTCGGCCTCGTCCGGCTCCGACGGCTTGAAATTGTCGTTGGCGGGCAACGTCTGCGAGAACTCCCACGAGGCTACATCCACGCGCGTCTCCATGACGGCCGAGACCACCAGCTGCGCCTCGACGCGCGCCTTCAGGTTCACTGCTGGCCCGATCTCGGCAATTCCTGGTATGTAGAAGGACGCACCCGGGAAGGGCACCCGCAGCATCGACTTCTCCTGGCTGTCGTAGTGCAGGTCCAAGTAGGCCTCGAGGCGGAAGATGGCCGTAATGTCGCCCTTGTTGCTGAAGGTGAGGTAGGACTGACTCAGATCGAACTTCTGGCCCGGCGCCGGCAGCTTGCAGACGAGGGTGAAACCGAAGCTGGACTCAACGCGCACGTCGGTCTCGGCTTGGGCCAGGAGGCGGCCGTCGTGCAGAGGGCACTGCCACGTCTCATCGATTATCTTTAGCAGGTATGTCTTGTCCAGGACGTGGCGGAACTCCCGCGAGATGGTCGGCGACAGCATCTCGCTCAGCCAGGCGATGATGCCGGACCCGAACCAGCGCGCGTGCAACTCGTCCCGCGACGCGAGCCCGAAGTGCGCGTCGTCGCGGTATTCCTCCTCTAGCCACCGGACGTGGTTGCCCTGGACGTCGTGCAAGGATCGCTTAGTTTTGCGCTTAGATGCCGCCGCCGACACGATCTCATCCCAATAGCCTACCTCATTGCTGAAGTCGATCCGCACCTGCGTGTCGCCGACGTCGCGCGGCACGCGGGTGAAGTCGTAGTCGAACGTGAGGTCGTAGACGACGGGGGTGTGGGCGAGGCTGCGGCGCAGCTGTCGCGGGAGGATCTGATGCGGCGAGGGAGTCATGCCGACGGCGACGGCGTACTTCCCGGGCCCGCAGTTCGGCGGCATCTGCAGGATAGTGCCCGGCACGCCGTGGCCGAGCTCGATCTTGTGGCAGTTGCTGTCCTCCGACACGTCCGTGCAAATCATCTTGACCGTCTGCGCCTCCTCCGCGTTGGTCGCGTTCTCGCAGTTTAGCAGCCAGTGCGACCCGTCGCGCTTGTCGAGCGACACCTGCAGCTCCTCAGGCGAAGCCATAACGACGAACTGGAATGCGGCGTCCGAGGGCTCGTTGTCGGGCGCCTTGGCGGTGCCGGTGCCCCACGTATCGTCGGTCTCCAGCTCGTAGTCCGTGTCTAGGTTGTCGCCCTCAGGCGGGTTCGGGAACAGCTTGTCCAGGGAGACGGGCAAGAATGGCGATTGTCCGTTGGCGGGGTCGCAACAGAACGCTCGAGATCTCTCGAGGCGAATGCCGCAGTCTTCACCCTCGCCGTAGGCGTTTGTTGTCAGTTGCACAGAATGGCCGACCGGGCAGTGGTTATCGAAGCAGCTCCCCGGCTCTCCGTACCAGGCGCAATTCTGCCAGTTGCTGATGTCTTTCTTGGGACAGCAGTAAAGCTTCAGAAGGTCTATGTTCGCCTCCTCTAAGGCCTCTTCGAGAACAAGACCGACCAAACCCAAGAAAGTCCCGGCGATATCGCTCAATCGCTGCAGGAAAGTTCCCGCGAACGTCTGTCATCGGCCAGGTTAGCTCGTTATGTTTGATACTTAAAAGGGACAAGGAAAACAGCGCACAATAGCTTCGTCATCTCCATTACAGCGTTGTCCCTCTCCGGTCCAGTAGCAGGTATTTTCCAGAGAAGTCTCGCAACAATAGGCCTTGTTCCCATCTTCGCAGTAATCCCCGTCGCCCCAGCGATTGAGCTCAACTGTAACTTCGTTCTCTTGGCAGTGGCCATTGCAAGACGGAGCACCGCCTCTCCACCTACAATGGTCCTTGCTAGGAGCGCCGTCGAGAGGACAGCAGAGCTCGCTGTCCTTCTCGGTGGAGTGGCGAGTGAAGAACTTGGCCCCGCCGCACGGCTGGGTCGTGACCTTGATGAAGCCCGCGTTGCAGTGGTCGCCGCAGTCGGTCACGTAGCAGTCGGGAACAGATACACCCTGTAAGAGATCGTGTTAAACCCAAGGACGCCAGATCTATTATACCTAAATATATAGTAGGGCGGAAGAAGAAGAGGAGGAGGAAGAAGGAAACTGACCTCCCATTGGTCCTTACTCTGGGCCTGCCTTTGGAATAATTTGAGATTGTTCTCGCCGACGACACCGCGAAGGGCCTCCAGGTCATCCGTATCTTGGTCAATGGCCCAGATCAGTAGACCACCCAGACCCTGGTCGTTAGCAAAGTCGATCTTCTGCTTAAATGTATCGGCGTCATCCTATGTGCATGGTCAGCCCATATTGTTCCAAGAACGTCTCAATGGCGATTGTCAAGATCGAGATTTCGAAAACTTCTGGCCATGGTAGACTTACGTACGAAACCCATTGGTCCTGGTTCCACGTGACGTACTTTACCGCATTCTCCTTGTCATAGTATGGCTTTAATTTGTTATTTTTAATGATATCCGTAATTTCACGATAAGTCAGTGTGCCGGATTTCTGGCTGCAAGGACCAGGCGAGGCACCGCCTTTGAACAGGCATCCCGGAGAGTGGCATGTAGGGTCAGAAAGTTGGAAACTTCTTCCGTAGAACCCTAGGCCCAGGTTGAGTTTCCCAGCCGAAACGTCGTTCCTCCAGAAAAGATCGAAAGCTAATTTGATCTCGGTGAGGTTTGTATGGGCGAGGGTTTGGTTGCCTATTGGGTTAGTCGAGTCCCAGATTCCGTGAAGGTCGTAACTCATGACGTTGACCCAATCCACATGGTTGATGGCCTCGAGGTCAAACCACCTCAAGTACCAGTAACTGGTGGGCACCGTGAACGAGACGACATACTTCTCGGGCTGTTGCTTGTTGACCTCATCTAACTCCTTAAGGAAAGTCACAAAGTTCTCACCGTCCTTCTCCTTACCACCCCGATCTAGTGCGCCAGGGTACTCCCAATCGAAATCGACACCGTCAAAGCCATATTTGCGCATGAACCCCATCAGGTTACCGATGAAAGTCTTGCGGTTCTCAGCACTACCCACCATGTCGCTGAATACCGATTGTGTGGCTCCGGGATCGTTGAAAGTCCACCCGCCAACAGCAACGACCGTTTTCAGTCCAGGGTTAGCAGACTTGATAGCGGTGAAATACTCAAACAGGTCTGGTTTGAGGTCGTCCATAGGGGCAATGAGGAAATTTCCGGGGGTGATGTAGGCGAAAGAGAAGTAAGCATGGGTCAAGGCGCCGACGGGGATATCTTTGAAGTTCATGTTTTGACATTCTCTATCATGGGCCCAAGCCTCGTAATAGCCGATGACGCGCTTTTGCACATCTCCGCCTGAAGAGCCCGAGCCTGGCTGGTCGCAGTTACTTTGACAACTGGTCTCTTCGTCATCGGTTTTCTTACAGAAGTCTCCTGTTGTACCGCAGAAACCAAATTGGGAGCAGCACTAGGAAGTACGTTAGACACTTATAGGTACGTTCCAGGTCATTGAATCATGCTTCTCTTGGACTCACCACTTTGAGGGGGCATTCCTTTCCAGGAGGATCTGAGTTCCGTCCACACTCGGCATGAGCGTCACAGTTTGACCAACAAACATCGTTCGGACTGGTACCAGTGGTACCGCAAGCCTTCTCGCCGTAGTTACAGAATCCCGTCGCCTTAGGACAACAGGCCCCTGCACTGGCGTCAGTCACCCATCATTTCGAACTGGGGAGTCGAGGAGGTGCGTACCATTCTTACAAGGCTTAGTTTCGGAACAAGAATAATCATCATCACCCGATGCCTGGCGGCTCATCAGGAGATCAGAACTTGAGGCTTCTACGAGGAAGCAAAGCCCCGGCTCATCTTCCCGACCTCTGATCTTGGCAGAGTAGTCGAAAGGTCTGTCTCGTCAGTACGACTTAAGGCCAATCATTGGGATGGCTTGTTGAGACTCACGATATGTGGGCTTGACAGACATCTCTGTCTTGGTAAACAGAAGTTGAAGCAGCATGATGCGGGCGACTGAATACTATGTGGCTCTGATACGCGATGCACACCAGTGCGGCGGACCTCAATGAAGCCTTCATCTTGCTGCCTAGGTCCTGAGTCCTTACGGAGCGAACGAAGAGTGCAACCAAGCATGTTTCACCTTTACCAAGTGCGTCTACACCAGGTGTTATAATCCGGTCTGACGAGAATATCCTGGAGCCTGCTTCTCGATGGTGTAGGGTTGTCAATACACGAAGGCTATCGTCAGGGGGGTATTCTAGGGCGCCACCAGAAGCCACCAACATCAAAGGATTCCCGCTCGCCCCTCGAGACGGACCTTACTGCAAAATTGAAATTAGACATACGCTAACTGAGGGTGTCACCACAGGTTTTTAATATCAAATGGTGCGCCATGTTATTTCCAAAGTGATATGATATGTCTTCACAATACAACCGAAAGCCAATATCCCTTATCCAGTGCATCTTATATTGGTAAGAGGGTGTGTTGCAGCCAGCACTCGGCACTGCCAAGTCACCGAACGCTCCATAAGGCATCCAATCAGGATCGACGGTGTTCGAGATGGCGGATGGTTCGTTGGGAGCTGTTAAATCGCCAACATTTTGGCGGTTTGGTGGCTTTGTTCATTCTGCCGGCTCTCGCCAGCTATTTACAATTCGTGCTATATAGTAGTTGTCACAGTAAAATAGATATCAGCACTATGGAAAGATATTTTTACGATGAGGAATCACACATGGAACTTTACCCCTGAGCTATTCCGGCATCCTGCAATATTTCGTATCTCCATCTCAAATTCCCCGCAAACTCATCCCTTTCACCAACGAGTGGTGCCAAATAAGTGAAGTATCCCCAATAACTGGGCTCTGTTTCCAACGACTGTGGCATATCCTAGCATTTGTTGTTCAGGGCTGTCGTGCACTCGAGATGTCGGAATTCGTAAGGCCGCTGTCCGTGGATCTACGCATGAACGTCTGGTCATTATGCTCTATAGCTTTACTTGCCCACGCGCAGGCAGCGTCCGCAATACAGATCTATACGCCAGAGACTCTGCCAACAGATCTCTCGTCGAGTTGTGCGGACGCTCTAACTGCTGATGTTGCTGCGTGCCCCCTCTTCGCCACCAAGCTACGATATGGCTTCTTTTATCCAGAGTCCAGGCTGAAGTCAACCTGCACCCCAGAATGCAGCACTGCACTTCAGACATACGAAGAGGGCGTGGTCTTGTCTTGCTCTAACGATACCTGGCTCGCATATGAAGACGACGAGGAAAACCTCCCAGTTACCTTCATCCCCAATGTGATGCGGTATCTGTACGAGCTAACTTGCATCCAAGACGATGGGAGGTTCTGCAATGTCATTGCCGGAATGAATGCGGCTATGGCAGATCCTGGTGGTATATATTTCCTCCTACCGGACTCAAGTCCTCTTTGATGTTTGAATAATAATCAGGACTTTGCTCGGACAGCTGGCGAATCGGGTTGGCTGGGCGACGTCGCGAATGGGACAGGTGCCCCGGAATGTGACTTGTGCTTTATCAAGAGCTTGCGGATGCAAGCTGGATCGCCGTACTACGACGGTCCCGAAGTTGCAAGCCAGTCGATCTATGAGTCTAAGACTTCCAGTTGCGGTATTGCTGACATGCCGCGAACAACGTGGGCCATGCCAACGACTGTGTATGTGAAACCAACCTTCGCGACGGCCAACCCTCTGGTATGATTATAAACACGATGACTCTCCTGCTTACAAGGTGCAGATCCGACCTACCTCAGCCAACTCCGCCTACGTGTGCAGGCAAGACATATCAAATTCAGCCCGGCGATGATTGTCATAGCATATCAACCTCTCAGGGGATTGCTACCTCGTGGCTCCTGTCAGATAATAATCTGGCATCGTTTTGTACAGATTTCCCGACCGAAGGGTCACTGTGCTTAATTAATACCTGTTCGGTTTATACCGTCAAGACCAATGATACCTGCAAGTCAGTTGCGAAAACTTCTAACATCACGGAAGCCCTTCTCATCAGTTGGAATCCTGTAAGTCTTTCTGCACTGACGTGCGACATACGAAAGAGTCTGATCATGATCGTAGGCACTCAGCTCGGGATGTGGAAATATAGGCCGCTATGCAGGAGATCAGCTGTGTATCAGCGTTCCGGGCACGCCCTACCAGGACCCGTCATCGACGGTGCTGGCGCCAACGACCGTGTCCACCCCTGTTCCCATTCCCACCGACGTCGCCCCGGGCGTCAACGAGAGATGCGGGCGCTACTACAAGGTGATGCCTGATGAGTATTGTAACCTCATTGTTTTGCACTTTGGCATCTCGCTAGGGGATTTCCGCTTCCTAAATCCCGACATCAATGATAACTGCACCAACCTGTTCGCGAACGAGAGTTACTGCGTCCTGCCGGTCGGGGACAGTGAGTTTTTCTTTTCCTCAACTTCTACAGCTAATCCACTCATGTACCACTCCGTGACTTTAATTATCCATCATGCTTACTCCCATATTCCTCTCGAAAGTAAACACCTATCCTGGCCGCCCGGGTGCGACTACTAAGCCCCCTACGACGACGAGGCCCTTCACGTCCATCCTCTCGCTCGACCCGACCACGTCCTCCCCGCCAATAGTGACGCCCACGGGGCTTCCCCTGGCACCTAACACGCGAGGGGACTGCTCGCGCTATTTCGACGGCACGCAGATGCTGAGCGCGAACATTACGGCGACGTCGTTCGCCAACGCGTGCGAGTTCGCCGCTGCTCTCTGGGCCGTCTCACTCGACGACCTCATGCTTTGGAACCCGGACCTGGGCGATCTCGCGAGCGGCGAGTGCAACATGGATCCCGAGCTACGGTATTGCGGCAAGAACCTCTTCGCCGATCCGCCTCCTGACCCCGTGGGTCCTGACTACGACCTCGAGATCAGGGTTGGTTACTTTGCTTCGTATATCAGATGCCGTTCGAGAATATCATGCTAACTTCACATGATTACAGGACGGCGCGATCGCAGACTGCACACAATACGGGGACGCGTATCCGGACTGGGACTGGTAAGGAATCGCTCCTCTACGCTATGCCCCTTGGATTAAATGACTACCTTATATACTGACCACTGTATCAGTAACGATATCCTAGCAAATTATGAATTAACTATCGCGCAATTCTTCGAATACAATCCGGAAGTAGGAGAGGATTGCGGCAATCTGTGGCCGGGTGAGCCAACAACCATTCCTCTTCCTCCCCCTCTCCTCCCAATTTTCTCATCGATGCGTCTTGCATCATCCGCACCCTTGCCAATTACCACACGTGCTAACTCGCGCTCTCTCTCCCTCGCGCAGGTTACGCCTACTGCATCCGCGCAGGCGACTACGTCGCCCCAACCCCGACGTCCAGCCCACCGCCGACGACTCCGACCGGACCCCCCGCGGAGACGCACTCGGGGCAGCCGGCCAACTGCAACCAGTGGCACGTAGTAGAAGACGGGGACGGGTGCGACACGATCGAGGCAGAGTACGGGCTGACGCCGGACCAGTTCTTCGGGTGGAACCCGGCTGTGAGCCGGGACTGTCTGACCAATTTCTGGCTGGGCTACGCGTACTGCGTCGGCGTGTCGTCTTCGCCACCGACCACCACTACCCCGACGAGGACGACTTCTTCGCCGACGCCGACACCGACGACCGCCCCCGCCGTGCCGTCGCCCGTGCAGGACGGCAATGCCGTCGAGAACTGCAACGCGTACGCGCAGGCGCAGGACGAAGACTGGTGCGCGGCCTTCGCCGAGCGCAACGACGTGCGGGAGGTGGACCTGTACGCCTGGAACACGGTTCTTGGCGACAACGGGGAGAACTGCGGCAGTAGTCTCTGGGGCGGATATTGGTATTGTATTGGTATCGCGGCGGCGAGGAAGAAGATGTCTTGATGATATTGGTGATAGTCTGAGCCGCGAGGGCCTATGGGACTGGTCTGACCTGGTAATAGGGATTGGCATATTCATGCTAAGTTAGTAGATACCTGCAACTTCCTAGCTGTGACCATGTACCCCTTATCCACAGAAGCCCTCTCTTATCCCATATAGGACTGGGATTTTTCAACTACCGATATAAAATTATTAAAATAAGTACCTATGATAAACCGAACTGTTGATATGAGAATATAGATAATACAAATTTCTCATTAAATTATTGGTATATTATATTATTAATAGCTTCACGCTGAATATAGTGTCCGGCCGGCCCGCCATAGTTACAGTGGGTTATAGCGTGCGCCTTTGGATTATGTTAGCTGGGTTGACGGCGGCGGTTTAGCTCATTTGGCGCACTGTCGGGGTTAGTAGTTCATTTTCTCCCGAATTCCGGCCTTTATCCGCAATTCTTATAATAAAATATACTCTTCTTATTAAAGTGTTTTAAATTCAATTTACAACCAGGAGCATTAAGGGGAGAGTTGGTAAGGTGCTTAGAAATTTGATAAGACGGCGGGGGAGGGGTGAGTGACTGAGTGGCAATTAAGAGAGTCCCTTGTTAATTCCGTCAGCTATCACTGTTCAGCATCTTCCATCTTACATCGTCAGCTCTCGTTTGATCAACCAATCTCGTCACTTCATCAGGATGAACAAGCTACCACTCGAACTATACGATCGCATCGTTCAATTCGTAGGTAGACGTATAGGTGAAGAATCCCTACCACCTTGGGAGCACGGCACTCTTCCCTTCGCGCTGCCAGCCATCGCGGCTGTGTCACGAAACTTTCAAGAGGCCGTCGAGCGACTCACCTTCCGCAATCTGAGAGTTTCCACCAGCCCCGAGGATCTAGATGTTTTCCGTCGCGCCTTGACGCCACGGCGTCAGCGTAACCTACGGCGTCTCGCCGTCCACCTCTCGATTGACCATCCGATGTCGCGCATAACTAGACCTTACCTAACCAGGAGATTCGCAACGAACCAGGACCGGAGGGTTGTCAATGAAGCAACAACGACTCAGTTGAGAGAATTGTTCAATATCCTCGCAGCGTGGCGTTTGCCGGGACCATCTTTGACTCTGGAGGTAACTGGCCCGCCGCTGTCTTACGAAACAAAAGATAATATATACACAACTTACCTCAGATTCTCCATGCTTGACGTCTCAGGCGACCTAGTAGATTTTCCGCCCTTGCCCATGGTCAAACAGTTATATGTGTACTCTATGTCGTGCCACCTGCACCCTCACTTGGCCGTATCTCTGACAGCTAAAATGCCAAACGTATCTCACGTGGACTGGGATCTATCGACCTGCCACACTATCAGTTTGGGTCTCTATCACTACTTGTCCCGGATCTGGCGAGACGGCCTTGTTCAGAGCATCGAATCGACAACCTTACCGTCGTCCGTCGAGAAGTTCAGCTTCAAGATGTTTGTGCCGGGAACTAGTAGATTCCAGATCTTGCCAAACTTCATCGGGTTGATTTCTTCTCCGGACTCTGTCAGTCTTGCCCTCCGCAAGCTAACGAAGGATTGCGCCGAGGTTTACATCGATGGCTCGATCCACGCCTCGCTCTTCGACCCGCCCGCCGTTCCGGGTACCGCTCCGCATGAAGCGGCGCCGGCCTGGGAAAAAGCCACGCGGCTGGAAGTGAGGGCAAGCATGTGCGGTCCGGACGGGAAGTGGCTTTTCAAGATCGATCCAAACAACGGGACTCCCGGGAACCCTCCCGAAGACCTCGATTTCGACCGTCTGCCTCCGGGCTACGGGACCACCGAGTCGGAGCTGGACGAGGCCGAGGAGTACTGCCTTGAGCACCTGGAGGACATTGCGCCCGAGACGATGGACGGGGGCGACCCGGACGACGGCGAGTTCTTCCGCACCGAAGCCGACGACGGGCCGATGAACGCGCTGCTGGCTGCCTTCGCGCGCGGGTGCGGGCGCGGGAACGCGCCCGCCCTGCGCTCCGCCACCCTCCAGTCCGAGTTCTTCAACATCGACAACTGGCCCTTCCAGGTCACCTGCTACGCCGCGGGCGCGGCGGCCCCGCTGAGGTGGGATGCCGAGTTCGCGGGCGGGGACCGCGACGCCTGGCGCGTCTTCTTCCACGTCGGCGACTGGCGGCCCGCCGAGGAAACGCTGGAGGAGTTCCGCCGGATAGGGCGCGAGCGCGGCGGCCGCGATACCGTCGTGTGCTTCTTGCCCTGGGGGAACTTTCTTGATTGATCAGGTTAGTCAAAATCAAGTGGTTACATACTGGTTCGGTACCCTACCGACGGCAGCAGTGGGAACTGATGAGCCGCATCCCCCGCCACCCCTATGGGCTGGGTAGATGGATAGGTATGGATGGAAGGTGGACCGAAGTCGTCTTCGTACTTCCCGGCCGCAACCTCTCCGACAGATGACGATAGACGGGGAACTCGGATATAAAATTAGAGGTGAATGCTGGATTGGGCATTATCGGGCTCCTGGGATTGGAGGCTGTTCGGCTGCTGAGGTCCTTATAAAAGGGGCCTATTCAGAAGGCCAGGAGGGCAGGCGGGTAGAGTATCGGACACCGAGGTTCAAAGGAAGAGAAAGAGGTACCGGCTCGCAAATGATTCAATGTTGTTACGCAAGAAAAGTTCTTCTCACGTGTGCCAAAGTAGGTAGATATAGATCAGCAGGTAAATCGAAAAGTGACAGAACCTACAGCATCGCGAGAGTTGGATCACGAAACATCATATGGTTATTACAACTAACAACAAATACCCCATGAGCTGAGAGAGCGGGTCATGGGGCTCGAGTACTCCGGTATCATCACGGGCGTAGGCACAGAGGCCCAAAAGCAGGGCTTCCACGTTGGCGACCGCGTCATGGCTCTTCTGCTAACCATTCGCAAGCCGCACGCGGATCTCCTGGCATGGCACCGTTACACATGCCGGAGGCTATGAGCTTCGAGGATGCGGCACCGCTACCAATGGTGTTCAGTACTGCTTACGTCGGTCTTGTCGATACAGCGCGATTCCGGAGGGGTCAAACTCTCCTGATCCACGCAGCTGCCGGGGGCGTCGGGCAGGCAACACTTATGCTGGCTAAGCACTCGGGCGCCGGAGAGATCTACGTCACCGTCGGCTCCCAAGAGAAGCGAGAGTTTATCAAACGTGAGTATGGTATCCCTGGTAAACACATTTTTAGCAATCGCAACGCATCATTTGCCATGGCCATCTTGTCGAAATTGGTAAGAAGGATCTCGAAGGCAACAGTCTACTCGATATGGAGGCATTCTCCCGTGTTGCATCAGACGGCTCTTTAGATATGATGACCCTCCTGAGACATCGTCGAAGCGATATACATCATATCCTCTCCGAAATCTCCCGGCCTGTTCAGGCGCAGGTGCTGGCGCCCGCCCGCCCTGTTATCGCGTACTCGATGTCAGACACTGCCAAAGCGTTCCGTCTTCTACAGACCGGCAATCATACGGGCAAGATTGTACTGTCAACTGGGCCTGGCGACGAGGTTGACGTTCTTCCATGTGTGGCTGCCACTACTCGGCTGAGGTCTGATGTGTCGTATCTACATGTGGGCGGCGCTGGTGGACTAGGACGCTCCATTGCCCACTGGCTCATCGACCACGGGGCTAAAAACTTGACGCTGTTATCACGTAGTGCTGAAAAGAGCAGTGGATTTGTAGCCGAGCTGTGAGAGGCTGGCTGCCGAACTATGGCCGTCAACTGCGACGTTTCGATTGCAGGACACCTCGCCAAGGCGCTTCCGCAGCTGCGAAGAAGAAGGACTGCCACCGGTTCGAGGTGTGATACAAGACGCCACGGTCCTTCGAGACTCCGTCTTCGAGCATATGAGTTTAGCCGATTGGCAGACGAGCGTTCAGCCGAAGCTTTACGGCACTCGAAACCTACACGTGCAGTGGTCCCAACCCGACTCACTCGACTTCATCATGCTTTTGTCCTTTTCGGGTATCCTTGGTGTCGTCGGCTAGACCAACTATACCGCAGACAACGCCTATCAGGACGCAATAGCGCACTGGCGCCAGGCTCGCGGGCTTCCCTGCGTATCGATCGACCTGGGCGCTGTAGCGGGTGTTGGGTATGTGGCTGAGACAGCAGATGCGGCCGATCTCCTGTGTATGACAAATGAGACCTTGATGGTAGTAGAGGCTGCCGTCCAGCAAGCGCTCCAAGCAGCCATCGCCCACCCGATGGATCACCCGCAGATCCTCCTAGGGCTTAATACGGGCCCTGCCCCGCAATGGAACCCGCAGGGCAAGTCGCAGATGTCTCGCGATGCGCGCTCTATGGCGTTGAAATACAGAGACCATTGTAGTCAAGGGTCTGGCTTGCAGAAGGATGCAAGCGCGGATGGGTCGAGGGAGCAGACTCTGTCGCATAAATCAGCGGGTGCAGAATCGCGCGACACTGCGGCAGAGCTCGTCAACGAAGCTATTGCTGCCAAGCTAGCGAGTATCTTCATGCTTCCCGCCAGCGATGTCGACTTAGCGCAGCCCCCAGCACAATGTGGTATCGACTCGCTTGTCGCCGTGGAGCTGCGTAATATGCTTATGTTGCAAGCTGCGGTCGAAGTTTCTTTTACTATCATGCAAAGCGTGTCATTGACAGTTTTGGCATTGGATGTAGTAATGAAAAGTAGGTAAGTATGTGCAACAATTATAAATTAGGCACTTGGATACCTATAGAAAGACAGATATTACCTCCTTTTCTATAGTAACGTTGAGTATCACGATGGGTTATTATATGTTCGTCGTGTTTGAGAAAAATTTAAAATCGGCGGCACATCTTACAGATTCTAAGTTGGCACAATACCTCGTGCCTTACACCTTAGAGGATTGCTGTATTGATATTGTAGAAGGGAAGGATTAAAATTTCCCTGTCATAATACACGATGGGCTGCAATACCCCTTTATTACGTAACCTAACAGTCCACACTCAGAACTGTTAACAAAGAGCCGGGTGTTGCATGTTTTAGTGTATTTGCTAAGTAAAGGAAAAATGTAATAGTCCAAAACGATGCAGAACAGTTCGTCATTAACCTCTTATAATATTTGTTTCCTAACCACTTTCCCAGTGTCACGACCTAATACGACCTTCCCGGAAGGATATAGGGGTCAAAGGTCACGTGATTGAAACAGTGAATCGTGACAGGAAGAGATTGGATTTAGCGATTCACTGGTCAGCGTAAGAGTAGAATGAATATAAGAAGGATGGATTTCCCACTGTATCTAGTTACTCGTTCTTCATGGGTATAAGACAGGTAAGCAAGTAATCAAACACTGGCGACAGAAAGGAGTAGTACCCATAAGTAAGGATAATACGATAATTAATAGAGGAATATCTAAAGATTACTTCCGTAAGATTATAAGGGGAAATCCTTTAAGTTATTCCTTTTGAAGTCCCAATTTTGAAATATATAGCCAACCTATAAGTCACACAGCCAATACTTTTTAACCTAGGCTCATTACGAAGTAATGAGCGAGATCTCGAAGCCCTATAAGACCAATTACCTTCTAAGGTAAGTGTTAATGAATTTTATCAGCTCTACTTCAAGGATTATCTTTAGGTATCGTTCATGGGCATCCTTTATTCCATTATCCGTTGAATTTTCCACTCCCTTGGACTGGTACTCCTCTGTAGCCTCTCGAGGTATTCGCCCCATCAACTATATCGAAGCTTCGCCGGAAAGCTATCCGATTTTAATTATTTTGGTCCCTCTTAATAGATTGGAAAGCATAAGCCTTTATAGTATATAAGCCCAGATTAAGCACCCCCATGATCCCTGCGTGTTGGGTTTTGTCAGAAACCTCCTCTGTGAGAGTTAATAGCCAGAGGTTTCGCCAGGGTTAGATAGTAGCCCCAAATGGTCGGGAGTTAGCTTATACGAGACCGCCCTGTTAGTAGTTGGCCTTTGGCTACAGACAAAGGAAGATCTATGTATGTATACCGCATCCCCTGGAAGGGAGTAGTCAGAGCTCTTCGCGCAACAACGTCGTTATTCCTTAGCCCTTTGGCTCCGCCTCATGACAAATTTTCGCTTTTTGTAAATAGTAACTTCAGCCGGTGTGGCCGAAAACTAGGAAACTGGAACTATGCCGGAGGCTCACCCTTGGCTCAGGTTAAAGTAGCAACAGCTCAGGGGGTTGAAGGTAACTCAGTTTTATTGACAACAATGGTAAATTCTCAGGGCGACTTTCGGGCGATGCATATATTTGTAGCAATATCATGTCTTCTTACCTAATCAACCTTTCCCCGTCAAGTTTAAACCGACATAAGTCTGATACCCTTTACTTTTACCCCTTTTTTATGAAATGAAAACAGTTATATAATGATAGTCATGACTTGGGTTAGATAATGCCTTTCTCGGATCAATTAATTGAATCTATTAACAATATAAAGGCTTGATTGTCCTTCCCCCTTACTTAGTATTTTGAATACTCAAGTTTTCCCTGCGTATCATGAACCACTCAAGGAAAAATCTTAACGAGAACGTTTGGGCCATCTAGGTCAATCATAAGTACCTCCTAACCAATCTATAGGGACGTGTTTAACTCAAGATGTGCGGCTTTTCCTCTGGAAAAGCTGCCCGAGGACGATTATTGTGGCACATAGGTAAATTATTTTCAACAGTTTCCGCGCCTGGGATGAACTTTGACATAGCTAATATCATACCCCATGGTAGTATGGATATCTAATAACTATTCCTAAACACGGCTGATAATGAATTTCTAAAATATAATGGTGAGGAATTCTCTCTGTTAAAGGCAATCATTGCTACCGCTGACGAATGACACCTCTGCAATGGCAGAGTCCAGGCTGACGAAATGAATAGGCTGCTACCTAATTCAGATTGCCATTATCAATCGTTCGTTCGAACATAGATAGACCATGATCTTGGTGTATGTTCCCTTTAAGCTGGTTTACGGTCCGTGATAAGATGCGGTCGCTTGATGCTGTCATGATGCTTCTCTAGCGACTAATCACCGTCAAACCGTTCCGGTTGAGGCTTAATAATGTCTGCTTCGCATGGTGCTAGTTGGATCGCATTGGCTCCTAATACGAATTATAGTTAAGACGTCATAATTATTAGAGAGGAGGATTCAACTTAGAATGAGTCTCTATATATACGTTGGCGTACTATTTACCTACGTAATGGCTTTTATCTAGCCGCGTGTCCCTTGGCTGGAATTAGATTCGCGTTGCGAAACTTGTTTGCTTATCTGGGCTGGATAATGGCTTGTGGGGTTCGTAGACACTAGGCGACTCAGAAATCCTAGCGACTAGGTGAAGGATAAGCATGATGAGGTGGAGGCAGCGAACGCGGGCGGTAATCATGCGTAGGAAGATGTATGGAATGTTAGCGGGGGTTATGTGATCGGATTTTGTCGCATGATTTGGGGATTCTTCCAAGATGGGGAAGTTAGTGAATAGATGTGTTCGGGATGAACGGTTGAAAAGAAGGAATTTGGAGAACCCGTTGCCCCTATCACGTAAAATTCATGGATGTACGAAGTATCGTTGGCCGACTTGGAGAGTGGCTAGCTTGATCAAACGAGACACTCCCTTGCGGCATTTTGTTATTGTACGGGGCTCGTCTTCCCACAATTCAGCGTCGGACCGGGTTTTCACGAAGCATTCTTAACGAGAGGATGTATTAGACGGAGGTGACGCCATCCAAGAAAAAAAAAGCATCTAGTGTTGATATGTTTATATGCGCATAGACATTTAGGTACATGTAAGTGATGTGTCGAATCGTAAGTTTCAGCGTTGCGAGTAATGCATTCGTAATGAGTTTTCAAAGCGCTGACTTGCCCGATCGCTGGATCGTAGGCCACCTGAACTTGGCAGACTTAGACCAGTGGCATCCTTCCGCGCGATGCGTAAATAAACGATGGCTTTTGGATCACCAGTCCCATTACTTGGTTGGGCTCATTTGCCGCATGTCCAGGTGACGGGAGGACAAACGGTGTCAGCCGGTGATACAGAAAGGTATCACTCCGTTGGTTGTTAGGCTGCTCTGCTGCTCTGGCTGTTTGGCTGCTTGGCTGCTGGACAAGGGGGGCTGAGCGCCCTCATTCCTCCTAGTTTCTTCCGTTTCTTCCCAATGCATTTATACCATTTGTAGATACCTATGAGACTCCCCTATCTCATTACCAATGTAGTTCGGTATTCCGGTATTGTGATATTGTGGTATTGTAGCATCGTAGAGATAGCCTTGTCCATGGAAAAGCACGGATAGGAGTGTCTAGACGCAAATGGAATAGCTTCAAATTTTATCGGAGTAATAAATAAAATATGGAATTCCAGTCCGGTCCACTGGGCGTGTACCTGGGTACCTGACTAGCCCCTTTTATTACTGGAAGGCGTGGTCTGCGTGGTCTAGCAGACATCTTGCCGTTGTATGTGGAAAGTATGAAACACGTGACATTTCGGACAATTTACTACCCAGGTGGTTCGTGCACCACCAAACCCAAGTTGGATTCTTTCGCGACGAGCTGGATGTTGAGCCATGACGGGAAGCGGGAAGGAGAGACAGAGCAGCCAGCCCTGGAAGCCGTTTTAAAAAAGATTGTACAGTTTAAGCTGCCCCAAATGATTACCACCAACGAACACAATGGCCGCCCCCGTAATTCATAATTTGGCCTTTCCATCATCGCACCCTCATCTTTGTTTTCCCATTCCCATCCCATGACATTTTAATGCAATCCAAACCATCATCCATCACCACCCAGCATCACCACCATCATCGTGTCATCGCTCTCGCATTTTCGGCCAAGTAGTCCAATCCGCAACCGAGTGCGAGAGAGTGCCAAGTCAGAATCACCACATCACCGCACCGCCATCACCGCCTCAGCCTGCACCGCACCACGCATCTCACAACTCATCCGCATCCGCACCGCCCGACTCAAGGGGGATTGGACTATCTCCGAAAGGGCAAATTGCAAATTGCAACTTGCGACTTGCAAATTGGCAGAGACGCCTCCTGCTCCTGGGCTGTCTGGACCCGTGGATAGGACTCACTTTTTGGGGTCGGATCTCGGTGGATCAGTCTTCACGCTTTGCCAGGTTGATGACTTGACCCAACCTAAACTAAATACAAAGTCTGCAAAGTGCACCATCCCACCAAGAAGGTTTTTTTCTTTCCCCCCAGAAAACAGAAAAGATCACACAACAATCTCACGCTTCCACCAACTCACCAACAAATCTTCCACTTTCTTCCATTTCTCACCACCAGTTTCATCATCACCAACAACAACATCGACACCAATACCAATACAAACATCAAAACCTGCACCACAATATCGACACTTGACCGTCGCGACTTTATTTCTACGAAGCCTCATTTTTATCGTCGCCATGCCTACCCCAAGCAAATCCTCCGCCTCCAACAAGGAGAAGGATCGACGAAAATCCACCGGCAAGACCACGGCTCTCGTCACTTTGCGCGTCCCGTCTCTCAAACTTCGCAAAATCCTCGACCCGTCGTCAATCAAGGAAGAGTCCCCCGTGAAAGAGTCCGATGCCACGTCGGCCACAGCTCCCATCGACCAAACACCAGCCGCGTTGAATGGCGACAATGCCTCCGCGTCGAGTCCTGGCACGCCGGCCCCTGCAGGAACGCCGTCGCAGGTGCCCATGGGACCTCCAACCGAGGCACCCAAGAAGAAGGGCGTAAAGAGAAGTGCCGCTGCTGCAAATGGATCTGACCCGACGGCGAAGATCAGAGGCAAGCCCGGCCCCAAGAAGAAGCCTAGATTGTAAGTTTATATCACTTCATCCCCATGAACCTTGTCTCCCCTTTCCACGATGCCATTGCCGATAAACCTCTTAACCCGCGTTAATTAATACTTATCTGATCACCTACTAATTAGGTCTACTAGGGAGGATGGCACCATCGATCCTAACGGGCGAGCTAACGGAGGCACTTATCACAAACTTGGACCGAAGGCAAACCAAGGCGCTATTAATGCCGGACTCCGCGCGCTCGATCGATCCGGTACGCCCTGCCGGAAGTGGAACCGAGGAGGCTTTAAGTTGAAGAGCTTTACTGGCGTTGTCTGGGAGATTCCTCGTTGGACCGCGCCACCCAAGCCCAAGCCTCAAGCCACTCCTGAGGAACCCGCCACTTCTGCCGAGAGCAGCAACAAGGAGAATAAGGAGGGCAGCCAGATGAAGAGCGAGAACAGCAACAGTCATGCTGATGGCGGCGAACAACGAAGCATCCCGCCCAGTATCAACGCTAGCTCTCCAGCTCCTACCCCTGTTGCCGCTGCCTCATAGGCGATACTACTTACTCTCTCGTTTCTTAAGAGAACCTGTCCTAAGGGCTACATTCTTCTGGCCCTATCGGTGGTCATTTGTATTTCATAGGGGTCTAGTATCGGGTTGAGAGAACAACAAAAAAAGCACGGCGTTGAGGGTTGCGTTGACGATGCCAACTGGGAGTTGATCATGAATCGCATTGCTCTTACCAAGAGATAATGAGGTACTTGCGTCGGACGTCGAATTACTTTCAGCGAAGAGGATACATTGGAGTCACTTCATTATTTGGCGTTAGGGATCGAAGGAGGGTTGTACATTACACATTGCATGCCGGCGTTACGGCCAAAATAGCGGGTGGCATGGATCGAACAGTCGACCATAAAGGAATACACGTGTGCTATATGGATCTTTTTTCTTGGGGCTCAGTTCTAATTTCTACCACTTTGTGCTGTATTATAATCGGTTTAGCGTCCTCGGGGACAGGTCGTTCATGGGTTTCCGGTTCACTTGTCTACAAATCCCCCCGTAGTGTCAATATACTCCAAGGGACTATTGAACATGACACGTTCAACATGATGGCTTCCTATTCTATCGGATGGCCCATTCATCATATATGAAACAGATTTTATACATGTAACATATCACCTTTCATTCATACACATTTTCTTGATATGCAGTACGGGCTGTCTTTTTTGAGCAATTATCTAGGTACAAATTTATTATCCAAATACATACCCATGATCTCAACCTCTTATTATTTCTACCCACCAGGTAGGTAACTTACTTTGATACGAAGATTGTGTAGTAGTCTTGGATTTCCCCTTTTCAATGCAGCCCCGGGTTCATCCGCAAAGTTACAAACATGTAACAAAAGGGACCATTAAATTGGCCCCTCGCCGCCAACTAGAAATGGGTACAATCTGCGCGAAAGATGCAATGTAAGGCAATCTTTGCATCATCTAGACTACCATGACATTCTCAGATGCTGACCACTTGAGAATCTATCTATTGATTATAGACTACAAATGCACGCGTATATGCAAATATCGTATTACTAGCTTCAAAGACATACATATGTATCGAGTCGAGTTGGGCATTGACCTTCGATATCGAAAACACGCGATTCTAGATACGTACCTAACTAGGTACTTTTAGGTGGTAGGGACTTGGCTGCTTGGAGGTAACTCCAGGTTTTAGCTCTACGAAACCGGCACTCATTGGATCCCACTGCTATCGATTGACATTTGATATCCCCACTTACCTACCTCCAAGTAACTTAGGTAACTACGTTCGACGTTATCGGGTCAAAGTCAAGCAACAACTTCCGTGACCTCGTGATTGCCCGATACCTACCTCTCTGCACCATTGACCTTTCCAGGTTCGATTTTCTCCGCAACAACAAATCATCTCTCGACCTACAACTCAACATCATAATTGATGCCCATTTCGGACACGCTCTCCTGCTCGGTGTCATTTAACGAAGCCGTTCCGTCGACTATTCCCCCCGAGTTTCGATCTTGCTCGGCAACTAACTTATACGCATAACCCGGGTACGGGATAAGCTGTAATTCAACGACTAACTCACATCCTTTCCATCGTCACCATCATTTCTCGGACTAAGGCGCCGTTCGCGAATCTTATCCGCCTTATCAAAAAATTCTATACATTGTAATCCTCTAGTTCTTGCTCCTGCGTCTCTTCCGTCGGCCTTACATCAATAAATCGGTGCTCCCAGGGCGACAAAGGGTACCCAGCGAGTTCCGGGTCTTCCTCCAATCCCTCTGGGATCCAGCCAAAACTTAGAGGTTGGCTATGGCCAATCCTTACCAACGAGACTCACCTGGATTGAACCCAGACGTTACTCACACGAGCTTCCTTCCACGATTTAGAAATTACTCGTACGCGTCCGGCATACCTGGAGCCAATGCAAGCTTTGCGCCTGCGTCGCATTCTCCGATCAACCGTCTCTCATACCTCCTCAATCCTTCATACGAACCGGCGTCCGACCTCTATGGAGCGAACCCGACTTCTCAACGTTATGTACAAAACATCGACACGGATATGAATAACGGTAGTGTGGACGGAGGGGTCCCGGCTCTGCAGAGTCGTGACCCGCAATTGCCGTCGTTTTCGAGAGCGTTTGAGAAGTTCACGCAATATGAAGCCGGGGAAGATGTGTGGACGAATGTGTACAAGAAAAACAGTTTCTTCACGCCATCGTACTTGACGGGTTCTAGTTACATACAGAAGTTGGAAGAGGCATACAAGGCGAAGCAAGCGCAGAGAGAGACCCAGCAACAATCAGTGAGTACCTTGCCGGCCGGTATCGCGACGACAGGTTCCCTAGCGAACAAGACGCCAGCATCTCATCTGGGAATGACGTACGACTTGATTGAACGAACACCTGCTATCGAGGACGACCATTCGATACCTCCTTTACCCAGTAGATGGAATAAAGATGACAAGCACGGTGCGTTGGAGGTTATAGCTGATGGTCAAGAAGTCAAGTATGCGGCGAGCCGCAATTCGAGAGAGCAGGATCACGAAACTTGCGCAATACGAGCCGATCACCCAATGCCATGGCAAGCCGGGATATATTATTTTGAGGTCACCCTTCTCTCAAGAAGACGAGATGAGTACGTGACCGACGATGACTCTGATTCAGACGAACCTAACCAGGACATGCCTAGAACTACCGTGTGTATCGGATTCTCGACCAAGAACGTGCCCTTGATGCGACCACCAGGTTGGGAGCCTGAGTCGTGGGGTTACCATGGCGACGATGGCGATGTCTACTCGGGACAGAACGTTGGAAAGCAATACGATGGCGGTTCTTTCGGTCCACAGGACACTATTGGATGTGGTGTTAATTTCCGAACCCGCGAGGCCTTCTTCACCAAGAACGGACAAGATTTTAGTATGTACTTCTACTATTTGCCAGCTTCATGCTTAATGTGGCTCGACTTAGTCCCCTCTCTAACCCCATGTACAGAAACCGCGTTCCGAGACATAAAGGGAGATCTTTATCCCACTATCGGTATGAAGAAGGCTGGAGAGCACATTCGTGTCAACTTTGGCCAAACAAGATTTGTGTTCGACATTGATCACATGGTGAAGGTAATCTCTATGCCAGGCCGGATTTCTGATAAGATATTATATTGGGCACGGCTAATACATATGGTTATATAGAGGGAACAAATGAAAATCAAGCAAGCCATAAAGAGAACAAGGTACAACAATCACTTAAAAACGTACTGTATGGAAGCTAATATTTGGAATTCAGCATCGAGAAGTTGGTATCGCCTCCTATGGGTGAGACGGAGCTCATTCAACAACTGGTAAGTCAATAGGTATTTTGCTGGCGACCTTGCGTCGGCGCTAATTGGGGCATTTCAGGTTCTACAGTTTTTACAGCACGATGGATATGTAGAGACAGCTCGGGCATTTGCCGAGGAGATTCATGCTGAGAAGCAAAATCTACAAATAGACCAACGAATACCGGTCCCAGGTATCAACATTAGAAATGACGAAGATGCCCATTGCAGACAACGTAAGTACGTTCAGTCATTTTAATTCGTCTCCTACTAACATGAACTAGGTATTCGGAGAGCCATTCTTGAAGGTGACATTGAGGAGGCTATCCAGTACACCAAACGCTATTATCCAGGTGTTTTAAAGGACAACGACGATGTATACTTCAAATTGAAGTGTCGGACCTTTATCGAAATGGTGCGGAAGTCCGCTGAACTCGGCAGCCCTAATGCCAAGAAGAGCAACGGTCATTCATTTGACGACATTCCTAACAAGATGGACGTCGACGAGAACGGCTTTTCAGATCAGATGGAGGAAGATGGTCTAGGATCTCAGATAGGGCAGGAGAGCCTTCTTACCAAGACCATAGAGTACGGACAAGCTCTACAAGAGGAATTCAGGAACGACTCGAGACCAGAAATTACCAAGACACTCAATGAGGTTTTCTCGCTTCTAGCCTATCCGAACCCACTCCAGGTAAAGGAGATTGCACCGTTACTTGATCGTAAGGGGAGGGTAGCTGTAGCTGAGGAACTAAACGCCGCCATCCTCTGTGAGTTTTATCATCTACCCCCATCGCAATGATACAAATGGACATGGCTAACAATTCTACTTAGCTTCTTTGGGCAAGTCATCTCGGTCGGCGTTAGAGAATGTATACGGACAAACGAGTGTGTTGCTAGATTACCTTCGCGAGGACGGCGGACCTGGGTCGCTCATCACTATACAATCTCTCATCGATGAGATACCAAAGTCGCAACCATTTTGATCAAAGGCGTAGGTGTCTAAAGACAAGCCTATTACGATGTCTGGGGTCTCCCAAGCCGTCAAAGTCTGCCTTAAGAGCTTAGAAATGGCGAGGGTTATTCCTCACTATCCTCCGCCTTGAGTTCATAAACAGCCATGTCAGAACCGGAGTTACTCGGCTTGTTGATTTCGATTTACCCGGTATACTCTTAGAGCTAGCTTAGCTGTTGTCCTGTTTACATATCGAGGCTCAGTGCTATCCGCCTATTGAGAACACCTCGGTCTACGTCTGCCATAGATCATTAATGAAGGGTCTTTGATGGAAGAATGCGCTGTCTTTTACTTTGTACATGTGGTCGTGAAATTCAACCCTCAACCAAACACTTCCCCTTGAGGGTAAAACTCTGCTCAGCACTAGATCACCTATTGTATTATCGGGCTAGGGATGGCGCCAGTGGTTGGTGGGAAGGCATGCTGATTCTGTTCCTTATGTCTTTTACATGGCGGGGTTGCTCTGTCCCTATGTACGCATTATTCAAGTCTACCTTTACTACCCGCTCTCCCCTTTTTTCTATATCGTGTCTCGCGAGAACTCCGCCACAGATTCCCGCCTCGAATTCCCAGACTCCTCTGCGCATCAAGGTATCAGACCCCCCATAAATTAGCAGTGAAATGGATTAGATAGGATAGATCAAGCCAGAAACCTTATAACCCCTCCCCTTAGAAGTATTATTAGTGCGACTACTAATAAGCCTAACCTAGTCTATCGGAGTTAAGGATAAGTGTACGGATCATTGATAAGAACTAAGAAAGGACAGGGAAGGAAACGGAACGGAAGTGCTGGATCGCTCATTCGATTCTACAATCATGATGGAAAACAATAGATGTAACTACTACCTTCGTACACGAGTAGAAGACTAACCACGCACAATTCGAAATATAAAAAAAGTCAAGGTTCAAAATCTAAATAGATACACACCTTCTGAGTAGTATAACCAGGAGAAAAGGGGGTGAATTTCCACAGCACGCCCAGGAGGATCTAGACCTAGACGCCGGAAGACGGGATTCCAAAACACGCATATGCGTAGAATACCAAAAACAAGAGCCAAAGCAACCCTTATATATCGATCGATCTAACGATATTTTTGCTTCTTTTCTGACTGCAAAACCTACCTAGGTATGCTCCGGTAAAATATGAGCACCTACCTCCAATGCAACCGCTATGCCCCCACGTTAGGTATTGCACCGTACCGTCACCGCCCACCGCCCACCATCGAACAAAGGAAGTCGAACAAAATTTGCATGGTTCACCGGCTAGGAGTCGCATCGCATCGAGATTTTTACTTCTTTCTTTCTATTATGAAGTAGTAACCTGATCTAATCTGGTCTCCTCTTCTTTGTCTCGTTGGGCTGTTCTGCCCTGCCCTGCCCAGCCAATCCGTTCTATCCGGAAAGCAAATAATCAAAAACCATCTGCATGCATGCATCCGTGACCGAGAATAGAAGAGGGAAAACAAATACATGCAATCGGGGCTGCAACCTCCAACTCCCACCCTCGTTATGCGCTGCGATCCAATGCTGCAGCGCATCGATTTCGCGAATCGTATCGTGCTGTGTCCTGCAACTGTAACCAACAACAAACCACTTCCCCTTACCGCCCTTTTGCACGCGAAAAAAATCATTCCGTGAAGTGACGGCGACAGCCACACATTAGGTCAATAGATATTAAACACAGTAGCCTCATCCGGTGTAAATAGCCCCCTCTACGCCCTGCTTCATGTCTTCATCTTCCGTGGAACTCATCCTCGTAAAATAAGCATTGGTGAACAAGTGCCTTGACCGTTTCCCCGGGTTATGCCGATGATAAGGTTCCCTCGCTAGGATTGTTCGCTGTAACGCCGATGTCGTAGTGGGGGAAGAAGGAGGGGTGAACCCGAAAACAAGCCTAACGTCATCATATCATCCATGACTCCAAAACGACGAAGGCCGAATCCGTAAAGGTGAACAAAGAGCAGCCCTAGAGCCATGATCCACCAACTAACCCATCGTGCGAAGGTATTGAGCGAAGCCAACAACTACAGGGATGGGAAGAAGGCGTCGAGTAGAACCTATACTGTAGCGCGAATGTAGACCTCATAAATAGAGAAAGCAGTCGAGTGCACACAAGGAGAGTGAGGAAGGTAGGTGTGAGATTACGAGATCGCTATGCCATCAAGATCTCGCATCAGCACAGCCATCTGGGCTCGCTTTGCAGCTTCGGCCACGAGGTTGAGGTCTCGGATGAAAGCATCTGTGCTTGGTGTCTTCTGTGTCGCCGGAGGAGGCTGCGCAAAACTTTGAGATGTCGAGGTACCAGTTGTCGTCGCAGATGAGAACTGGCTCTGAGACGTATTAGAGGAAGTGGTGGGAGCATCCATATTGCTGTAAAGTTTCGTAGGCGAAGGGAGTGCGGTATAATAGATAAGGCTTGACGACAGCGTCTGCTGCCTCGAGATCACTCTATGAAAGAAAAACTTGGGACTCGGAAGGATGAGTTCGTTTGCAACGCAAACACAAGGCTGGCGCGTATTTATGGTGCCTTCGGCAACCTGCAGATATGCGGAGGACTTGGAAAAGCGTACACAGATCGTGCGCCACTTGATCTCTCGGTCCTTTTATATTCTTGTGATAGCGGAGCACGAGATGGTGCGATGTCGTACGACAGGTGGATTTCCTGCTAACGTATAGAAAGAATGATGCTTGTAAGAGTTTGCGGCGAGAAGGACGAATATGTAAATTGTTGAGGGTGAACTTCTCTTGTGCGATGGTGTTTTGAGGGGAAAAAAGAGTAAAAAGGTTGCGAGGTTTTCGTGGGTTAGTGGTAGACCTTATTAAGGACTAGTCAGTTCACGACCACTGCACAGGTGGTCAGGCTGTCGATCAGGATGCGACGCAGGTTTGCCTTAGCTGCTTAAGGCGGTGACGAAATCTGCAGGAATGAAGGTTGTCAAGTATCGCAATTCCCTTTTGCAGGAGGTAAGCGGGTTAAGTTGGAGAAAGCGTCGATGATTGTCTTCCTTTTCTAATTCTTTTTGTTCTTCAGTTACCTAGTAACGGCAGAAAACGGAAAGGATAGTTAGTTGGCGCGTGGGGATTCTCTTAAGAGCAGCACTAGAACATCAATGATCCGAGGTATTTCAACAAGTGCCTAGCGTGCTAAGTTCAAGGTTGCTGGGTTGCTAGGTATCAAAATGGAGATATCGTGATTATTTGCTTTTTGTCGCCTGATAGCAATAACACGGGTGGAGGGCTGTTACTGTATCGACCCCCAATTCCGAGGTCAATAGATTTAAGACCAGGGGTCCTGACCCAGGCTTAATCTTGGCCGTAAGTGCGTGCAGATTGTCGACTAGGCTAGATCTGGATGAAGGGGTCAATATTGAGTAAACCATCAACCATCCAATATAGATAATAATCACCAAGACGGATGCTGCATATAGGGTCCAGCACAGCAGTCAGGCGAAATCCGATAGAAGTATTTTTGGGATGAAGGTGGTAAAAAAGTAAGTACATAGTAAGCAGATTGAATATATCTGGATGGTGTCTATCGTGACGAGGTATTCCGTGTGTCGGTAACGATTGTGACTCGGTGGAGGGACATGACTCGGCGATACTACACTAGTTGACTAGGTGCTGATGCTTAATTGTTTGCACCAAGCGGAGTCAATACATAGTATCGTGACCCAGGAAACGAGGATGACCTAGATGATTGACCTATTCGTGAACTTGAAGTTGAAGTTGAAATGAAGAAGACGGTAGGATCCACTCAGCCGTCAGATGTCAAATAATACTAGGTAGACTTCGTAAACTGCTGTTCATCGCAGTTACTATATACATCTTACCTAGCTACTTACTATACGGAGTTTTATCCCGGATCTTCTATATTACCTACATATAACCACATTCAGATGATTTCACTCGGTGAGCCAGCTCTTAACAACATCCCGCGCCAAAGGTGAACAATCCCACTAAGCCATCGTGGCGCAAAATACCACGCGCCAGTTAGATCTCGAATGCAACCCCGAAAATGGAACATTTTCAGGTCCCCAGGTCCCCAAGATTCGATCCCCCTCACTGATCTCAGATCCCGTTACTGAGAAGCTACATCATCGTACATCTCAAGGTTATTGGGCGGTAGAACACGTAGAACGTGTATTTGTTGATCTCGTTGACCATGTCCGGAAGCAGTAGAAGTCCATCTTCCGCGACGCTCCGCTCGAAAATAAGGTCTAAAAGTCTATGATGTATTCCGTGAGCGGCAGTCTGCTATATCTGACGTGCTGCAATATAGCCGTTGTTCAATTACCTCATATCAGCTAGCGTCTTCGGTAGTCTCATGAATTCGGATGAGCGGCTCGCGCACCGGCCAAGAACGATGAAGCGATGAAGCGGTTCAGTCCCGTAAAGCTCTAGTCCACCATTATCGCGTCCCCTCGGCTTCGTCGAGATATCTTTCCTCCGGTGGGTAACAGAACTGGAGTGTTCTAGCTCTCGTATTTCCCACGTATATCTCTTGGCGATAAGAGAAATCGACTTCACGAGACGTTTTCAAAGGGGTGCGAGTTCGGAAGAGGTTCGAACTTCACAAACCTCCGTCCCATATATCATATATGATAAGAGAACAATATGCATCGGGCATACAGCTCTTCGGATGGGATGATATGGAACGACCTCAGTTGATGCCCGACCTTGAAAAGTCGAAAGAAGTAACATTGAACTCGGTACGTGTTTCTTGCTCCACATTTTGACAGATTCGCATTCCAGGTAACCCCCCATTGATGCGCCCCCCACGGAGAAGAAAATAGAAATTCACCCCGCAATGCGCCCCAGACTTTTTTGGAGTTTGACTATGACAAAATTAGTCTATGATCTGCATTCTCACGTTCCTTGCTTCTAGGTACGTGAATCCTTCCATGCATTATCTGCATCGTGATTTCGTACCTGAGGTCGATGACCTAAGGTATAGACGGGATGTCGTGCTTTCAAGATGTAGGCTCGATGATTTTATCCAACATACCATCCCCTTTGAGGATCTCCGTAGGATGAGTTGTTATCGGACACCGTAGCTTGGAAAATTTCCATGGTTGCGTGGATGTGACGAAGACGAGGACCCTGAAAATGCCTGCAAACCCCCACAAAATGTCCGAAGCTAACGGAATCTATCGATGCTAGCCCCAAGTAACGCGAATATCTCGGAAAGCCGCTAAATCTTCGGTCGATGCTTAACGATAAGCTTCGAGCTCCGATAATTATTATCGATAAGGGATAAGGATGTCAACTTTTTGGGCTTCACTTCTAAACATGAGGGGCAACTGCGATCAGGAAGACAGCCTTTGAGCCTCGAAAGTCTTTGAAATACATAGTATTCGCATGTTTAGGTTATTATATGGGACATATGAAATAGGGAAAGGGCAGAAAAGATTCCATAAATTTCACCATGTCGCCAGATACACCCAATGCGACAACAAATCAGAAACCATCCAGGACGTCTGGCTGGTTAGCTATACCAGCTCCGCTTGCTCGATTATTCAAGAGGTTCCCTCTCCTCACATATCCTCCCAACGAGCTCCCGGCTCGTTCGCCCAGCGCAAGAGATGTAGCGACTCTGTATGTCTTCATATCAGATCGGGACGCCCTAAACGGCTTGCCAAGCTTCAACCCGAACTGTCTCAAGTGGCAGGTACGTCTCTCACCAACACGATAGCTTGTCTTTACATTCCATAGCTCACCGTCAGCGCAGACCTTCCTCAAAATGGCGGGAGTCGATTTCCGCATAATACCCTCAACCAACCACGCCTCGCCCACCGGCGCATTGCCATTCCTCCTGCCCCCATCCAGCCCAAAGCCCATACCCTCCAGCCAACTCGAACAGTACGCCGCTGAAAACGGCACGGCCAAGACCCCTGACGTCCCGACCCCGAAGCTGGAGGCATACGAAGCGCTCCTCGACGACCGGATACGCAACGCCTGGCTCTACGCGCTATACCTGTCGCGCGCGAACACGGCGCTGCTATCGCGCCTCTACATCACGCCCATTTCCACGTCGCCGATCGTGCGGACGACGACGCTGTACCACCTCCGGAGCGCGGCGGAAGCGGATATACTACGGTCGCTGGGTTCGCCAGTCGTAAGCGCGAGGGCATTGTACGAGGGCGCGAGAGACGCGTTCGAGGCCCTGTCCGCAATCCTGGGCGATGACGACTGGTTCTTCGGGACGATGCAGCCGGGGCTGTTCGACGCGAAGGTGTTTTCGTACACGCACCTGCTGCTCGACGAGAGGCTCGTGTGGGAGGATTGGACGCTGACGGAGATCGTGATGGAGTTCCCGAATCTGGTCGCGCATCGGGATAGGATATTAGAAAGTTGTTGGTGAAGGGGAGGGGGGCTGGGTGTATATATCGCAAGTGGAATATAAAACTTTCGATGAGATGGGACGTTAATTATAAGGTGAATTTACCCCCGGCGATAGGATGAGTGTTGATCTGATCCGATACGCGCATGAAGTCATGAGGCACATGCAATGAAGATAGATATTATACCCGTTTGGGCCCGTGTAGAAAAAAGCTATATACTTGAATGAAGGGTATTATATATCAATATACGCTCATGGACATCTCATAGTCCTCCAAGATACGTCCTTACAGCATCAATCTCCTCCCCTCCCGCTGCTACGGGAACGGAAACGAGACACAACACCAAAAAAAAAACTGTTAAAGGCCCAGCCCGAGGTATTATTTATCGGCTCCTGGCTACTGCGCCCCCGCTATTGGGTATTTCTTTGCCACTCCATTTCAGGCCCCAGGGATTCCATAGCACTGATAGTACTGTATTCTTTCTTCTTCTATTTTTTTCCTTTTTTTTTTTTTTTTTTTTTTTTTTGTAAATGGTAATCCTGAGAGTCGAACCCTGGACCACCCCATTTCAGGGGGGTCTTTTATGGGGGTAAGACGAGGTGTCTGAGGCACATAACCAACTAGACCATTGCCAGCAAGGCCGTTGATATGAATGCCGCCGATGGAAAATTGTGACTTTACTGTGCTATTTAAGCTTTGAGTCGGATGTGGATTGTCTGTTGCCCTGGGTTCCTTCCTTGTTTATCTCGTGGCTGGTCAATGCTCAACTATCAACAATACAGTGTATAAATCACCTCCGTGTAGTAAGAGTGACGGGTGCCTGAAGAACGTATAGAGCAGAAATATCACCATGCGCGGAATATATTAGTCAGGCTGCCTACCGCACAGAACAGGACTATCTCAAGTAAGGGATGGAAATAGGAGCGCGAAATGTGAACAACATCTTACAACATTGGTCGCCCTACTCGAATTTATCTTTGACACGTCCTATCGAATTTCGCCAGAACCATGCAATCTACCTCATATCGACGGGATCATTTGACCAGCCATGTCAAGCCACCATCAAACTTGCGACTCGTGTTAAACCACAGTTGGCCATATGAAGTCCTCGTGACCTCTTCCATATTTGCCAGGAAATATTTAGCATACAATCGCAATGTCGGCTCAGACAATCTAGTCATATCTAACATTCCAACCAAGACGTTCCAACATGAGTATGCCCAGCATGTACAACGTATCACCGTCGACAAGCTCACCAGACTTCAAATACTTCCAATTAGTTCGTACACATCACATCGTCTACGACACGTGTAAAGGACATTTCACAGAGAATGGCTTCCGTCGGTAGAAATTTGTGCCGGCGCTTCACGGAGGGTCCATATGCGCAAATGAATAGCGGACGTCATCGGGTCCCCCCCTGATCCAATATCCGAATTCAACCAGCTCCTCAGCCTCGTCATCACGCTTTAGAAGCGCGAGTGCTCGCCATTTGTGGTTGGACAATCGCGTAAGTCCGCTATGCTCATACCACCTTTCTCGATACAGACAACCAGTGCGAACGAAAGTTTCCGAATACCACCAACTGCTGACCCAGCTTCCTCACCATCGCGTCTACCAGTTCCAGGACGTCAATCCCGAAGTCTGCAACGTGATCATTGGGAGGTGAGATACGTACGCTTGCCGACATGCCAAAAGCCACACCATAACCCCAACAAAGCACTTCCCCGGCAACACGCGCAGTCCGGCAAGGCACGTGTCGTGTACGGCTCAGCCATCAACCCCTTCCCGCTTCTCTTTACGCACTACTCTAAATGGAGATGGTATACGCGGCTAAACCATCTCCAGAGCTTAGGCCACGCTGCGTCGCGCTTGCGCCAACTATCTGAGCCCACATCAATGCCGTAGCAACTGCGTCTCTTCCGCGCTAGCTCGTCGCCTGGGTAGAGCGGCGGGTGGACGAAGACTAAGTCTACGGGCGCCGCACTTCTGGGGGCTGAAGTTGGAAGAAGGGGCTGCTCAGTGAATATGTTCATAAATGCGACCCGGAAGGAGACGGGGCCGATGTGAAGACACGTTGCGCCGGCAGCTGTGGTGGCGTATTTGAGCCTTCTGACATGTTTTCACTCCGATTCCGACAACGAACTGGCTCCGTTCCATGTCAGATCCAATTACGAAGTTTCCTAGACATTCTTTGCTGCCGTTCCATGATACTGTGAGAGGTCGAGTGTGAGAAGACGTCGTTGAGAGTGGGAGTTATTCAGGGGTAATCCCTCTCTAGGTACTTTTAACTGTATAAATGCATTTACATAGTATAATGTACTCTACAGATACATATATTCCATCACATATCGTTATATGTATATGATTAGTCACCTTATTGCCCAGGTCAAGGGCCAGGGTTAACTATGCTCTTAGATGTTTCTATGTTCGCGTCTCATTTATTAGGTATTACTTCTCTACTATGAAGGAAGCAGCTTATTTCCCGGTTTTTATATTCATCTTTCTGCCTCTAACCTTAGTTCCTCCGATCATCTCCGGTCAATTAGTTACGCCCCTCAATGTTCGCGATGAGCTTCTGCGCGTCTTGCTTGCACCTGATCGGATCGCTAGCCTTCTCTCTGATTTCTGGATAACACGAAGTATGACAATTGTATGTATCCTCGATGATGCTATCGACATCCGAGTCCGATACATACGCGTTTTCCTGGCTCTCCTTCTCGAAATTGGGCCCGCCTGACGAGCCACCGCAATTAATATTAGCAGGCATGTTTGCTGTGTCGTTTATATAAAGTTGAAAGTAGGTAAATATCGGGGTTGTAGTATAAAGGTTTGGTGTATGATCCTTTTGATTGTAGTGGTCGTGGTTGGTCTATTGATATTTCACGAGGCGTTGAAAATCGAATTGGAAGCTTATGTTATATATTTTTCTTTTGATAGTTACCTAGTCACCCAAAATTCCCAAACGACTTAATCACTTGACATCCAATCTAACCGTTGCGTGTGGCCAGTGATACAAGGTAAATATCTGGGCATGCTCCTAGCTTAATCTGACTCAGGTAGGTAATAATACAATAGGTACTGAATAACTACGTCGCCGTCATGGTGTAACAACAATAATTCGCTACGCTCTTTTCATGGCTCTCAATATCGATACACCAACAAAAATTTCACACCTATAGTCAGGTAACGCTCATTCACATCGATTCCGCCTCAAATTAAAACATCAACCCATGAGAAAAAAGAGCATCGTAAGCACTGTCGCGATCACAACTATCTAGAACCAGGGGTTCCACCTCCGTACGCTATGTAATTTCTCGTCAGTACTGCTGCAAACGGTAAGCCAGTCATTCTTGCTAATCTGCTGCCATTCGACGTTGTCTTTCTGTCCTAGGCATCGGTAACAATTCCAACCATACGCCTCAGCGTATAAATCGAGTAATTCCTCCTTGCTAAGTTGTTGCCAATCCTCTAAGCTCAGCACCACGCTTTCTTCGCACGCGACAACCTCGAATATAGAAGGTCCCGTACGGCGAGAACAGATTGCACAGCACGCCCTTCTTGGTTCTGTAGGAGGCGGTAGCAGAGGTAAGGGCTGGTTATGCAGATGTCGTGATTCCTGAGTTATACTTCCTATTTGGGTCTGGCCTGATGGATCGTGGCGCTTTAGACGATGTTTTTGCACTGCAACTCGCTTTGCCATCTGTACATCTAGTACGAACTGCTTGACAAGGGCCAGTCTCTGGATCCTTGGGAACGGCGGCCATCGGTGTTCAGATGCTAACGCCATTTTCCTTTCCGTAGTCTGCCCGGCGATAAGCCCTGGTGCCGGAGAGAGACTGGATTAGGTGAGAAAATAGGTTGCATACCATCTCTAATTGGAATTTACGCATCATGACCTCTTCGCGAAGTAGTGCGTCGAAGGTCCGCCGCCAATCGAATACAATACCAAAGCCATCATCCTCCACTTGCAGATCGACGATATCGGTATCGTTAACGATGTACCCTCCCGTCATGCCATGGTTCAGAAGACCTTCTCCTAGTCTTAGATGCGCGACTCGATTCTCGAAGGTGTATTGGTCCCACAAGGACCGGATATCCTCTTTGTTTAGTGAATTCGATAAGCCGGGTCCTAGAGTTCGAAACCGAACCTGACTGCTCTCGGGATTATCGTCGTCTGTACGGTTGGACAGTCTATAATCTATCTGGCATCGCGGTCCCGAATAAAGAGTGATGGTCAGCTTCGGTAACCAATAATGCCAGAAGAAGCGCTCTATCCGACGCTTCTGTCGCCGCGCAGTATGTCGCAATGTGGTCCACTGGTACGCGGGGTCCAGATCGTAGTCGTCAATCAAGAGATCCAGGATTCGTTCGATTAACTCGAGCGGGAGTCTCCCCCAAAAATCTGCAATCTCTGGAACCATGGTGGGACGATCGAACGATCAACCGATCAAGAGCGAATCAACTGCTCCGAGTGACATGAAATTGTCCAAAAAATGCAAGAGAATTCCCAGAATCAGGGAGTGCAGTAGTGATATATGCCATAGAATACCTTGTACATAGTACCCACTATCATAGGCTGCGATCACACGACGCGCCTATTGGTCATGCATTGTATGGGAAGCTTCAAAAACATGTCGGTATTTACCCAGAGGCAGGGATCGACAAGCCCTTGAGCTTGAAATCAAACAAATTGCGCCCATCCGCTCGCCCTCGTCGAATACCTGGCGTTGAAATATTGGGCATCATGGTAGTAAGAATTAGACGCGGTCAAACTTCCGGGTTGTATCGATGACGATGGGGTCGGGAGCTTGGGGTTAATGCTGTGCCGGTATTATGAAATTCCACCGAGCGACCAATGAGTCAATATCCGGTGGTAGCACTGCTTTTAACTACCTCGTGGATCGGCCCGTATCCCCAAATGGAAGGCGTCTAGCTACTTCGTCTTAAATTCACGTAGAAATAGAATCCGGGAAACTTTCGTTTTGAATTAGAGATGTTTTATATGTTCAGAAGACCCATCTATACGGCCCGTTTCTCCCATTTCGAGCGCTTGTCTCGGTTCTCTGCAGGACTTCGTCTCGAGACTAAGGATAATAAGCAGCCGGACGACCAAGATATATCTTGGACGTTCCACTTTTAACCTGGGGCTTGGCGATCAGCATCAGATAAGATCGCAAAAGCAAGCGGGTGAATTGAATCCGAGTACTAGGACGATCGATGTCGCAAAGCGAGATAAATATGAGAAATATAAAATAAAAATTAGCAGGCATAACTTATCGTGTTATAACAAATTCGTCCAGATATATGTTCGAAGCGTGACCATAATATGTAACGCCACTGGCTACGCTGTGAGCCTACGTGGCGGACGGCTGACAGCTGACGACTCGGTAACAAGAGTTGGACGACGCTAAAGAGTCCGCAGCTGTTTCACACCAGGCATATGTAGTAAGATCTCGCCAAGCAGCTAGGAAATAAGTAGGCGTAATTCGCCGAAACTGGCCAAGTTGATATTATTTCATTCTCGTTCATCCATTCAATACCTAGTTACCTATCATCTAAATGCTATAAAAAATACAAGTTTGGCATCAATCATCATAAAGGTTATGTCGTCTAACTATACCTGACTTTCAAGAGTCGTAGAATCGTAATATACACGTTTCGACCTGCAGCCTGTCTATTGTGCGGTTCATGTGGAATATGCTGAGTCCCTGTTTCGTTTCCTGGAGTGTGTAAACTCTTCGCCGTACGCCAAATCCGTTGGTATGCAGGATATTGTTTGTTTGAAGCATCAAGTGTCAAAAATCAAAATTTCATTCGTTTCCCTGTATTCCGCTTTATTTCAGTCCGGCCAAAGCAACGTTATGCATTGATCTCACGTCGTAATTGATATCTCGTTCATCGTGATGTCGGCCATCTTGACGACCTTCTTGATCATCTCGAAGTGGCCTGACGCTGTTCTGAGAGCTAGGTCTCTGCCTCCGCGAGGTAGAGCTTGAATTAGAGTACCGCCTTCGCCGTTTGTCTTCCCTGCGCCTCTCGCCCCTCACGCTTGCTGTATCTGGGAGAGTACTTTCCGAGGCGCTGATCTGAGGGTCGTCGATATCTGTTGCTGTTTGCATCTCGCCCGCTCTTCTGCTCTTGTACTCCTCCAAAGCCCTCCGCAGGATCTGGCGCATGAATGCCTTGTTGACGTTTCTACGGACCCGGTCGAAGTAGCGCACCACGTCACCGACGACCATGACTTGGGCGTCGTGATCAACTTCGACGATGTCGGCATAGTTGGCTCGTGAGTCTTCCTTCACGCGGAGCTTGCCGGGGCGCAGCTCGATCCCAATCGACGAATAGGGCAAACGCGCCCCACCGGCCGGCTCAGCGCTGTTGCTAGGTGTCGGATCGCCATTGGCGAAAACAAATCCTTGCTGGAAATGGTCAATTCCAGGTTTGGCGAACTCTTGCTTGCCGCCCACAGATATGGGTCTGGAATTTGAACCACGGTCAGCTAATGAAGATGGAAAACCGAAGTTTCGTGAAGCTGACGTGCCCGCTTTCTCCCCACGCCGATGCACCTAAATACCCCAAAGGACGTTCATAGGCAGTTCGTGATGGAAGGGAACCCCGAGGGGCATACAGAATGATTATAGGGTACCGGGACGTTCACTTACATGCAGGCACAGTGATGAGGGAATGTATCACTATGGCGAAGGACGATGAAACGACTGTATCCTAAACATTTCCATTCCCACTCGAATTCTGGTGCGTCGGCCCAGAGAAACTCGAATACCTAAAAAAGCCACCTTTCAGCCATCGGTCTTCCACCTTTTGCTTTTCCAGAAAAAAAGCAAAGGGGAAAAACACTTACGTCGCCAACTTGCAATTTGGATGCCGGCCCAATATCGTATCCTTTAAGTGCTGTAAACTGGTCAGCGCTGCAACAGGTGGAAGAATAACACCAACCAGGCAAATTCAAATATGCGGGAGGATGGATGTAATGCATCTTCAACACGGGCTACGAATCAAACTTACTCAAAGGATGAGCATCGGGGCCGTCTTGCGGCAATTCGGACGCATCGTCCCCATAACCTGAGTCACTTCTAATCGTTGCTTGGTCGCGTAGTCCCATCTCTGACGAGCCAGAAGAAAGGCCAGAAGAAAGGGAAGAAAAGAGGGAAAGGGTCATTAAGAAGGATGGCCGATTTCGTTCGGGGTTATATCTGGGGGAAGAAGGGTTTACTCGGTTTACTAGGGGGGCGATTTGTTGTTACAGCAATACTAGTCCTAGCATGTCTTAATGATTATTGAGACTCCTTTTCTATTTGTCGGGCGCGGAGTCGGTGATGCTGCCCAACCCCATCCACTCCACATGTGTATGCAGCTCTTGTTGTTTTCAATGGTTGCGGTCAACGATAGGGATCCACCGCGTGCCGTTTCCCTAGTCTTACGGTACGAGAAGTGAGCCCAGATCACAGGGGGTCACGGCCCCCCGGGGATGAGGCGGCGGAAGTGGATCAGGGGGCCCTTTGGCTGGCCAGCCAAAATCGACCACATCTCGTCACCGCCATTTGGCTCCCGCCAAAACCAAACGATTTTTGAGATAATGCAATTTCAGCGACCGCCCACAGACAAAAGGGATAAGCCCTTTCGATGGTCCTCGATGGGTTCCTCCGTGATCGCATCCCGCGTACCTGACTCCGTTTTGCCATCACCTGAGAGGCGCGAAAAAGCTCGACGAGCAAAAAACTCTGGGCTTCCCGTCCCGCTGCGGGGACTTTGATTTACTTTGTGCGCTATCATGAAACGATTTTGAATCCATAATAGAGCGCCGATATATGCGAGGCATGAAATCCGCGCTCATGGTACCCTGACGTCAAAAAGGACGAATGCCATCGGCGCCACGAGGGCCCTTCGAGGGACGGAGAAAGAGCCGATCACGATAGATGGTTTATTCAGCCCGACGGGGTCGCCCCTATTACCCCGTGATACCGGATCCGGAGCCGCCACACAGCGACGTGGACAAATGCATCGCGAAGATACTTCTGCCTATCTAGGAAGGGAGTGCTGAGGTATTTCCTCGTGAAGCCTGCTCTGCAACAAGACTAGACCTGAGCCGATATGGATAGCACATATGGAGTCATCAACATTTCCGCCCATGCTATTCGCCCACCACAGGCCCGGTGGATAGTTAGCAGTAAGATGTGCCAAATTGCATCATGACTCTCCCGCCGCTCTCTAGAATCGTCGAGAAGATTAGCACGAACATACGATAAATAATTGCGTTGGGTTTCAAATCACAATTGCATTAGCTCGTATGCGTAAAAAGTTCTTTCGTCAATGTTGCCATTCTTCCCAACCTCATTCGTAGACGATCTCATCTATTCAGCTCGGTACCAACCTCCCCAGATAGGTAGTCTCCTTCTCTGCATCCATATAGGCGCTCACGCCGCCATAGGGTCACTCGCCTTCTCCAACATCGATATCGATCCAAGATGGTGTGAACTCGAAGTCAAGTGCTGGGTCATAGATTGGAAGCCATTCGCAGAACGACCTCTCGTCGCATATACGCCCTGGCCACCCAAAGGATCTTTAACGTCTTCCCTGTGGGATTGGATCGAAGGTGCAACGCACTTCATGCCACCAGATACCCATTATATAGGCGAACTGTCTTTTACTATCAAGTTTTCGCATTGAGAAGGATGTATATATGCAAACGTCTACCCAAGTAGGTAGCCATCCACTGCCATACCTGAAGAGCACATGTAATTCCCGTCTGCAGCTCTGGACCCGGCTAATGCACTTGTGCTATACCTTCTTCGTCATTATAATTATTCAGCGCCTTCAGGGCTTAGCTCAAATTCTATACTAGAGTTGATGCTCCACATTCTGCAGGTATTGCATGATAATTATTGAGAGTCTACAGACTTAGTAGCTTATCTCCTTCGTTTCTAGTCGCAGGGAATGGTCAATCATATGCACGACGTAGCCAATTTAGCTAGTCTATAAAACTCTCGAGGCATGAGAGCAGCATTGGTGATGGCCATAGGTCCCAGAACGACTACATGTGAGTAATATTAGCTAGTATGTACGTAAGTGTGTTGTACCTCTAATTATAAAATACGCGCATAAGGTACTTAGTCTAGGTAGGTATGTCATATATGTGCAGCTATATCAATTTCGTCATACTACAATATTATTTCTTAAAGCCGCGGATCTTATAACAAGTATATATCTTCCACGTTCACCTGAACGTATCATTCTGCTTATATCTAACGGTGGAGAGCGGGGTTTCTAAATAGCACTCGATATACTTGGCTAAGAAGCGGTTTTGTATCACTTCTAGTAGTACGTATGGCTACTCCAGTCGTAATCTTCGTTTCTCTTCATTTTTATAAATATGCCTTACAGTAGGTTTGCAAGTGCTGTTGGCTGCCTTGATTTTCACTGCCCTCTTCACCTCCTTCCTGGTTAGTAATAGATATGACAGTAAAGGTATTTGCAAGGTAGCAGATGGTCTGACCTGGGCTGTGAGCTCATGCGTGCGTAAGCATCTAATTGCCCCGGGAAGCTCTGGCTTGAGATATCTCTCTTGTTGCTGGTGAATTTGGAAAAACGGGAAGGTTGCCTGAAATATGAGTAAGTAACTTAAGGCACTCTTTTCGATGGCCGATGTGCTGTATGATTATAGAAGGTTCTGAGTGGTGACACATCAAATGAGGCAATGGCGTCTCACGAAATGGGACGCGAACGCCCATAGTAGTTGCTTATCTACTTAGTATTCATTCGATCTGCGTTTCTAACCTTCATTTTCTATTCATCCACAACCAGGCAACGATGCAGCATATCACCAATAATCGCCTTGAAGGCGGGTCTAAGTGTCCTTCTCCCCTATTAGCCCTCGATGATATCCCGCCGAGCAATGCGGAGACTATGCTCTGTTCTGCATGCCAGAGAATCTTTTCGCAGACATCACGGCCATTAGCACAATATGACAAGCTTTGGGTCGACATTGCAACGAATTGCTATGTGCCCAGAGAAGAAGCAACGAGATTACTGCACCACACGACCCAACAAAGCTTCGACCAAGCTGTCCAAGATGGGTGCTTCATCTGTACCAAGGTCGACATCACTCCGGCTGGACAACCAATTAGTCCCGAATTTGAAATTATGGGGAATAGATCCCAACAACCATGCTGGGAGAGTTTCATCAAGATAATCCCTATGGAAAACAATGGTTTGAATCGTGCAGGACGCTACAAAGTGGTCGTATACCTCGTATGCGAAGTTGGGCAGGAAGTACAGGGAAAGGCTAAAATTTTCTTCATGGTCCCAGGCGAGTTCACTTTTATTCTTCTAGGATATTCGTTCTAGTATTGATACCAGAGCAGTCCATGGACGGAAACCAGAATTCAATATACCAGCCAATGATCGCTTATCCCAGATTAAAAAATGGGTGACTGCCTGCTGTCGCCAACACGAGTGGGGTTGTGTAAAATATCGTCATCATGAATGGGCAAGACCTTCACGTCTTATCAATGTGGGGCATCCGGGACAGGAATTCGTCTCATTGGAGCTATTTGGGAACATACGAGTCCTAAATGTTCCATACATCACGATGAGCCACAGGTGGCTAGAGCCGAAGCCACCAGTGCTTAAGAGAGGCAACATCGAACATCTGACAAAGAGCGGAATATCTCTCTCAGAACTACCTAAAAGTTATCAGGATGCTGTAAGCATTGTCCGATACATAGGAATCAAATATCTTTGGATCGATTCTCTCTGCATATTACAAGATTCAGAAGAAGATTTTAGTAAGGAAGCGGCACGCATGGGTAATATCTATGCTGGAGGTGCATTCAACATTGTTGCATCCAACTCGGGTAACAAGGAAACTGGATTGTTCTCGAGCAGAACTAACAAGGGGCTTATACCTATTGTTCGGCCATCATGGCCAGGTATAGGAAGTGACAAGGCCTTTGCCTTGAATCCTGAGGGTGTCGATGCTTCTGAACGCACCTTACTAGGAGATCTCTTATTCAATAGGGGTTGGGTTCACCAGGAGGTCCAGTTAGCCCCTTCGAACTTGTTCTGCACCAAAAATCAACTCTGGTGGGTATGTTTAGAGGGAACTTATTGCGAAGCCTATCCTGGAGGCTTGAATGAAACATTTAATGGAATGGGATACAGGACAAGCCGACTAGGAATCATACGTACGCTCGTGGTTCCAAAGATCCATCCCCCTATTTGGCATAGGTTACACAAGAGGCAGGATGATCGGACTTTCGAAAGTCGCCTATTCATGTATGCCTGGTTCAAACTCGTTCAGTGCTACTCGGCATCAATAACCACACAGCCTGATGACAAATTGGTTGCGATAGGCGGCATTGTTGAACTGTTACGTGAGTGGATGCATAGGGAACAATATAACCTAGAGTCTGGCTATTTCTCTGGCATGTGGCGATACTGTCTCCTCGAACAGTTAAGTTGGTGCGCCTATGGATCATATAGGGCTAACAAGCTAGAATACAGATGGAAGGGTACATATAAGATACCTACTTGGTCATGGGCTAGCATCAACGGTGCAATTTTTTACGACCACATAACCGGGGAAGAATATACTCACGATTGGATCTTACCCAAAGCTTCCAAAACATCAAAGCCTTTAGCGAAGATACTATCACTGAATACTACAGGACTGGACCCTCTTGGCCGAACAAGCAATCGAAATATTCTCAAGATTAAAGGGGCGACATTCCCTGTCTCATTCAAGAGCGAAAAGTTCGAACCGATGGTATGGGCAGATGTTGAGTATAACCAGTCGGATTCGGTTAAACGGTTAGGAGTTCAGATTTTCTTCGATTGCTCCGAAGAACTCCTAGAGGCGAAAAATGACAAGCACGGATATATTGCGATGCCATTGCTTCTGCATGAATCGCAACAAGAACGCGGTCTCTTTCTTATCTTGAGAGGTATTATATTGCGTAGAATAGGGGATGGAGATACACAGCTGCATAAGCGATGCGGATATTTTGACAGCCGCTTTACCTATTGGTCTAGAGGCGAGCTCATATTGAACCGGATTGCTATGAACCCTCTGGACAGCGATGACTCGCTAGATAGCATTGATAACACATATCTCATTACATAATACTAAGACGTTTTCAACCTTGGTTAAGTTGTATAATCATCTTATGTCATAGCAAGGCATATCTCATACACTGTTTTTTTCCTTATTTTAGAAGCAAGTCAACTTAGCTCAGGGACTTTTTCCAACTTTTTTTTCACCTGCGCATTAAAACCCCCCTACAAAACGCCATGGACCATATGTATACTCAGGTATATACTTACCTACAGAGACCGACTCTCTACAGCGGAAGTTTCTCATGTTTAAAGCTCTTCTTTCCCTCGCCCTCGCCGTACACAGCCGTTACATGCCCATGTCCCCGGATCTTGTACTTATAGATCATCAAGCCTTCTAAGCCAACGGGACCCCGGGAGTGGATCTTGTTAGTACTAATACCGACCTCGGTACCGAAACCGTACCTCATGCCATCCGCAAACCGGGTAGAGGCATTCCAGTACACGCCCGCCGCGTCCACGCTCGACATGAACAGCTCAGCGAGCTCCGACGAACTGGTCAAGATCGCGTCCGTGTGCTTGGAGCCGTGGGTGTTGATGTGAGCGATTGCTTCGTGGATATCTGCAACCGCCTTGACAGCAAGCGTTAGGCTAAGGAACTCGGTGTCGAAGTCAGCTTCTTGTGCGTCCTTCAGCGTGGCAGCCAAATTCGAAGGTAGTTTTTTCATAAGACCCGCTTTCGTCTTGGCGTCACAGCGTAGAGTAACCCCTTTCGCGATGAGGTTTCCGGCTGCCACAGGGAAGATGGTTTCGAGAGCCGATTCTTGGACTAAGAGCGTCTCTAGGCTGTTACATGCAGCGGGATAGCTGGTCTTGGAGTCGACGAGGACGTCCGATACTATCTTCGGGTCCGCTGATTGCTCGAGGAATATGGAGCACAAGCCATCCGCGTGACCGAGAACTGGAATCTTGGTGTTTGACTTGATGTATTTTACCAGATCGTTGGAGCCTCGAGGAATTACGAGGTCGATGTATTGGTCCAGATCCAGGAGTTGAGGTATCACGTCTCTCGTGGTGACGAGCTGAATGGCGCCGTTAGGGACCTTTGTCTTCTCCAATGCTGCGGAGATGACCTTGGAGATGGCAATAAATGATTCCGTTGACTCCTTTCCTCCTTTTAGAATGGCGGCATTGCCCGACTTTATCGCCAGGGAGGCGATGTTAGCAATAACCTCGGGCCGTGCCTCGAATATAATTAGGAGGACGCCGATGGGGCAAGTGACTCTCGTCAACTCCAGACCATCGTCAAGCTTAGTTCTTAAAGTAACCTTGCCAACTTCAAAGTACTTAATTAGCTGCGTACATATTAGGTATGTAAGCACCTAGCTCACCAGCGGTGATGACTCACCAGGATCCTCAAGACCTCGAACATCAAGTATGCCCTTCATCATGTCTTCCCATTTCCCTTTCTTCCCGAGGTCCAACCTTGAAACCAGGCTCTGACTTAACTGGCCACTTTCTGCAGCTACCCGTGCGGCCTCAAGGTCGCGAGCGTTGGCTGCGAGGATGTCCTGCTTGGCGGCAGTCAGGCCCGCATGGATGGCAGTCAAGGCATCGTTTCTGGCATATTCAGACAGCGTAGCAAGTACGTGTGAAGCATCTTTTGCCGCCTTTGCAGCTTCAGAAGGGGAGGCGTTCGTGAGAGACATTGCCTTAGTGTTTAAGGTTGAGCAACGTCAATTATTCCTATATCGGAAGTTGAATAGCGTCAAAGTTATGAAAGCGACTATGATGCAAGTGGCTAATCACGGCTCAGGTTATCAGCGGTATCACCTTGGCAACTTCTAGGTTACCCCACCCCCACCAACATAGTACAGCCACGGTGGCTAGGTGAGCATCCATATAGCCACATTGAATCCCCTGGAATTGAAATTTCGTCCAATAAAACACGATACTCAGCAACTCGAAATTTACGTCTCCTTATGTGACATTCGCACATATACATGTCCACCATGCTGTTGTATTGAGTTAGGAAGATAAATTCTCTCTCGTATTTCGAGATGAACCCATCGGCACAATGACCTGCGCGGCCTGCCTACCTTCTATTTTCCAAGAAAAAGAATCCATTTCTTGTACACGAGGCTGCTCTGCAAAAGCTGTCTTCTCAACGAAGGAGCCAAGATCCATCTCAGCAACGAGTGGATAAGTTCTAATGGGACCTTAGATGATTACGCCTCAAGTGGGGTGTATCATAACTGACGGTCTGCTAGAAGCGATGTCTTGCGAGTCACGACTCATCGCCACGTTTATGCGTTCATGCTAAAAAGGAAGGCAGCGAATGACAGCTCCTAAGATACCATAACAACCTGATGATTGAACATCCGGCGAAGTGCTGTAGTTTATAAACTACTATCGCATACTTCCGCCGGGGACCGTTCCTAGCGCCGATATATTCCTTCCACACGGGTATATGGCAGGCTAGTGCGATAGAATCCGATTCCAAGTCAGCTTATACCCGCATTGGTGTCCCGAGATCGCCAGAATGTAACCTTTTGGAGGATCGATTTTCCTGTTGGCGATGGTCTGGCATATCGGAACCACTAACCGGATGGAAATTTCTGACCCGTGGCCATGTATCTCGGATTTTTCGGCTTTTCGCGCCAGGTGCAATTCCCGTCTCTGCATGCTCGTCCCCACACATCCCAAAGGAGTGAATCGACCAGCCGCCTCAGAAAAGCTTACCTTCTGTTATACCTACCTCGGTAGGTAGGTTGCCAAGTTCCTACGATAGGTCCACTATCCGAGTGGTAGTGCTCACCTCGCCTCTCATTGACCCCTGGCGGTTCTACGAGTATAGGACCTAGGTAAATCTTTACGATTTTATTCCTTCACCGTTTGGTCCCCCGACCTCCAAGTTCTTGACATCAAGGTTCCCATTGTCTTGGTAATATTCTATATTCGTCCATGAAGTCCATGAATCATCACAGTACGGTACTATTACAGGGTCCTCGATTGAGTATTAAAATCTGCTCTTCCACCTTCGCTTGAAGTTTTACCTTACTCCACCGATATCGGTTATTGCATTGTCGGTCTAGATAACCTAGGTTGCAGTGAAGGGCCATTGCTCTGTTCAATTTTCACAAGAAACTCCGTGGATATGACTATTGATCCAGAAAAGATAGAGGAAAAGTCAGAAGATGTTGGGTTCGATAGAGGCCGTCCAGACGACAAGGAGGCTACTGCGTCTATCACCAGCTCGAGTCGTGGAGTGGATAATAATTCGATAGATGCCGTCCCTGAGCAAATATTAACAACAAATGGCATACCAGTCGATGAAGAAGCTGCGGCTACTGCCTCGACGGGAAGAGCGAGGTCACAAGCATCGTCTGCTCGATCCAGGACGCTGTCTGTAGTGCCAAGGCTAAAACGACGAGGCTTCCTCGCGCAATTGACGCTTATTCCAGAGGTCGAACGGCCGTACGACTATCCAGACAAAGTCAAATGGACCATAACAGCGTTCATAGCATTAGCAGCGTGTGCTGCGCCGATGGGGTCTTCTATCTTCTTTCGTAAGCATACCTACACATGTCTTCCTTTAAACCGTAACACAACTTTGTTTCTGCGAATAAGTACCGTAAGACTCACGTGAATCGTATTAGCTGCCCTCCCGGAGATGTCTATAAGTCTCAATGCATCGCCTACAGTGGTAAACTTGACGGTAGCGTTGTATATGCTTTCAATGTCAATTTTCCCACTATGGTGGAGTTCTTTTTCTGAGACCCTCGGACGACGTAATATCTACCTGTCGTCCTTCTTTCTAAACGTTGTCTTCTCCCTTTTAAGCGGACTCAGTGTTAACATCGCTATGTTGATCGTTTTCCGTGTCCTCTCTGGCGGAGCTGCTGCATCTGTGCAGGCCGTCGGCGCGGGCACTATAGCCGATATATGGGAACCCAGAGAACGCGGTCGTGCTATGGGCTACTTCTACCTAGGACCATTGATGGGCCCCCTTTTGGCTCCCATCATCGGTGGAGCACTTACTGAAGGTTTTAACTGGAGAGGCACAGAATGGTTCCTTACTGCGTATGGTGCCGTTGTGTTTGTTCTTGTCTTATTCTGCGTGCCGGAAACCCTAGCAAGGCGTCCGGCCGCGACCACGGCCCCGTCCTCACACGCAAACGACCTTTCACGCGTCTCCACCACGCGCTCGGTACAGATATACACCAAGAAAGCTGCAACGGGGTTCAAACGATGTTTCCTCGACCCCCTCGAAATCATCACGTACCTGCGTTTCCCCGCCGTCGCGATCACCGTCTACTACGCCGCCATCACCTTCGGAGCCCTCTACGTCCTCAACATCTCCATCCAATCCTCTTTCTCGAAGGAACCGTACAGCTACTCCGCCATCATCATAGGCCTGCTCTACCTCCCCGGGTCGCTGGGCTACTTCGCCGCAAGCATGCTAGGCGGCCGGTGGATCGACCGCATCATGGTGCGCGCGGCGGAGAAGGCGCAGCGCTACGACGCCAACGGCAAGCTCATATACCTTCCCGAGGACCGCATGCGCGAGAACGCGTGGATCGCGGCGACCTTGTACCCGGGCGCCCTGGTGTGGTCCGGCTGGACGCTGAGGTACGGAATCCACTGGGCCGCGCCGTCCGTGGCCAACTTCTTCTTCGGCGTGGGCAGCATGCTGGTGTTCAGCGCGGCGACGACGATGCTCACGGAGTTCATGCCGGGGAGGAGCAGTAGCGGCGTGGCGCTTAACAATTTCGTGAGGAATATCTTGAGCTGTACTGGCGGTATCGTCGGACAACCGCTGATCGATGTGATGGGCGTGGGTTGGCTGATGACGTTGGTGGGATTGGTTGCTTGGGTAAGCGGGAACGTGTGCATTTACTTCCTGAGAAAGAACAGTCGGAAGTGGAGGGCGCAGATGGATAAGGCTCTGAATGGAAAGTGAGCTGGGCTACGCTAGATGTTTAGCCCCAAAGGAGTTTAAGTGGGAGGCGCTTGGAAGCTTTCATTTACGACGTGATGTGATACTCCGCTTGGGACAAGGGTTTTTGCACAGGGGCATGTTGAAGGCATTGGTGGTGGATGAAGGAGGTTTGGTCATCATCAGGTAAGTAGCATAGCGTTTCCTTTTTGCCTAGAGGTATATACCCCTTACTAGGCGCTTAGGTACTTATTACCGCCTACAAAAGTCTTATTTAGAATACCTAGTTATGTACATACGAGATGGACGAGATGAATGACACTGCGTATATATATACCCCCAACTCTTTATATATCTCTTATGTCTTCTTATATACCGATACTTACCTGTATATACGACCAAGAAACCCCCGAAGTCAACCAAGCAGTCCTCCCCCTATACACCTTTACCCCTTCCTCCTTACTCCTTCCCCTCAGCAAACAAAGCCCCTAGGGCATCTAACCCAACATTCCCGCCACTAAAAACAATCCCCACATCCCAGCCCTCGTCACCCGCCTCCCTCTCCACCAATTCCCTGAACGCCTCATCGTACAGCGCGACGGCAAGCGGCACGGCGGAGCTAGGCTCGATAACGACCTTCAGGCGCTCGTACGCGAGGCGCATGGCGCTCTTGATCTGGGACTCGGAGACGGAGAAAAACGCGGACACGAGACGCCGGTCGTAGATGACGGACCACGGGATTGCGCCAACGGGCGTGCGCAGGCCGTCCGCGATCGTGAGGGTTTTGACGCTGGTGATCCGGGACCCGGATTCGAAACCCCGTTTCGCGTCGTCGGCGCCTTGGAAGGAGGGCTCGGCGCCGAAGACGCGGATGCCGGTTCCCTCGCAGGAGAGGGCTACGCCGGAGAGCACTGGGGGAGGTGTGGGTGTTAGCCTGTTAGAGGGGGTTTGGGAGGTTGGTTGGGTTGGGTTTGGTGTGCAGATAGGTGATAGGGTTAAAGGGGGTTTGGAAGGAAAGGGGTTGGTAATGAGGTAATGAAGGAATGAGTCAATGAGCCGGATTAATTATATCTTTATCTGCAAGAGTAAACACAAAAAAAAAAGTATCTGCCCATCCTGGGATCGAACCAGGGATCTTCTGATGTTTCTGATTTATGATAACAGTCAGACGCCTTGACCACTGGGCCAATGGGCACTAAGGAATGAACGTTTTCTCACACAGTGACACGTTGATAGATGTACCTGCCATTTAGGTAATTTATATGGTGTAAAACAGTGTGCGTACGTCATGATCATGGTTGGGTAGCTCCTGAGTTCAGACTGAAGGAAGGATGGAAGGAGATTCCGTAACTTACTACCACCGCCACCACAAGGCGCAATAATCGCATCGAGGCCTTTCTTCTTCGTCGGCTTTTCTCCACCCTTTTCCGCCTTCTCGGCCATCAAAGTCTCGACCTGCTCCTGGAACTCGAGACCCAGGGTACCTTGTCCTAGGATAATATCCGGGTGGTCGTAGGGCGGCACGAGGCGGGCGCCAGTGTCCTCGATGACCTTGGCGGTGACGGCCTCGCGCTCGACGCTTGTACTACCGCTGAAGATTACGTTGGCGCCGTAGCCCTTCGTTGCGGCGATCTTGGGAGGTGCCGATATTGAAGGCATCACGATGTAAGCCGGGATGTTATTTGTGCGCGCTGCGAGTGAAAGCGCTTGCGCGTGGTTCCCTTGAATTTGTTAGCCTGTGTTTTGGTTCCTGCGTCTGGGAAATTTATAGGAATTCAAGAGATAAGCGGAACATTTCTAATAGATATCTGAGATCATAAGGCGTTTGGATAGAAAATATACGAGAAACGGAGCTCATGGGTAGAGTAGCTACCTGTGAAGCTTAATCATTGGAGAAAAGGGGAAATGCATTGTATCTCATGACACATGAATCAATTCCATCCCGCAACTTCTCACTCCTCAACACAATATCCCAAGCAAGTTTCAAGGCACCTATCTCCCTCGCCTCTTAATTATGTAAACAACATACCATTTCTTAACTCACGCCCATTATCTCAGTCCCTAGAGATGATAACCCACCCAATATTCTACCTTTAGACCCAGCCGCCAAACCAAAGTGAGAGGAAACAGAGGAAACAGAGAAACCAAGCAACGGCCACAAGAACAATATGAAACCAACCCGCAGCCCATCACCGCATCAAAAACACGAATGTAAAAAAGAAAAGAGTAAAAACCCACCAGAGCTATGCGTAACTACGCCCCTCTCCCTGCCTCCGCCCTCCAGCCAGCCCGGCTCCCTCTTCAGCCTCTCGATAGCATGAAACGCGCCGCGCGCCTTGAAAGCGCCCACCTTCTGGAAATTCTCGCACTTGAACCAGAGCCTAAGTTTCGGCTTCGCCTTGCCCTTCTCCTCCGCTCCCGTTCCCGCTTCCCCTATCGCCGGCGCTGGTGAGGAGGCGAGTTCTGAGAGCGAGGAGCTCGAGATGACCGGCGTCCGGTGTACGAACGGCTCGATAAGCTTCCGGGCTTCTGCTACCGAGGCACGGGTCAGGGGCGGAGAGGTTGAGGGATCTGCCATTATGTAGGTAGGGGTAGGAATATATTTCGGATGACTAAGGTGAGACGGGATAGGTGTTGAGTGAGGGAGTGAGCGAAGTATTATGTAAGTCGCACAAGTAAGGATCGAATTCTGATTCGTCTTTCCTGAGTCCTTCCTAAATACCTATCCAAGCTGACGGTATTAAGCTAAGCTGACGGTATTAAGCTAAGCTGACGGTATTATGCTAAGCTGACGGTATTATGCTGGAAGTGAAAGAACTTGGTAAGTGGTGAATTCTAGGCCTAGCCAGACTCTAACCAGTCAAAAATCTACAATTGGTTATCCAAGTCCGATAACGGAGAAAATTACATTAGCACGCATCACGCAAGGCGTATCGAACAATTTCAGAAATGCTTCATGACAACTGGACTACAGCAACTTTTGGGGCCATTCCCGAATATCCTCGTGACTGATGAACCTTTGGAATCCTGAATAGGTAAATGTACAAAAGCTCCTCCTTTTGTTCCCCGGGGAATATGCCTTCACCATTTAGTTTACCGTCCCGCAAATTTTTTCATTAAAAACGCCAAATGCAATTTATTTTTGGTTCTCGGGTCGGAGAGATCTGCAATTTAAGCGGTTAGCTTCGATAGACTACGATGCTTTTAAGCTCATTGGAGAGCCATGGGGTAATAAATCTTACCTTACGGCCTTGCCGGCCTTCCAGATCTCCAAGTTGCGGATCTCCTCCATCTCCGCCTCGAACTTTTGTCGATAGTCCTTCTGGCTGTTGTACTCGAGCGATCGCTTGGTCTCGGTACCATCTCGGACGGAGTCGTAGAGCGAGTTGAAAACGGGCTTCAAGGCATCCTTGAACTTAGGGGTCCAATCAATGGCACCTCGTCGGGCAGTAGTGGAGCAAGCCTCGTACATCCAGTCCATACCGTTGGCACCGATCAAGGGGTATAAACTCTGGGTGGCCTCCTCAACGGTCTCATTGAAAGCCTCGCTGGGGGAGTGGCCACGTTCTCGGAGAACCTCGTACTGGGCAAGGAACATACCGTGGATACCACCCATCAAGCAGCCACGCTCACCGTACAAGTCAGAGTAGACCTCCTTCTCAAAGGTAGTCTTATAGAGGTAACCACTGCCGACGGCAACACCGAGGGCCTGGGCCTTCTCCTCAGCCTTACCAGTGACATCCTGGTAGACGGCGTAAGAGGAGTTGATACCACGGCCCTCACGGAAGAGAGATCGGACGGTTCGGCCAGAGCCCTTGGGAGCAACGAGGATAACGTCAATGTCCTTGGGCACATCGACCTTGGTAACATCCTTGAAGACGGGAGAGAATCCGTGGGAGAAGTACAGGGTCTGTGAATTGTTAGTGATTTGTCGCCTTATGTGGGTGACTCATACTACCGCACCTTTCCCTTGGTAAGTTGGGGCTTGATGGCGGGCCACGTCTCGCTCTGGGCGGCATCACTGAGCAAGTTCATGACGATGGTACCCTTAGAGATGGCTTCGTCAACCTCGAAAAGGTTCTTGCCGGGAACCCAGCCATCCTGAATAGCATCCTTCCACGACTGACCGTTCTTTCGGACACCGATGATGACGTTTAAGCCGTTGTCACGAAGGTTAAGACCCTGGCCGTGACCTTGGGAGCCGTAGCCGATGAGAGCGAGGGTGTCGTTCTTGAAGTAGTCCTTTAAGAGATGTTAGTTGTTGTTTCGACAGAGATACCAAATATCCATGTCAATGTCGGTTCCAAGAACTCACCAAAAGCTTCTCCTTAGGCCAGTCGGCACGCTCTGTAAAGTGATATTAGCAATCAGCAAGCAATATACCTAGGTACATAACAGTCAATTGAACCTACCATAAACCTCCTCAGGAGTTCCAGCAAAGTCAATGGTCTTGACACCACGGATCTGCTGCTGGACAGCGCCAGCCACGGCAGGGCGGGCCTTGATGGTGGCTCTGGAAATGTTGGACACAGCGACGAACGAGCGTGTCTGGACGGCGGGCGAGGCAACACGACGAGCCAATTGGCTACGAAGGGCCTTGGAAAAGCCTCTGGAAGCCATCGTGAAGAATGTGAATTTGAGTGGAGATCAAAGGGAAGAGGCGTGGTCAAGAGACACGATGGGTATAATTGTATTGTATAAAATTCAATTGGGCTCTTGCGAGTCAGATTTTTTCTACACTTTTTTTTTCTTTAAACTTTTAACAGGGCCCTCCAGTTTCGGTAGCTACTGCTAGGGAAGCTAACCGCTAGGTACTAGGTAGTTGTGCGACTTCGGCGGTGAGTCTTTGCACACAGCCAATGGAGGGGTAGTTGAACCTGTAAGGCCCGGTCCGGTCAAGGTGAGTGTGGGGCAGGGTATGGTGGTATGTAGTACAGCTTCATAATAGTCCTGTAGCACAGTTACTATTTTACGTTTTCCTTCAAGGTTTCTAAATATGTATTAAATGAAAAGACCCGAAAATGGAGAAACAGGGCTGAAAACCATCGAGTAGGTACCTACCTAGGTAGATATACGGCCCAACCAGCCCGACATGAATGGTGTTCACTCGTTGTTTAGTTAGATCTTAAAGAATATAAATTGCGCCGAAGGAAGACTTCAGTAGCGTGGATTTTATTGCATTTGCGCGCCAGTATCTATCTATCGTGTACGGCCGGTTGCCATCTATGCAATGCGTCGTCCCTGACTATCAATGTCCATGTCCATGATGCTATAGCCATAGGATTCATAAGGCAGAGGCGATAAGGTAGCTGTTTCGCCCATAGCTCCCAGTAAATGCGGTCCCTCGTAAACGCCCTGCTATGTGTCTTCTGCAAAGCTAATGTAAAGCATCGTCCTCTCGTCCTCTCGTCCTCTCATCCTTTCGTTACATCTTGATCCTCCGACTCTTATGATGATCGGATATCCGTCACCAGAGCTACATCATTCTTCCCAAGTTTCTGAATTCTGCCAATTGGGTGTAGCCACTAAAAATGTCCAGTTGAGTAATATGTTCTGCCTAGTTCCTCAGAGCATACTAGGTTCTTCCAGCCATCACACGGTCGTACATTACCCCTCTTATGGAACCACCGCTCATAGTATTGCGAACATTTCTGCGGAATGCGTCTCTATTCGCCCGTAGATCATCAGCGGCTTCTTGGTTAAGAGGATCCGAAGCATTCGGCTCAAGAAATAAGAATTGTAACCCAACGATGACGGCGTTGAGGTTTAGTACAGGCTTCCAGTCTTCGCGCAGAATATTCAGGCACACCTTGCCCTCGAGGTCGATGTTGGGATGGTAGATCTTCTGTTGGCAGCGCACTTTGGGAGGCTCGTGGGGATAGTTCGGACCCATGGTGAAAGTAAAGGTGAAACGACCGCCTTGGTAGATGCCTTCGTCAGGGTTGATCTCGAGGGTAAAGTTCAGGATATCATCTGGATCGGGAAATATCGTCTTCATTGTTGAGCCCAAGGATAATTCGGAAAGGTCTACATATAGATGCGAAGTTGAGTTATTCCGTAGTCTAAATATAACAGGTACAGCATCCGCATCTTACCTTTCTGTACCCGAAGCTGAGCGGGCGTGACCTTCTTCTTTTTGCCAGCTGCGCCATCAGCGTTATCCGCCTTTTGTTGGGCAGATTTCTAGAAAATAGCCTTGATCAGAATGCGCAATCCAATATCCCAGGTACAGGTAATGCGACTCACCATAGACCAGATCTTTAACATCTTGGCGACAGTATGTGACGGAGGTTATGATTAGGGAGTTGGACGGATGACAAACGGGGTGTACGTCTTCGATGGCGAGATAGAAGGCGATTTGAACAGAAATGGTAGTAGAGGGCGGATTAACGAGTGAGAAGAAATCAACCGATGATTTATAACCTTAGTCAAATTAAGAAATTGTCTAGTAGAGAAAAATTAAGAGTGTTGACGTTGTCTCGTGATAAGACACAATCGAATGCTTCGGAAGTTCAAGGTTAGCAAGGTTAAAGGAGCCTTGCCAGCCTGGAGTTTGCGACCTGACGCCCGGACCAAGTTTTTAGCCATTTTGGTAATGCACTTACCTAACCCAGTCCGTCAGTGTCCACTTTATTATGTGCTCCGAATGCCTGTCTAATATTCCGAATGCTAGATAGTGCTAGATATCCGCATATTTACTAGTTCTATCGTTTTATCGTATATGAATGCCCCCCTATGGACACCCGTACAAACAGCGATGTCTGCTTATCCTACTAACTTGAAACTTCACAACTCTCACGAAGTACGCATCACTAGAATGACAATCACAACATCCAAGTCATCTTCGAGGACTTTTATATCCTTATTTCTTTTCTAGCTATTCACAAGAAAATATCCCCTAAGAGAACCTATCCTTCTCGCAGATCTCGAGCCAACTATTTTGAAGTTCCCTATGAATGGTCCTGAGACCCGGAGCCGGTTGCTCATCTATGTACCCTTAGACGAGTAGGTCTGCTTTCCCTTTTGCCTTAACTTGATATATAACACGGGCTACCCATCCGCCCTCCGATCCTGTTTTTGATCCTGTTAAGGTCAAGATATTCCCCGTGTCCCTAGGGTTCCAACTCCTTCCCTACCTCACAAAGAAACGAGAAGACGAATAATGGAACTAGAAAGGGTAAAGAGGAAAGACCAGGAAAACCTGGCCGCATAATTAATGTACAAGAAGATCGCAGAAGTAAGAGGTTGCGATTTGGTATATATAGAAAATCATCGAGTGATGATCAGATGCCAAGAACGGAAACGGGAGGTAAGGAAACCCAAAGTCGTACTCGTACAATAGTACACCGAAGCTTCGGCAATGTGCTTTGCGACAGAATGGCGCGAGATTCGATATCAAGACTCAAAAGAGCGAGACAACTCCAAAAACTCCAACGGAAGCCAGACCAGGCCATACGCATTAAAGATGTAATATGATCCGGTCCCTCCCTTACTTGCTTAACGAATGTGATATCATTTGAGCAACATAACAAACGAATCTCGAGGGTATCTTCACGCGCGCAAAACACGGGCAACGACATAGAAGCAACCCATCAGAACGGTTCAGTTCTCTTCCCAAACTTCACAAGGCTTAGCTCAAGAAGAACCGTCGGAATAGGTTCCCCGAAATCAGAACCCCTTAAACGGGTCATCGCGGAAGTAATCTTCTTCGCCCGCTCTACTCCCCGCATAGTATGAATCGGTCCCGCGGGTTCCGCGCGAAACATAGCTATCCCTGTGTCTGCTGCGACTCCTCCTCCGCCGTGCCTCCTTACTCCTCCTTCGGGCACGGTACCGCCATTCCTCCTGCTCGTCGGGGTGCTCCTCGAAGCGGGGGAAGGACAGCGGGCTAATGAATGCCTCCATGCGTACTGTGCCGATGGCCTCGAAGAAGTTGCCCGGCGGCCGCGACGACGCCTCGGAAGTGCGCTGCGATCCCGCCGTGCTCATGCCCCACGTCATGCCGCCGCCGCTCGACGCCTGCGACTGGTAGATGTCGGATGAGCCGGCGGTGCCCACGCTGTTTCCCGCCGTGCTGTTGGTAGACGCGTGGTACGAGCTGCTGTGGCTCGCCGGCCCCGAGAACCCGCGGAACGACAGCGGCGGCGGAATGTGGCCCCCCGTGTTGCTACGCTTGCGCCCATGCAGCACAACCTGGTTGGCGCGCTCGTGCACACGCTCGTGCGATCTCTCGTGGAAGCGCGGAATAAAGGGGGGTTCGGCGGCATCCCTCGACAGGTCGCGCTGGTGGCTGGGTAAGTCCTGCTTAAAGGAGTTGAAGGACTCCTCGAGCTCGTTCGTGCTCGGGAGCGGGTCGTGGCGGTGCATCAAGGCCGGATTCTTCCCCTTCGTTAACCGAATCGAGTCTCGGATACCAGGTTTCTTAACCTTAGCCTGCGGGATCTCGAAGTCGGGAGGCGCTGGGGCGGCGAGGTTGGGAGGAGGGGCGGATGAGGGAAGGATTTCGGGGACATCTTGTTGGGAGTGGGCGAGGAAAGAGAGTGATGTCAGCCAGAGGTAGTGTCGTTCGGCAGTCGAGGCCGTGAACTTAAGTGCTCTTTGAGGTGTTAGGATAAGGATTGAACGGTTGAAAATCTGCGCTGCGCCTTTTGGCGGAGGATTGTCGTCCTTGACGTCCAGGACGGATTGGATGACCACTATTGATAGTCAGCTGTCTTATTCGAGACATGACGGCATATTTATTGCTTACGTTTTCGACCTGGTTTACCCATTAGGGCACTCCCGTTTGCAGGTTGCTTACTGCTCCACAGGATCGCGCGCTCATACGGCGCTAGCCAAACCCATCGCTTATGGCGATCGTTGCTGTTCTCTTCACCGCGAGCATTCCCTTCAGGCATGCCGAAAGACTTACGTCTTCTGACGTACTTAAACATCCATTCTCCGACCATCGTCTGAGCAATAGCATCTACTACGCTCGACGACTGTTGGTTGCTACCGGTAGAGCCTCCATTGGTGTTCTCGGTGTTGGCCGTGTTAGCGGTATTCGTTGAAGGCTGAGACCTGTGACCGCGGTATCTTCCGTAGTTACGTTGGGGAGTGGTGATATCGTTTGTCGGCAGCGGTGGCAGGCCGGGGCTTTCAGGAGCCTCTTCTGAAGGCGACATTGGCGGTGGTGGCGAACGACTACCATGTCTCCTAGCCCTTCGGTTGCCGGGTAAAGCTGCGACCGACCTGGCTTTGCGAACGCTGCTAGTTCTATACATGCTGCTCCTCATGTTCCGGCGGCCAGAAGATTCGTCATTGGGGGTAGGACTGCGGTAGCCATCGCTCGGAGCACTGATGCTAAACGGCGGCTTCCTCGAGCTTGCCCTCGTGGGGATAGGGAATGGAGGGTCCTGAGACTCGGGTAGGCTGGGACTTCGCGAACGGCCCTGATGCGAAGCGATGCCACTCTGGATCATGGCTGACTTGCGCATCACGCTAGCCCGAGAGCCTGTGCTATACCCAATGGCCCCACCAGAAGCTCGAGTCGACACTTTGAGGGACGGCTTGCGTCTCAACCCTTCAGGAGAATCAGCAAGGCGGTAGGAGCTGTAAACTTCCGGACTTCCGATCTTACTAGCAACGCTTGTCGACTGCCTAGCCGCGGACTTAGCCTGTTCCGATGAAGTAACAGGAGAGACTGCGCTAGTCGTCATTCGCTTGCTAGGTTTAACGGTGCCGATTTTAGGTCTTGGGGCTAATGCTGTGCGGTATTCGGAGTCGCTCTGATCATCGTTGAACTCGTCAGCCTCGTCCGAGCTTTGTACGTCAAAGCCGGCAAACAAGCTGCTAATCCGATGCGGCCGTCTCACGGGCGCTTTAGCACTTGATAATGGGCCATCGTCGTTGTTACCTGGGTATGCGTCCCGCGTCTCCTCATCCTCTGCCATCGGCGATGCCGGGGGCGACGAAGGTAGTTCGCCTGAGAAACTCCGCCTGCCTTGTTCAAGACGGCGCGGGTTTCGCGGGGGAACATGTCCAGGCACCGGAGTGAAAGCCTTGGTCTCATCAACTGCTGAAGTAGGAGGGATGGGGGATGTCGGTCTCGATGAGATGGCAGAAGGATGAAGGTGTGGTGGCAGCTTGTCGAGCCTCTTGTCGATTCGAATTTCGTCCGTCTGGACTGAAATCGAACTCATAGGCTTCGACTGCAGAAGAGAAACTTGACACCCAAAGTCCTTGACGTACTGAGGTAACCGGTGTTCACGTGGCGTTGACGGCCGGCTGGTTGGCGGAATGATGCTGATGCTGGGTACCAAAAATGGCTCAGGTGAAGCAGGTCGTTCAGCCAAAGCAGCATCGGTCTGGGTGGCAATCGATTTCGTGATGGTAGCGGCCGCAGGTTTCATTTCCACGGTCACCGGGTTGGAAGTGGTCAGTGACGGGACCTCTTTTGACGTCTGAGACCCAGCTGATATCATTGGCTTCGCAGGTTTCGGGGCTTCCAGAGGTGTTGGCTTATTAAGATACACCCTCTTTCGGCTCTGATTTGCCTCGATCTCACCCTCGGTCCGGGGAGGACTCTCTAGGCCCATCTTCTCAAATTTCAAAGAGGGTTCTGGGGTTGATGGCTTCACAGGGACGACCTTGGGAGATGGCGGCGGGGAGAACTGGACACCCGTGTCGGTATACTCTACCTTAGAGGGTAAATCAACAGATTCCTCATCATCCTCGCGAATTCCACCTTCTAGCCTGTCAAGCACGGTCTGGTTCATGAACATCCTGCTACGCGCAACACTGCCTGGCCGTATCTGGCTCTCGATGCTCGTATTTCGCCGATGGGATTTCGACATCATACTATCCCGACTTTGAGCTCGGTTGTGTCTCGTGGTCGAGATCACACTTTGGCGGCCATCCGGATCCGTCTGGTAATCGTCATCGTCATCGAAGTTGAGCTCATCGGCAAGGCTGTGACCATTTGCCTTGCCATGTCCACTCATCATAGAGAACCGAATGCTATTGGTTATACTCATAGTACGCACACTAGCACCATCGTTCTCTTTACCCTCCTCGCCTTCGCTCTCGGCGCCATTTTGAGGTTTATTCGCTTGCGACTCCTGGAGATTGGCGAACTCCTCCAAGACAACCCTTAGTCGACTCTCGGCAACGTGTATCTTCCGCTCATATTTACGCCTTTCCTCGTCCCATTCATCTTTCTCCTTTGCCCAAAGGTCGTGTACCCTCTCTGAATCTTCCTCCTGGGTCCGAAGCTTCTTCTGTGCGATCTCCAACCGTCTCTTTGTTTCAGTTATTGCATCAACAGCTTCATCACGTTCTCTTGCTAGCTCGCCCAAGGCAGATGATGTGCCACCTTCAAGGAGGGCCAGTTGTCGCTTCAGGGAACGATTCTCCTTACCGATACTAGAAAGATTGGTTTGCGAAGATTCATGTTCTTCTCGGGTAGTGTGCAGTGCACTTTCCAGGCTCTCGATGATCTTCAGCTTTTCCTCCTGGTCTCTCCGCAATGAAAGTATCTCCGAAACGAGGTTCGCGTGGAGGGTTGGTGTGAACCGGCGAGGATCCAATATGCTGACATTGTCTTCGTTTGCCCCATCTTTCGAAGTCCGCTTACTCTTGTTCTTACTCTTCCTCCTCTCTATCTTGTCCAGTGGCAGCGGTGGAGGCGGGGAGGAAGCAGGGGGCGTAGCAGAACCAGAACGTCGCGACTTCCTCGAGCGCTGGGAGCTTCGCGACGGCGTCCGATAGGGCGTATCCGTTGGTGTCGGCAGCGTCGCTGCAGCGGCACTGCTGAGCTCGTCTTCAGTTTCCCATACAGCCATGATTTCTACCACTCGCGATCCAATCCGGTTTCCCGGTTGTCGAAGATGGCGACTTCAAACTGGGAAACACGAAGAACAGGTCATGCAAGTTCGCATTGACTCTAGCTTCGTACCGTTCTGTTCAATCTTAGAAAAAGGGTCCAAACGTCGGGCTCCACTATGTAGACCCCTGTTCGACTGTGGAGCGATTGTTCTGCGTAGAAGAAAGTGATGATGTGTGAATGGATTTCGCATTAATACAACTAGCCCCACTATTAGAACTAATCCTTCTTAAGACGGAAGACGACCAGGGGTATGGGATATGAGCTTGGACGATTCGAACCTACCACACGCTGTGATAAGTATTCCAAATTACAAGGGAGTTTGCCTTGTACCGTCAGCGTCGGCTATCCGACATAACAGAATGTGATTGAACCATTTCTGTCTCGGTTAAGCGTTATGCTCTCGACGATTTAGGTAAGAGTATACGCTCAAGATTCGCAATCGTATGGGGAAAATGAATGATAAAGTGATATATGCAACTTACGGGAGCTATTAAGGAAAGAATAGGGGGATGAGTCCTGATTCGCTCAGTAATGCTATAGTTGAGAGGGAGGCAATAGTCGTTGATAAGAGACCAGAGTTAATGGTAGGCCTCAAAGCGTTGTCTCCATGCTCGGCAACTCAAGCATATGTTGAATGAGTTTCAGTATATGCGCGTTCAACCCTATTCTAGCCAATTGGAAGAGACCAAAGATAATGTGAGTACATATATAGGCCTATGTATTATAGAATATGCAGGCTACTCGACGGACCAATTCCTAAATAAATGCTATGATCAGCCCTCACGCATCAATAGTTGAGGTTTACGAAACAGCTCATAGCAATAAAGGGTAAGTTGCAAAGAATGCAGAAGGGCGACCTAACCGCGATCGACTTACCAAAGTCCCAAGGTCTAAGCTGAATTTGTGCAATGAAGAGAAGCAATTGTCGGGATATGCTTGTTAAAAGAGAGAAGGGTCCGCGCTCATGCGAATATAATCAACAGCTCGAGCCGTCAATTGTCACACTATTCTCGAAGGCGCAGTATGACGCTCGGTCGAATAGGCGTTCAAACTTGCATTCAGACTTTGGGGTAATGATTTCCCCGGAAAATGCAAGGAAAAGACGACGAACGAGACAAACCGAGTAGACGAACGGGTGGCAGGATGAACCAAGTAAAGAAAAGGAAAACCGAGATTGAAAAGGAAACGAGGCAGCTGGCAGTTGAACGACCGTTCCGGATCGTCACTGTAACTGAGACGGGAAGGGAACGAAAAAGCAAAAGGCGACGATAGGATGTTCGTGGTGTCGCGGAATAAGCTCGACGAGAGATCAGAAGCAAAGAAAAGAGACTACGACTACGACCAACCAGGTTCCAATGTCGTATGTGCGATGTGCTCCGTAATAATACCCACTTAGCATGGGACGCAGGGGACGCTGGGCCAGACCTGGCAGACCATGACGCCAGGATGCTCAGAAAAAAAAAGTGATAGGTACCTAACTTGAAGCTCTCAAAAGTTCAGAGGCGGGTATGGACCGTGTGTAGACGGGCGAACGCGGAGTAGGACTCGACGACGCGGGATATGTGTGCGGTACCTACCTAGCTACGGCCTGAGTGATCGCTTTTGCATATTGTGGAGTACCTGGTAGTACCGTACCTAACATAGCAGCAGCATGCGAGAGAAGAATCGTGGTATCTTCTCTGTGTGTTTCTATGCCCGTAATACATAATAGTTAGGTACTCTCGTGTTCGCGAAAGCCCAATCACCAGCTTCGAGACAGGCATTCCTTACGCCGTCACAGCCTACGAAAGGCGTGTTACCTAAGGCCGGTGACGGGCAAGCTTAAGATTGTCAGGGGTCAAATTTAACCAAACGGTACCAAATCCGCGGAATAAGCAGGTGCCAGAACCAAGAGTCGGCGCCGGACGAGGGGGCACCCCTGAATGGCTAATAGAACCGCTGTTCCAACGACCCACCACAATAAGCTTGGCCGCTTGGCTGCTTGGCGAGTTGGGCCTAGCAGCGTTCAGAGAACCCCAGAGAGGGTTAGGACAGTGCCTCAAAACAGGGGGGGCGGGCTTTACTGCAAAGGGATTCGATGCGGTAGGTGGAAAAAGCTATTCTGTACATACAAAAGGTATGGAGACTAGCAATATTTCGTTAAGAGTAGGCAATTAATCGACCTGAAAGAAGAGTCCTCATTGGAAGCCCAAACGTTACAGTTACAGTGAGACATTCAGAGTAGTAACGTATCGACTCGGAAGAGCCGCCAGTGGTTCTCTTCTCTCCAATAAATATGGCGAGGAAAACGTGAGGGTGAATGGACGCCATTGAGCTCGATGGAGAAAGCCATTGTTCTTCCAATACGTACATACACTCGATCGCGTGTGGTATGATTTTGGCATCTGCGAAAAACCGCCCTCTCGGAGCGCGTTAGCGTGCTCAGCACATTAAGACAACCTTACCGACCACGCCGAAGCGGACGAACTACGGAATGTGGACCAGTCGCCATGGAATTACAGGGAATTTTAGTAGCTTTTGCCAGGTTGAGCTCGCCAGCCCGTTCAAGGGGGCTTGTCTTGACAGAGTGAGGCTTATCTTGTCCCACTGGGTGACGAATGTTTGAATTGGAAACTCGTCCGAGTCCGTTGGGAATTCTGACAAGCTTTAATGATGCTGGCTTGATGATGATTCGAAATACCTATGTGCTAGCCAGGATGGGAGGGGTATCTTAGATGTGACGAGGGCGGTGATGTCGAATAGGAACCTCTGGTAATCACTTCCATGCCGGGCAATGTTTCCTCAGCTGTGCCTCCTATTCAAAGCGCTACACACTGTAGTACCACTGTATCATTCATAGTTAAATGTGCAACGACTGGACAATTCATAGGAGCAGGGACATGCCGGGCAAGGCAACGTGGAGCAATAAGAAAACGTCCAGATCTTTCTGCATACCGAGCTTCCTAAAAAATCGATCTCTCATTCAAAGTGATCGCTCGTCAAAGCACAATCCTACCCGAGTGATGTCGAAGTTGCATATGCAAGGCACAGCTTGACAGACGACATGCATGGGGCGGGCCACCGACTACCTAGACAGACGACAACGAACAAGCATTTTGACTTATGATCTGTTAGCCTCATTAAGAAAATAATACGACTTTTATTAAGATCCTAAGAGAGATATCATTTAATCCCACGCGTTTCCCCAGCACGTTGTATTGCTATTATTACCAAAATCATGCCGCATACCTAATGACTCCGTGTTCTCGGATACTAATCGAAATCCCCCAGACTGCGAAGTGTCTGTGTGTGAGCTGATCACGGCTCAGATCAGATTATTGTATGCAGCTGAAAGCCCAATTGCTCGGACAGTGGACACGCGAGGCTAAAAATGATGTGTGCATATTTAAATTTAACTACCGGTTTCGAATCATTAATACATAGCTAGCTACATACCTACGGCTTCCAGAATCACACGTGGATAACGCTTGGCGGCGTACGCCATACGATATAACTAAGACATCTAGAAATATACCTCCCTAGGCTCGTACATAGGTAATGAGGTCTTCGGAAGTTTCCTTTGCCATTATATCTGACACTCGCCTACGCGGCGGATGATGCTCGCCTGCTCGCTAAATCTTAAGATAGACAAACTTCCCTGTTTTCCAAGGGTTTTCTCAATTACATTGGATGTGTCATTCCTAATCCCCCCTCACTTCGCTTCGAGACGTCAGGTTTGTATCCCTGAACCTTCAGGCTTCAAAAGACGAGCATATCAAACTTGACCGTTACCTCGGTTGTTACTGTTAACGGCTAAGCCGGCCTTGTTCTCGTCAAATTAGAAACGGATACCTTGGTGGTAGTTGGGATATTATCGAAGCTATCGACAAGTGTTGTTGCCCAACGAACAAAACCACCACGCAACACATGCTCCTATCAGTTTTTACTGCATTATATCACATGTTTCAAGATGGGCTTCTACGAAGGCGCAGTCGAAGGATAGAACCCGGCGAAGTCACCTTCCAACAGACAGCCGGATGCGACGGTGACCGATGCTACGGTTTCTGCATCTCCCCGGCCTGGAGAAAGCTGCAGCTATGCGACCAACCAAGCTAGATCCAACCCTGCCCACCAGGTCCTTGCAAAATGGCCTTGTAAATGACCTTGTAATCTAAAGGCGAGGCACGTGTTTTCATGACACTAACGAGCTATTTTAGTCTGGATGGAGTTGGGAAGAAACGGATTTCTTCGCAATTTGGGACGCTCGATCTTTTGGTTGATAGATAGAAAATCGTTTGGAAACTTGTGAAGCTAAACTGAAGAACGCCACACATTGGCGAGCTACTTACAAGCTAATACTTGACTTAACAAGCTACCTGCCCAACCCCCACGCGGCCGAATGGGGAATAAGTCCAAGCTGCCCGGGCTGCCAGGCGAATATTTGTTCTCCTTTAAATGCCTAATCAAGCCTCCATAGGCACCGTTGGATTCTCCTACGCGGATAAGGTAGCGTAGCTGGAGACGTTGCCTCCCGTCCCGCCCCTCCATTACGGCTTTTCTGTGTGTACAAGCCGCCTAAAACCAGCTTAGGTACCCTATCACGTCCGCAGGCTAATGTCTGCCGTGTCAAGTTCTACAGCATGGTGGTACCTACAGGCAAGTGCAGTGATACATAGGTACAGTAATCTTGGACAGTTGGGTTAGGTTAAAGGGAACCGTATGTAGGGGTAACTATCTCTAGCAGCTCTACAGCATACAGACCTGTAGTAATTTACCAGCGAGAGATCGTCGAAACTAAAAACATCTACAGCAAACTAAACTCGATGACGATAGCAATGTCTCTTATCTTAACAGTTCTGTTCACCGAAGCGCAACATCGCGTCCCCGACACTTCGGGCGCCAAGGTTGGAGCACCGCACGCCGCAGATTAGACGTGCGACTCGTTCCAAGATCTAAGTCAGACCACAGCAATCTGAGCAATCCGGCCCTATTCAGTCTTCCCGTCCAGCGTAGCAAGGTGAACTATTTTAGTCTAGAGCATTGTAACCTTTCGCACCTCGACATCTTATGTCGGCTCTTAACTCGATTCGACGGCCCATCTTACCCGTTATGTCTTCTCACGGCGCTCAAACGGGAATAGGGCCATGCGAGGGAGCTTTCCACTCTGCCACTAGGGCTTTCTGAAACCTAGACCGGGTACCTGACCAGCTAACGCAGAACATCTTTCCCTCGTCACAGCTGGCCGCAAGGTTTCTTTTTTTTTTCGAAGGATTTTCGAAGAACCGTCTCGACGATCTGGGGTTTCATACCGGAAGCCACGCCAACGAATGAGCCGAACCAGTCGAAACGCCTTCGAAAAAAACCTTTGTCAATTTTTAATATCATTTTATTTTACGTTTGAGTGGAAAGCCTCTGATCAAGCCTCTCTCCAACTTGGTAGCAGGAATCACGCTAACAAATGAGCCCCTTAGCTGGGATGGGGGAAAAGGGAAAAGGAACCTCTAACCAACAAAAGAAACTCGCGCTATTGCACAGAATAGATTTTCTTCCAATGCGCGCGGGCGGCCCGGGCGGTCTCATCTGAGATTCCACGCGTACAGACCAACCTTAGGCCAACCTTACTACCATAATACCACACAATAACCCATAATGCGGCCAGGTTTGGTACAGGAACCTGGGGAACCCTCCCGTCTCACTATCCAGCCAACTTCGAGGGTAATTCCGTGAGCTGATTCGATGGTCCTTTTTTCCTTTCTTTCTTCCTGCCAGAAACAAGTCTTACCAACCTGTGTAGAGCCATCCGGTTAATTCCATCTCGTCCATACCCAGACCTAAAAGTACGCACAAACCGCTCGACAAATAAATCAATAAAAACTCCACTTCCCGTGTGCTCGGCCTTCTTGGATGCAAGGAGAATCACACATCCTCGGGGGGTTGTGCCAATTTCAACGGGCTTGCAGCACTTGCATACGACCCCGAGGGCGCAACTTTAAAAGACGTCAGCGAGATGATTGATCATTGATAACCCGTCGTATTCCTGTATTGCGTGCCATCGCGACTTGCGACGTGACCATGCGGTTCCATACCTATGCATAATTGCTATCATGTTTGAATAACACGATATGTAATCATTAACAGTAGGTACCTAATAGGGGCTATCCTATCAACGATCTGAATTGTGAATGCACCAACGCAACAGGCCAGTGCCTTGCCCAATCACTTATTCGTGACGGTTATTTCTAGGTTAGACATGTTCAGCCATTACAAGCCCCCTTTCCTCCTCGCCACATCGTCAATTCCCTCAAATCATCCCTAACTCCGACCTCAGTCAGCAAGTATTTAAGTGGCCAGGTTCGACTCCGTATGGCTCGCAATCCAACGAGAAGCAGACCTCGTTGTTGATGGCAGGTATATCCGTAGTACAAGGGAAGAAACAGGTCTTACGTACAGTACAAAGTATGTGGCGAGAGAACACGAGTCTCATATTGATTACTCACAAGTCCCCAGTCCAGCCAACTTCCTTTTCCATGCGGAGATGGGGTTGAGCCTCAATGTTCCCTTGCGTGGAACCTGCTGCATGATCTAAAAGTTCGGGAATCGCCCCGGTTCCCTTGCATGTGGGCAGGCAGGGCGGCAGGGCGGTGGTCAGAACGAATATGTCAGATCATAGTTCGTCCGTCCGTCAAAAGGCGCCTCTTTTTTCTTTTTTCTTGCCTCTCGAATTCTTACGGTGTAAAACTGCTTTTTGATTTTGCGTGGTTCTCGCACGATTTCCCCTATTTGTATGGTTCTGGTTGAGTCGGTAAGTTTGGTTGATTGGTAATCACCCGCTGAGATGAGATGAGCAAAAAGCTTGGCGACGTCGAAGTCCCACTGTCCCATCAAAATCCGAACACTCAATTCGAAACCTCGACGGTGAGTTTCGGCCAAACTGTAGTCGTCGTGTTTGCTTAACACGCAGCTACGATTGCCTCCCAGTCGGTCAAACCACATAATACTGCAGGGCAACCTTGAAATAAGAGTATCACCTCCGGACTTCGTATATAGACGTTGCCACAATTTTTTGTGGCCAAGCTAGCTGGAATTGTATCATAGGTTTAGAAATGAAAAGGCCGCCGGTAAAGCCTGGCTCAACTTCCTGCATGCCAAAACCTCCAAATCAATCTGACGCTCCCTACCTACCGACGTCTTGATCGTAGATCAAGACGCATGTACCGGTAAGCCGGAGGTGGATCCAGACCACCGGTACGGGTTCCCTTACGCGGCTCCATAAACCGGGTAGTCCGGAATGTCTGCTTACCTACAGTAGCTTCCCACGCTTTCTTGACTTGAGGCAGCATCGGCGCCTTCGGGGAGGCTGGGGTTGGCGCCTACGAAACGTACGATTTCGCGTCTATCAGCCGCCAAGAACAGGATATGACAAGAATTATGATGCAACGATAGCCATATGAGCTAAATGTTATAGGTAGCTATCCTGATTTAGGAGCTGGGGCACGCGACACGTCCATTGGACAAGTTCCAGACTGGAAATAGAAGATGCCATAAACCTTGACTATATACCGATGTAGAAAGGTTACTTATAGATGCGCCTATGTTGTCCGTGCCGCTCAGCTGCATGACAGAAATGTGCTAATAATCTCTCCAGCGAGGTGCTCGTATAGTTACATAGTATCCGGGCTAATACTCCAAAGACCCCTCTTCACTAACTACCAACGGAAAGCCGATCAATACATGGCCATTATACCCAAGACTAAGGTGTCCTATCCCTAAAAGTGAACGACCTAGCGGCCACGAGTAAAGTTAAGCTCCGGCAAGCGTCGCCGGGGAATATCAAAGATGCATCCGACGACGACGGTCTACCTAACGACCGACTCTCAGCTTCCAGCCAAAAGCAGGAATGTGTGTAGGGTACTTAGTTAGAGACTAAAGGTAGATTCTAGTCCAAAAACATGGTCTGCGAGGTGGATCATGTATACTACTGCGCGGCACTTGTCGCTTGCATGAGAAAAGAAACTCGCTGCGATGGTATACGATACTCACGGTGTACTAAGTGTCTACTTGCTGGTACAAGTTAGGAAACATGGAAAATCTTGTATGAGGACTATAACATACAATGTCTCTCTAGAACTCGTTCTTTGTGTGATTATGGCTATGCGTATGAGACAGGTACGTTCTTGAGACAGCTTGATATGCTTTATAAACCGGTAGGTATATAGATGTTACACCTACAATAGTTATATGAATACACCGCACTTTGATCGTATGCCAGTTCCTAAACATGGTTAAATGTGAATAATCCAACTTGAGCACCTAAGCATAACATCATATAATCCTCACGAATACTTATTTACCTAGGTAGTCATGATGTGAGTAACGATGATTATCCAAAACACCTAGTGAGAACATGACGCTACCTAGGGAAATCTCGATGGATTATATAAGGTAGGGCTAATTCTTAATGGAAACTTACGCTGAGATATAAACATGGAATATACTTCAATGTTTGTGATGTTAAAGGCAAGTCAAGGAATGTTAGTAAACTAGGTATTCAACTCCGCCCTGCTTCACGTCGAATATCCTGAGCTGTGTCTAAGCCTTTGTTTCTCGTATATCTACCACTTGGTAATGTACGGAAGCTTGCTAGAGTTTCCGAGACTTAGTCGTAGAAGCTTTCAGATGTAATCTTAGGTACGCTCTTGTCAGAAAAGGGGAGTGCTGGATAGTATATAAATAGGAATGCCCTCCGATGGTCCTCATTATCGAGCAACACCCATCCTTCTGTATTTTATTGATACTTTAACGAATGTTTTATTCCCTTTCCGCTCCTTTTTAGCAATGGATGGAACTCGTTCATATAATAATATATGGACCTTAGACACGACACTATTAACATCATAAACAGATATGGTTTCTTCTAGTTAAGTATAAATAGGGCCAAACGGGGATATGGACTTTGATGTCCTAGAGAATTGTTTCCTCCACCGTAAGTAATATTGGCTGAATGCTTTGAAATCATTGAATAAAAATGGTATGTGTTCTAGTAAATGTACCTACGCTATCACGAACTCCATAATTCCAGTAGAGGTGGCTTCGTTTGAAACTCGTCGATATCAATTATTCATACAAAGTAACGACAATTCTCAGCATAATTTTAGGCGAATTATGCCTAGGTAGTAAACAGAATATCGAATTTTCTAGCAAATATGTGAAAACAAAGGCGTGGACGGCAGGTAAAATATATCATATACGATACCCCTAATCATCAACCGCAGGAAAAGAAAAGATGCCGCACATTTCTTTCACGACGTCACTAGCGTAACATCGGGGCTTTGGAATTCAACGCCCTATAGGGCGCGCCCATATATATTTCGGCACATGCTAGTATTCTGTTTTCGGTACTCGACGGACAAGCGGGAGCCCCACCCCTTTCCGATGGCCGGATCACAGTCACATCATCGCTATTGTTAATCGATGAAAGACATTCTTATTTAGCAACTGGTAAGACATCTATAACATTCATATATATAGATAGTTTTAAGCTTGTGCATATCTGAGGTTTACAACATATATCTACCTAGTTATCTAAGGACATTGAGCAAATATCAACATGGCAGCTCCAATCCCCGAGGCGTTTCGGAATATCAAAGCCCTAACCTTCGACGTCTTCGGCACCGTCGTAGACTATCGCACCTCGGTTCCGCAAGAGCTCGTGAGACGAGCCCGGGAGAAGATAGAATCACCTGGATTTAGCTCTTTGCCAGAGGCACTGCGGACTCGGTTCAAGGGGATGACCGAAGAGGACTGGGCCAAGGTGACTCAGGAGTGGAGGATTAGCTATTGGGAATTCACGCGGTCCTTCGTGCCCGGCAAGTCGGAGTGGAAGGACATCGACGCGCATCACTACAGCGCCCTGCACGAAATTCTACGCAAGTGGGGACTCACCTCGATCTACACGGACGACGAGGTGCGGTCTATAAGCCTGGTCTGGCACAAGCTCAAGCCGTGGGACGACTCCGCGGCAGGCATACGGAGGCTCGGGACCCGATACGTCACTTCGACGCTGTCGAACGGCAACCAGTCGCTTCTGCAAGACCTAGACGTCTACGGTGGTCTGGGCTTTCGGAAGATCCAGTCTTCCGCCGATTTTGGCGCGTATAAGCCGCATCCGACTGTGTATCTGGGAGCGGCAGCGGCACTTGGAGTTCGGCCCGACGAGGTTGCCATGGTTGCCGCCCATCTTGCCGACCTAGCCGGCGCACGCGGGACTGGGCTTCGAACGATCTATGTGGAGCGCCCCCGCGAAGAATCGTGGGGGCCCGAGGAGCAGCAGTATAAGGAGGCGCGGGAGTGGGTTGATTTATGGGTTAGTGAGGGCGAGGAAGGGTTCCTCGAAGTAGCGAGAAGACTCGGGATACCCGAGTGAAGCGCGCATAGCCCAATTGTAGGCCTTTCTGAGCCTTGTTAGACATGGGGGTTCATGATCCTAATCATGAGTGTTCTTTTTCTTTCTCCGCCATGACTAACGAGAAGTAGCTCAAATGATAAGTGACATCTCGTAGCAGGATGCGAAGAAAATTGACAACCCGATTCGGCGACCTACGAAGATTTTGAGCCCAAGTGCCCGGATGCTCCACCGGAACCTAGTCTATATTCAATACCCTAAGTTCCTGCGGAAAATCTGAAAGTAGCGGTGATGTCGTACACCTCAGGCGCTTTACCCATTCGTGGTCCCAGGAGGGTGGAAGATGCGGCAAGTCCCGATGACCGCGGCTCCCACGTGCATTTATCGTGTATTTCGGGTGGTATGCAAGTTGCGACCTCACACGATACGCTTTACCTACCTATGAACACCGAGGTCTGTATTGGCACTAGTCGCAAAGGGACTCGGATGCCGGATTGAGAATAGCCGATTGTCTTTGATATGCTGTACATAGATTCTGCGCGTAATCAAGCGTCCTGGTCTGCGTTAAGCCAAAGTTATAATAGTGGGAATGATAAGTGAGAAGTGGGAGTAATTGAAGAGCGTGACGCTGTATCTGTGATGTAGTGCCCACGATTTTTGCTTCTTTGGAAATCTAGTCAAAGCCCCTTTTACCCGGTTAAAAGGGCACCACTATTGTATCTGAGCCACAACTAACGACCCTCGAATATTGAGAGTAAATTGACCCCCTGTTGGTAAGCGCATAGTTTATGCATAATAGAGGATTTTCCATGTGCTCGAGCATATTGTTGGGATCCGATAGCTCCCCGCCGACTCTGTTGAATCACTCGAGATGGGATAAACAAGAACTTGAAATATCCACGTTGCAATTCAACTGGGAAGTTGGACGTGATGTAGAGGAACTTGGCCCTCTTTACGTAAACGACACATTGCTCATATGAGAATGGCTCTATCAGATACGCTTTGTAAGCGTAAGCAAAGCTTGGAAATCAGGAGTTTCCGCGAAATCCAAATGCGCCCCGTCTCAATCAGAGAGATCGGACTTGAGAAAGTTTGCTGCTTGCATCTCATCACGTCCGCTCTCCACCAAGGTAGGTTTAGATAGGAACAACACGAGCGCCGATACTCCAGTTCTATGGCAACGCCGCGCAAGCCACCAAGGCATCCCCTATACGACTTTGCCATTCGCGACAAGCGAGCGCATGCATGATGCGGAATTGTAAATTAAGCGCCGCGAAGTCTGTTACGTGTGGAAAGCTCTGGACAGAGTGCAGCCCCGACGTCGTTCTGAGAGGTCCCGCCGCCAAGGCGAGAAAAAGGCGCCTGCAGCTGTGAAACATACTGTAGCGAAGAAGGTGATTGGGAGGACTCAAAGACCAGCAGAATTGTGACGGTAAGATCGAATAAACTACGTCGTACACGCAGTTATATGTGCGTGCGCATACGGTAGAACTTCACCTCTCGGGTCGACCAATGGCAACCCTAACGGTGACGAGAACGATTGTGGGCGGCCGATGAGGGCAAGCATCCTAAGCGAAGTATGTGCCAGTTGCAGTTGATAGGTATGCGGCCACGCCTATTCGTCGTTTCCCCTTCATGACCTGTAGGTATGGTAACATTGCCGCGGAGTAGAATGAGTTTTGACAGAAGGATTCATCGTTGATCTTGAAAATGCAACAGTTAAAAAAGAGTATTAGCGAACAGACCAAGTTTTGGCATCGACAGTTGTAATCGTTTAAATTTTCCTTTTTTTTTGAGAGAGAGTGGACACTTGAGGTGTCTGTCTCGGTAGTGATATACGACGTTAGTTCAGCAGACGGATCTCGTTCTGATCTGTAAAAACTAGCGGGAGCTAAGGTAATCTGCCTGTCTTAACTTCTTTTTCAAATGTCCGGTTGTCGAATGGTTTTCGAAGCCATACCACCCTTCTCGGACACTCTCCTAACATACGAGAGGTTCTCAGGCAAATGTAGGTAATGTAGGTAACGAATGCCTCGGACTTAGACGATCCGTATTCGATAGTATATGAATATGCAGACCCGGGGAAGACATCTTACAGGGTGAAAGCCGCCGACATGCTTGCGTACGTAGTAACGGCCTATGCAAGGTCTTTCTTTCCAACCCCTCAACGCAGCGAAAATCGGATGCTGTAGCTCCCCGGCACGGAACGCGGGTTAGTGCTTGCTTGTACGTGCGTATACCGGCGGTTGAGCCTCATTCGTTCTCGAGCCGGGTTGTAATATTCCCAGATTCTTCAGGCTTCAGCGGAACGCTTGTTCAAGAAGGGATCTCCTTGCAAAAGAATAAAGGAACGAAAACACCAAGCCTCTATTCCCGCACGAAATCGACAGAGATCTTGACGAGGACTTGGTGATAGGTGGGTTTTAGGAAATACGAATTTCCGAGAGGAAAGGAGAAAAGGAGAAAAGGAAGAAAAAAGTGAAGCAAAGAAGGTAAGTCAGCTCCGACATAGCCTGCCGCAGGTTTTAACGGATTACCTGTTTTCGAAACGAGAAGAAATTCGATATTCGAAAAGGAACCAGTGCGGTTGGTCCCATTAGATTGCATCACCCTTATTTTATATACTACTCTATGACCTCAAACCTTGGAAGGAGTTGTATCGAGCCGGGAATTATCTTACATCAAGAAGGCCGAGGCATCTGGAGTCGTAGTCGGAGTTGTAGTTGTAAATGTAGAAAATGCAAAGTATCCAAGTATCTCTAAAAGGTAACCTTAAGTAAAGGTAATGGAAGACAAGGTAGGAACTACATAGGTAGTTCCTACCTAGGACGGAATGTACCTATCGTCCTACATGTAGGTAGGTATTGATGTAGGCGTTACAATAAATCCTCACCTGCACCTTCCGCTCAATTCCACCATGTACATTACATGCGCATACATGCCGCACCGAGCAACTTATTTTTCTCCTTCTCTTCAAAAACCCCAGTCTTTTTTCCCACTTGCATACATACATACAGAGAGAAAAAAAAAAGGTCGAAAAATTCGTAGCATCTGACTGCGACGACACATAATCTAGTATTGCAACAATAAATATTTGTTATTACCTCTTGGCCGTACGCACATACATATCTATTCAATACTTACTCTATTTAATCTTGAAATCAACTTTCCAATATCGATTACCACCCTTACTATTAGTCTATTAAGAAATCCGAAGCCAACATTTCAATTTCATCAACGTCGTGCCACACTAGATCAGTATTGAAATCGACAAGGTTGTTTATTATTGACTTGATCCTTGCTTTCTACCTGCTGGTTACCTCTTTAGTACGATACGATACAATCGCAAAGTGGAACTCGGTTCAGCCCAGGGAACCCGCCCGCGGCACCTACAGCGTACATCCCGACAGAAGACTATTAGAAAGAGGGAGAAAAACAAAGTAGGGAATCGAAGGGGTCGTCGAGAAAGAACAGGAGACTATAGCGACATTCGCCGTCGCCGTCGCCTTCGCCGTCATCTTCGCCGTCATCTTCGCCTACCACCGAATAAGGCCTCCTACTCCATATCCAACTTTACCTAGGTGTATCATACCTGCATACATACATATTCATCGTCGAAACTCCGCAAGAGCTACACTATTAGGGTTAGCGAGTTAGTGGGTAGTGGTCTTTCTTCCCAGCGCCCCCCTCTGGTACTGAGCTGGGAGCTGGAATTGATTGGTCGGCTGTTTTGTACCTCGCCAGGGAAACATTGGCTTTGGGTCCTTCTCCACCTCCGCTTCGCCATTCAAAAATCATCCCGGCACGGGTACTGTACCGCACCTCCGGCTAGCAGCGAAACTGAGCCTACCAGGCCTGCCTACCCAGGTACTGCTAGGTAACAAGCCTAGGGAAGCCTAGGAAACCTAGCAAGCCTAGCAATTGTTGCTGGCATTGGTGCTGGCATTGGCTTACTTTTCGCTACCTGGTCTCCTTTGGCTACATTGGCATTCCCCATCCCAGGTTCCCTCTCAACTGTATCGGCCGCCCTAGGAGTCTGGAATCTCCCTATCTCATGCGCTACCATCCGCTACCACGCTTAATTTTCCAGAGCTTAGGCCCTTCCCAAAATCTCAATTCTCCACAACACCCACTACGTACTACTACTAAGGTCCTATCTCTCCTCATCTCTTACCTCCTGGCTCCTTGCTCCTTGCTCTCTTCTCCCCCTTCTCCATTTCTTGTCTTGCTCAAGCTAAAAAGTACGGACGTTGCTGCGATCAATTCAAACGTTCTTGTCTCCTCAACTCCGACGAATTGACTGGTGCCGCTCCGCGTGCCCATCCCATCAACCATCTACAACCATCTTCCATCTACTCCGCCTCCCGCCGAATCCAGCTTCTCTACATAGCCGAATAGCTCTGCGGCCCGACGAACTTAGCCACCTCGCCTACTGTCCGTGCTGAGTCCGACATCCCTAGGTCTTTCCACGACCTTTTTATCTCCTACTCCGTTTCCATTCTTTCATCATTCTTAGATCCTGAAGAATCTTGCCTGGTCCTGAGAGACCATTATTTATTTCATCATGGCGGGAAAAATGGTGCTATATAAATTGGTGGTGCTCGGTGATGGTGGTGTTGGTAAAACAGCTTTGACAATTCAGTTGTGTCTACAACACTTCGTTGAAACTGTGAGTCTCTCCTGTAACGATTTCGCCCGCGGCCTTCTCTGTGTCGGCCGCGATGGTATCCGCGCGCGACCAGAAGCGTCAAATAGTCGCTAATCGCTAACAACGCAAAAATAGTACGACCCGACAATTGAAGACTCGTATCGAAAACAAGTCGTTATAGATGGTCAAGCGTGCATGTTGGAAGTACTAGATACTGCTGGCCAAGAAGAATATACAGCATTACGAGACCAGTGGATCCGGGATGGCGAGGGCTTCGTACTAGTTTACAGCATTTCGTCCCGGTCGTCGTTCTCGCGAATCAAGAGGTTTCACCACCAGATCCAACGCGTGAAAGAATCGTGTTCGGCATCGCCTACTTACCCTGGCTCTCCGATTTCTACGGTAACGCCTGCCGCCGCCGTACCTATCATGCTAGTTGGTAATAAGAGTGATCGAGTGACGGAGAGAGAGGTCTCGACTCAAGAAGGCCATGCTCTGGCGCGAGAATTAGGGTGCGAGTTCGTCGAAGCATCGGCTAAAAACTGCATAAACGTCGAGAAGGCATTCTACGATGTCGTTAGAATTTTGCGCAGACAGCGACAACAAGCGTCCCGACCGATGCCGCAAACCGGCCGCCCACGGCCGCAGAATGGAGAAGCTCCCCACAGGGAACCTGGTGATAGGTACAGAAGGGGCCGCCGAGGTGGAGGAGGAAACGGAGGGCGCTGCGTCATATTATAAATGGGCCTAATCCTTAGTATTACGTGCGCACTCGCGGCGTTCGCGATTGACGCGCCGATGACGAATAATGCCTAACATGTATTGGATTGTCATGGTATCCTTCGCGCGCTCTAGACCATCTACGACCTTCGGATGATGGCAGCATCAAACATTCACACATCAGATACCACGAAAGCACTTTGGCGATACTGTGTTCATACTTATTAAAGGGCTATTATATGCCTCACCTTACACTGCACTCTATACATCTACTAGCTTTCGAATTGGCGAACGGCGTACGAACTAAAAAGCGGCATCATTGGGCGCAAGTACCTCTGGTTTCCTTAAGCAGGGACGAAGACGTGTTTTGTTTTGTTTGGACAAGACAGGCGGATGGCTATGATGGTGTTTTGGAGTCTCGGGGCGTGCCTTACTCAGGTTAAACCGAATTTTGCTAGTCCAGTTTTAGGCACCCTTATCGAGACATCCGTGTTGTCGAAGAACATGTGTTGGGGATATTTACCAATGGTCGATTTCTTGCTTGGAAATCTCAAAAAGAAAAAGCGCTGCAGTATTGTGGTTCGAGGCCTCGGATCTCTTGGTCTTACCTCGAGCCAGCTACCACTATTTACTCGAATCTAGAGAGCCTACGTACGCTCAATGAATTGATCTATCTACTTTACTTTATTTTCGTTCTCGTCTCGATGTGTCGTTACCGACTTTTCCTATTTTTCTTTTCCCCCTTGAATATCAATTGTGACTTGAGTGGTCTCCGTCTGGATTGGAAGTTCTGTTGATTCTCTTCAGACGAATATCCCCTAACCATTTCCTAGACCAGGCTAATAGCTTCAGGATTCTAGGAACTGCAAGAGGCCAGCGCTCAACAATTACAAATTCCGACGACGCCCTACACAAATCGCTAATCCTTCGAAGCACACGGAAAACTACTACTAATGGGTGCTGGGGCGTTGCGCGGGAACCGGACCGGGGGTCGAGGCCAAGCGTAAGGCCCATAATCCATCGTTTACCCACAGGGGCCTGTGTACCCAGAAACCGCATTCACGATACGGGGGCTGCCCTGTACAATGGAACGGGTATAACCCGTGTAACAGGATGGTAAACGGTCGCGCTACCCGGAGCATTTCTAAGATTTCTAAGCACACCTCGGGCGAACGGTCTGCCGAGACTCTTGTTTTTCTCGATCGACCGGTGAAGCAGCATAGTGGTTGGGTTACAGATCGCGGGCTCTCTGGCAACCAGGTAATTGAATGGTATGCATAATTACGGCATGTATGACAAGACCACTTATGTACTAGTATATTGGTATATAGAAAAAGGGATACCCAAGTTCCATGCTGCCAATCATAAGTCTGGGCCATTCTCAAAACAGTCCCAAGCTTGTAGGTCGCAAGCGTTGTGGGGATTTTTCATTAAGTATTAGGCACTGAGAGGTCCTTGAAGCTGGTATTGGATTAACATGATCTACGTTTTAAAGGAGCCTCTGGGACGGTAATATCGTTAACCTTGTTCTGTTCGGCATGTAGACCGAACTTGGCGCCGCCTCCAATAAACAAAACAAAACGAGGTCAAGACGGGAGATAGACCGACCACAGACCGAGCTACGGAATATAATGGGCCTAGCAGTACATATAACGTCGAGTTCGCTTCTACTGAATCACGGACGATGTTCTTCTGCACAGACAGCTCACTAAATAGCATATGTACGTGCGCCGAAGCGGCGCGGCAAGGTTCCTCTAGTTTGGACTAGGTACATAGGTATATGAATGGGTGTAGTGGGAAGGGGGAAGGTTTTTTTTTTCTTTCTACGCCAGTCGGTAATTTTTTTCCCCTCCGTTCTGGCGCCGATCCTGATGGCTGGGACAGATAGAACCCGGATGCTGCCAATGTATAGATATGCTTAGCCGCGCAATTTACCAAGGATGTATGTAGATATGTAGTGTTCTTGATCTTACGGCATATGCTACATGGCACACGACAGCGAAGTGACGTGACGATACCCGACATATCAGCGCCAGTCAGCGGTAAAGTTCGAGTCTCTAGATGCAAGGCGGTTATACTCATCACGAGGATAGTCGGCTGAAGAGCATGCACTATGCACACTTGCGTACCAAGTAGGTAAGTATGCCGATGTCCCATATTCTGCTACCATATATGGACCTGGATATGAAGAACTCAGGTACTTGTGTGTAACCTGTCAGCATATAGCATGCATCATCGTTTCCCTTTCCATCAATACAGCCCTTGGCCGTCTCGCTGCGTGCATTAGGGATTGCGCAATTCTCCAGAGTCTAGATACGGAAGAGGTTAAAAAAAAAAGGGGAGTAGTAGGGAGTAGGGAGTAGGGAGTATAGTGTTATCAAATTAGACTACCTTGATGACATATGTGACTCGCTTGCTCTCTTACCTTAAGCAGTCTGGTTGGTATAATGTAATAATGCAAGTATAATGCACTATACCTACTTCCGCGTTTTGTATGCGCCAGCGTGCACCTACTTTCCGCTCTACATACGCTAAGAGGAGATAGCTTCTTACGGGGGCAGCGCTAGAGTTTGACGTTTGCATCGAAATGGGGTGATCAATTCAAACTTGAATGGGACTAATCCTTGGAAACAACCCGCAATCAGATACATGATTTTATATAGGGGTTCCAGTATAGAAACGAAGTAACTGAGCATGGGACAGAAACTTCAAGCGGCCCTTCCTGCGGCCAGCACATATCGGCATGTACATATGTATGTATGTAAATGTACCGACAGGACAGACCACAGTTCTATCCGCTAACCTTGTAATGAGTACTTGGGTCTACTAGGCAGGCTGCTAGGCCAGTTAAAGTTCCAGGTAGCAGCTTAGTAGGCTGCTGGTCTTGCTAAGTAAGGTAAGCGGAATCCACCGGACGGAGGACCTTCATCTTTATTTCGATTCAATTGGATGAATTAATTTTACATTCTGACCCTTTTACTTATTCGCTTCGTTGGACCCCTCCTACTCCTCCATCCATATGAACATACCCAGGACCAGTCATCCTCAGAATTAAACGACAGCCGACCTTAATATCGTCCAATCGAATAACATGCCGTACATTACCACCTCGGTCTTCTTTTCTAGTCAATCAATCGATGCAGATCATATACGTTCCCAGGCTGCCAGTCTGGCATTATGGTTCAACATGATGGATGTGCAGGCATGAATAGGGCAACACTTAACTCCAGATCAAGGGGTTCAAAAGGGGGAATTTCCTCTCGAGCGTCGATGCCGGGGGCTTGGTTCTGTTATTTCCCACTGACCCTCTCTCAAAAGCCTTGGTCCGTCTGCCGGAACTCGGAATGTCAACCCGATGTGGGACCTCTTGCGTGCAGTCCGTGTACTTGGGTGCTTGGATATGACAGAACGCGATCTATCATCTTGATGTCAAAAATCTGATATCTCCCACAGTTCGATGACTCTTGGTTTGTCCCAGTCTGTCCGAACGAACATGCCGCCGTTTATTATTAAGAGGGTCCTGATCTGACCTATCACATTTACGTCTGGCACAGCAACTCGCCTTTCCAACCTACATATGTACAGACTGCGTAGGACGATTATACGGTCTAAGCCTTGTCAGTCTTAGTCAGTTCGGAAACCTCATCAAGCTAGGATCGCCGGATAAGACTGGCCAGCTCGACAATGCCGAGAATATCGTGCCCGCTGTTCTGTCTGCTATTTATGTGAAAGCACGGAGCACATAGCGGTCGTCTAAAATCTGTCGTAAGACTGGCGGATTGCTACGCTCGGCTCTTCCCGCGTCTAGGTACTCCTGTCGCCCCTATTGACAATATTTCGGTCTCGAGTGGGAACAACTGTGGCAACTTCGGGCCAGCCTCTGCCCAACTTTCACGGGCCGGCATGGCATTGTTCGCCGTAAGGCATGGCTCTGTTTACGTGTGTCTCTACTTACATCTATCCCGGTCACTATCCTCGAGCTCGGGTTAGTTAGATACCACTTACGGCAAGATGGTGGAGAAAACCCTGCAGTACCTCATGTCGGCTATCACGCTTAGTCTCACGTTTCATTGGTATCACCATGGCAGCATGGGAATATGAGTTGCCAACCAGGCCAACCTCGCAACCGCCAACCGTTTCTCTGGTAGCATTGTGGGGGTTCCCGAGCCAAAACGGAAGGTCAAGTGTTTCCATTGTAATGAAAATGTGCTTTTACTTCGTCAGGGATATATTTTCATCATCAACCTTGCATCACGTCCTTTCATTGACTAGGAGCATTAGAAGTATTCGCATCACCTCAACAAGAAGATATGCCCTGTTGCTCACGGTTGCAAGAGTCTCGCTACGAAGATTTTAGGCATCCGTCTTTTCCTCGACTCGATAGGCAATACGCTGCGCGCCGACAAGTTCATCCGGCACCAGTGATGACGCCAGGCTGCTTTCTAGGTATTACTCGATACCTCGACCAACTGTTGTTTAACTCGACTCAACCAACTTTTGTTTTGTTTCACCGCCGATATCAATGCCAATACGGGTCATTTAGAGGTGAAGGGGTTAGCCCCTTGCTCGGTGACATCAAACCACCTCTGCCAAAGGAAAGGTTCAGCACAACTCCATCTCTTTCTGATGTCTTGCAGAGTTGGTGCCAGTAAATCTTACAACGAAATCCTGCTATCTCTTTGTTCGATCTCGTTTTCGGGTCCGAGTTAATGATGGCGTTTCTCTTCCCCATTTGCCATCGTCGACTAGTGTAGGCAGCGGTAAAGGCGTTTACGGCCGCAATTGAGGATACCCTCCACGATAATAAGCCATGGCTCCGGGCGATCGGCCCCCAGGCTGTAGGTGTACGACCCCACAGCTTAATCTTCCCAATGCCATGGACGCGGCTTGCGAACTCTGATTCATCAATCCTACCTTATCAGACGATGATTGTTTGCCTTGGAGACTCGTGATTGTATGCCGTGGAACAATGCATCAATTTCCGGAATATCTGAAAGGGCGATGGAAGCCATCACCTTGTTAATCCCTCCTCTTTCAGCCTCTGCTCAGAAGACAGGCATTGCGATCCTTTGCAGCGTCAGAGGGGCCTGTTCGGTTCGTCCCCGCGTGCCACGCTGGCTCGAGCGCGTGTCCTCCTGCACGCAAGAGTGACTAGCGTCATCAAACCTAGAAAGCTTGAAGATGGACACGAGTTAAAAAGGGATTCTGCTCGTAAGTTTACTGAGACATGTGTAACTGGCGCCTAAGCAAGTGAGCGTTACGACATCAACACGTGGTGCATGCTTACGGCGCAGATACCTGGTCGTCCGAAAGGAATAGCGATTTCTGCCGCTTCGGTCGTGCTGCAGAATTCCACAACCCATATGGTCCGATCTGGCATATGCTGGCAGTTCTCTAGAGTCCTTCGAGAAAAATTTTCCTATTCTATCTTACAAATCCACTCTCCTAAACAGTGTTTCCTCCTTCCTTTCTTGGCCGGGCCGTCCCGTCCTACTATCTCGACCGGTGTATAAAACGCGGCTTCAATTCCAGGGTTTGCGATCCTTCCCGGAAGCGGCTTCTACTGGTTCGCCCTTTAAGTCCTCGGCATTTACGATAGGCGCGGCTGTCCTATGTCTGGCTTATGTGTTGACCGGTCTGCGAATAGGAATCAATGCATACCGCCGGCTAATGCTTAGGAACGATTCCGCGAGCTCTCTTCATCTTTGCAACGGCCGATGCGCACTAACGCTTCTCCGTCTGGTGATCTTACCGCTCATACTCGGGCGTATGTATCTCCTTGCATGTAGGCACTCGTATTTCGGCGCTGCGGAATGAACTCCGACGACCTTGCCACAGACGCCGGTCTCACTTGGATAGTTTCGGGTCTAGCTTATCGGCGAACTCCTCACGTCGAGTCTCCGCTGACGCGGTGCTTATCCTTAACCACACGTGGGATTATGCATCACTAACAGCCCGTGATCTACTCGCGGGGGTCACCTTTGCCTTATCCGGTAGGTCATGTGAGATCCAGGAAGCCTTGTTTGGCTAGATACCTACTCAGATTTAGGATCTCTTATTTCCTCCCGTCGTCATCGTGATATGGGCTCGTCGATAGTCTTGTTAAATCGTGCAGACCGTGTGCATATGTATAGGTTGATCTACCAGAGGGAAATATGGAATTTGAAGTATTGGTCCAGGGGTGTTGTCTCCTGAATCAGCAACCTCGCGATCCCGCCCCACTGCCGCCTACTTGATCTGATCGGAAAATTCACGTAATAAGAGTGTGGGAGGTATGTGTGCACGTCAGAGTGCAGGAGTGGCGGCATATGGCTTGTCTCATCCACCATACCTAACCCCCACGGGTGATCCAATCTTACATTCCTTTACGTGGGTAGATATGACCCTGAAATCTAGATAGGGGAGCTCGCCGCTGCAGCTACGAACGCCCGCCTCGATGCGGAGTAAGCAAGCAAGCGTGTTTTGACAACAGGAACTGTTCTGGAATTGCGGAGTGCATCAGGATAGATCTAGGGTTTAACCCCCCCTTCGCCTTCGTCTCGAAGGGGTTATGATCTTTCTTTTCGTACCTAGGTATCATACCTGCCTGCGCGGGTAGGTATATCCGGGAATATCAGTTTGTTCACTTCATGTGTCTAATTGGATACTTGACTCTGATAGGTCCAGGTGATCAAGGTCTTGGTTTTCGAGGACTTGTGGTTATGCTTTTTTATACAGCGTATGAATTCCTAGACGCTAACGAAATGTTTATGCAAATTTGTTATCTATAAAGGGTTACAAGGTCTGGATGAGCATGAGGCTATATACCTAACATTCCTTTACTTTATGTTGTCTTTACGTAAGGCCAATTTCTCGTAGTCATTTGTTAAGATACAACGCCTCGTATTTTTAAAGGCTCTCGACGCTTTTTTCTCGGCCATTAGGGGGCCCAGAACAAGACTGAGTGAGAACCGGTACGTGCCTAGGTAGTTGTGAACACCTACCTAGGTAGGTACTTATAATAAATATAGGTAAGGAGGAAGATCTAATAAGCCATCTATGACATTAGTATCCATTAATACTAAGAGCCCAGTGTATCTAGTGAAATAAACGTAGGGAGAATGCAAGTAGCTCAATATATATGCATTGATCAAACATAAGTCTTAGGCCGAGTGTTCCCATACTTGATGAGAAAAGGGAAATCGTGTAATTTATGCAGTCCAATTTACCAATTTGAGATCTAGGTGGACATGTAGGAAAGCTGTAAACGTCTAGTACATACGAGTTTATGCTTACTTGGTATACTTGATGCTAATAGACTCATTTCTCTTATGTATCATATCTATATACATCACGTACCACATTCCTTGTCACGTCAAACCTCCACACGTGTTGCCGGTTACTTACTTACACTTACTGACCTATTCACCTACACGCTTCACCTTAACTGTCCTAGGTAATTACGGGGTCCTATAAGGGGTTCCATCCTGAGGTTGCCCTCCCATGGTTCCCGTATGTCCGGTCTCGGAGCACCGACGCGGGCTTCCTGGCCACCCTCCACCCCTTTCCAAGCTTGAAAATATCCCGAGCCTGGTACCTTGCATTTGGAATTTCTCCTACCTCTCAGTCTCATGAGCTAATTATAACGTTGCCTCCTCACCTACACACGCGGTGATGATCGTATAGGTAGCCGGTAGGCAAGGAAAGAGTGCGGCAAGCCACGTTGATGGTATGTCGGGGCCCGCGCGGCTGGACCCTTGGTAGGTAGGTGACACGTGGGTAGGGACGGCTACGGGCGTCAGGCGTCGGGACTACGGGTACGGGCAGTTGGATGGGTAGGCTGTCACGGGCAGGCGAGCGGTGATGTGGTACACGTCTGCGCGTGTAACTACACGCATACTTTACGTAGAGGTGTACCTGTTTCCTTGTATCACGCCACGCGATTTGAGGGAGATAACTAAAGGGAGGGAGAGAACACAAGAAGAGAAGATGGATGAAAAATTTTACCTGGATAGGTACATGTGAGTGAGTGTTGTGGCTAGGTGGCTAGCTCTATGTAGGGGCGTCGCGTATACGAAGATAGGTATGACAAGTATGAGCCGTCAACACGAGATATCTGCCTTAGATAAGTCGCCCGTCGCTATTTAGGTAATATTTTAAATCGACGAGCTGCAGATGCGCGAGGTTGGGAGGCGGATGAAGGTGTGCTTAATTAGGTCACTTAAACCAAGTAAGTTCATATGACGAACAAGTTCTTCATAGCCCCTTTCCGGGGAAAAGGGGGAGGTGGCATGTTGTACCTATTGGAAAAAAGGTAGAATTTGGCAAGATGTATAAGTACCGGGCATTTTATCCCATATATCGGGCGTATCCATCCGACTATGCCTTGAATTAACTACGTACAAGTAAATCCTGTGTAGGACTTTCTCTCGTTCCCTTGAAGATGTTACATACATGAATTATTGCATCTCTACCATTATATGAGCACCTAAGTCTTCTTTTATACATCTGCCCCTTTTCGCTTCTACGCTCCATTTCAACTTCTCCTTTCCACTCTTAAGCAGGTGAAATACACCTGCTTGCCTAAGCGCCCCGTATGCCGCCACCCCATCGGACACCGATACGTGCAGCAGGCAGGCGAAATGTCTGCGGGGCGAGTTGCCTTGTGGCCTCGCTTCGCGGACCTACTACCGTGGCGGAGGTTTGACAGCGTTCACACCCGTACCTCCTTGCATATACGGTGCCTATCATCGTATGTTGTCGTCTCAAGAAGCTGAGTGAACGACTATTTCGTTTCCCTCTCCCCGCTTCCCCGACCCCCTTTCCCAAAACCCATATATAATAGCCCATAAAAGATATGAAAATATCATAATATTTATATCCATAGATGGATAATGAAGGAATTCGTTTCGTGCCCAGTTTCCCGTCTTTTGAGCATACAAAAGTGTTTAAATGGCCGTAATAGGTCATAGCTAGAGTCTGTCGTGCAACTATCACTGCGTAGCGTGACACACAGAATCCAAGTCTCGATAATCGTGTTCCTACCATCGAAAAGTGATACGAGATCCCCTCTCCAGGATCACGTAAAGTGAACTGCAGTTAGATGCGTTATCCCCAAGATATTTTGCGAACTGTTAGAACTAGGTGACGAGACCAACGCCAGTTGGCATAACCAGACATGAACCGTTACTAGGATTATACGCAACAAAGTAGATTAGGCAGTAGTTGTAAAAGCCATTGGCTTCAACCAGGTCATCACCAAAACCAAGCGTAATACATTACTTAAAACTCAGATATACGGGACTACTTACCTACGAACTTCATCTCATAATTCACAAGGTCTAAGTTACAACCGCTGGTGATCGCGCAACCACAATGGTGCGTTGAACAACATCGCATTTTTTTCATCTCTACGCCTCTGAGGCATCATTGATAAAGGGAGGGAGCAATACGTAGCAAACGACAGCTCCGCCAGCCGCGATAAATCGCGATACTAGCAACCGGGTGCCATTTTTAGAACTTGCTGCCCCCAGAGTCGTTCGTATCTCCAAGCCCGAGACGCCGTGCCTATAAAAAAAAGATCCAGCCCAGGCCCTCTCCCGCCGCATCGCGAAACGGGTGGTACGAATAAGAATTCGATAACAGCAGCAGGCTTCTCGATTGACCCGATAATAAGGAAGACAGGTGAGAAAATAAAAAAAGTCCAGACTAAGGAAGTAGATACTAGAAGTAGTTTTAAGATAGACGAGTTATATCCCCCCCATTCCCGCGTGTTTCCCATAACCTGTCATGATACTAGACGTCACGTTAGATTGCGGCTAGATTACTCTCGCAAGACATTTTCGTCCCCGAATGGACTGCTGTTCCGTTCTGCGGAGGACTTGCGTTTGCCGTCTACCGCCCGCTGAGACTCTCCTATTACTGCGCTGAGGGAGCTCTTTTTCTGGTGACCCTGCTTAGGTGGATCAGCAAAGGGACCCTGATCAACGCTCGGCGATTCCTCGATAATCGTCGCCGCGGCTGATTCTCTTTCCTTGCTAGTATCGATGAGCTGTACTAGGGGCTCCGAGTTCTCGGACTCTACAGCGGTGGCGGAACCGGAAGACTTCGATTTCACGTCAACAGCCTTAGGCCCGCTACCAACGCGGACAACCTGAGGTCGTACGGCGGTTGCTGTCGAAGCGCTAGCGTTCTTGAAAAATGTAGCCCCGATGCTGAAGGCTGGCGATACAGGCGGCTGTTCGTACTTTTCGTAGTCGACGGCTGGAACGGGCGGCGTTGAACTGCCGCTAGTACTACTAGGGGCACGAGATTTAACGCTGACGATAGAGGGCTTGAGGAAATTGCCCTTTTGAGCCGGGAGAGGGGAGACAATGGCGTTTTTGCCGTAGATGGTAGATGCAACACTAGAGCGTGGGGCATAAGAGGTTCGGGCCATGGATGAGCGGTCGGTGTAAGCAGAGATGCCCGAGTACGTCGAGTCACGAAGGTCTCCCGGGACGAAGAAGTGTTGCTCATCGAATGGCGAATTGCTGCCCTTGTCCGAGTGCGCAATTGGGATTGGGGGGACGGGGGGGACGAGTAGCGTGGGCGACGTAGGCGTAGCTCGGTTAGTAACGCCAGGGATGTATGCGATTTGGATGATGTTTGAAGCGCGAGTGAGAACAGTAGAGGCGATAGAATGTACTGTATGCGTCGAGGTTCGTTTGGATCTCCTCGAAGCAAAGTCGGCCTCCATACCCTCCTTCGACTGTTCGACGTCTCCTTGCCATCGCTCTGGCTCGTACTGTCCTCTCTTGTTCTTGATGCAAAACCTCCAAACCAAGTACGTAATGATGGCGACGGCTGCTAGACCGCCTATTACACCACCTACGATAGCACCGACGTTTGGCCCGCTGCTGGGCTTGGACGAGGAGGTGGTTGCTGTTGGGTCGAGTGCGCAGAAGGCCCTCGGACACTCATTGCACGTCTGGATGGTAAATGAACAGGATTCATTATCGGCGCAAGAGGGGCAGGTTGGCGATGTATTTTCACAAACCACACATCCATTTTGTCTCTTAGAGAAGGAGGATGGAATATCTTCGTCTGATGTTTAGGTATTAGACAGATGTTGGAGGTGGAGAAAGATAGTGGAGAGAGAGCTAAACTTACCGATAGAGAAACCGACGAAGCCGGGAATGCCTGCCATGATTATCTGCAGAAGCAAAGTCGAGATAATGTACGAAAGGGAACCCAGACAATCGAGATATAGGCAACGTCGAATCGTCTGCTCGTCAGGGATCTACAGTAGGATACTCTAACGTCGATGAAGAAGTCGGCTTGGCGGTGAGATCGACCCAATGCAGATCGGTCTAACTGACTACAGCGCTTCGATTGGCGATTGATCCAAGCGTAACGTGCAACCAAATAATCGCTCCAACCTTTTCCAGACTTCCCTAGACTTGTTTAGATTTCCAGAAATTACTTGGCGATATCGGGTCGTGGTCGTCGTGTGTCGTGAATTAAGTGTTGATCGGAGTTTGGCGTAAAAAAGGGGCGCGCGATGGCGTTGGGCGGGTACGTGTCGCTCGTAAGAGGCGGGTTTCGATTTTGATTGATGGATTGATTGGAATAAACGAGTGACAGAGAGACTAGCTCAAAGAAATGAATTCGAATAAAATGCAACTTATGTTGCCATCAGAATAACATTTAAAAATGTCCACTTTAATATCGATTGCAACTCGTGCACGCGATATTGTTCTGTTTGGTGGGAATTGGCTCGAGTATGTGGCAAGTGGAAGATGAAGAGAAAGACGACGAGGATTGGAATTGAATCCCGCACGACGGAGTGGGCAGAGGGGGGTGGAGGAGTGGAAGAGTGGAAGAGGATAAGGGTGTGTGGACGGGTTGAATGAGACGGGGATGGAAGCATAAATGGCAAGGTCTGCAGAGCCTACAAGGTTTAGTTCGGCTTCATTAATTCGTTGATTGAGGGATAGCCCTGGTTTGTCCTGAACTTTCCAGGTTCACACCTGCCTTGACCTGCCCTGACTTGCCCTGATCTGCCCTGACTTCCCTTTAACTTCTTGGGCGAACTGGGCGAAACACCCGCAAGGAACAGGAACGAATGGAGCAGATTGGACAAATTTGGACCCCAAATTGCGGGCACACGGCGGGTACGTACTTCAGGACTGTCGTACGAAATAACAAAACTGCCAAATTAGGCGAAGCAAACTGGTCCGGAATGATCCCGTCGCCCGTTCTAATTGGTTCGCTAGTCGTTGCTAAATAATCTTTTAGCACTTTTTAATGTTCTTTCCATCCCATCTTTGTCCAAGAGACATTACGACAAAGCGTAATATGATAGGTCCTTGAGGTATTCGGTACGAAAATGCCAGGGGGCAATATGAAGCATTTCCACATTTTTTAAGTGCTCATACGATGTATCTACGTACCATATCTACATTGATATGCATTTCCAGTATGCGTATGCCAAACTTACATCAATGATCTATTATCAAAGAAAACAAAAGATATCTTAAAATAACGACAATAAAACTCAATGAACATTTACAAAGCTAGGTAATCAAACGTGAGATCTAAGGTTCTTACAATAATGAACGAGTTCTTGCACGAGCGAGTAAGTGTAAGGCCAGACCACGGGATCTACAGTCCCACGCAAATGGGGGCGCTCGATTGTGTACGAATTCGCTTGGCCTCCCTGCACGTGAGGACCTAGGTTATTTTGATTGAACTTATGTGTGTATTGCGTATACCACCTACGCTGCTATGCCTAATACTATGAACATGTAGGTAGTATGTCGTACTCTAGACTCCGAATCAGGTCTTGGTGGTGTACGGGCAATATATCTTTAAATGACCCGGCCCCTCTGCCGCCATCTTGTCGAATGGCCTGTCCGATTCCGGAATGGAATGATGTTGCCAGTCCCCTGGGTCGGACAATTAATCTGATCTAGGCGATTCATGGTGCGCGTTGCTGTTGGGCTGCAGCCCGATATCATCGTGGCTCCTGCTTCCCGATAGTATGGTGATTGACTGCCGGGTCTTCCGGGAGAAATCATGGGAAATGAAGACTGAGCAAATTACCTGAGTGCTGGCTCATGGCAGCAACCTTAAAATTATAAACTGGGGTGTTTCCCCGGATTGGAAGTAAAGTTAAGTTTGATCTGATTAACTTAGTGTGTGTTTGTTTCTATGAAGAATAAATGGCTTTCTCATGACATGCCAACTGACATGAAGTTATTGCCCTCCTTGCTTACCTAGCTCCTTAGTCATCTTAGAAAGTCTAGACCATCTGAACAATGCGTGATGAAATTAATAGGTAGGCTTACCTACCAGTATATACGTGTTCGGTCTCCGTTCCGACCTAGTATTACATAATTGTGATATTAAACTGCAACGCCTCGAGGGATGCCCTTACATGAGCCCTATCCCAAATCCCGGCAATGACTATTGGGAAAAGCAGAATGCTGCTTACTTCTGCACGTAATGTTTATGTGAAAATTCGAACAAGCAAGGGAAGTCTTAAGGATTTTCACTTCGATATAAAGAGGTATATCCATGGACGTGGAGAGGTAGGCAAGTTACATTCAAGCTTCTATATATTTCAATGTCTTCAATCTAAGGTAGGTATTGATCGCATGCAGTAGTCAGTTCTAAGGCTTCCCTTGAAATGAAGTATGGTATTAGTGTGAGAGACTGTTCGTGAAGCCGTGAGGCATTACGATTAAGTGAGCAACGTATAGCTACATCCTGGCACTCCCGCGTTCGCACCAAAGCTTCTCCCTGATTCTACAGGTTGGCGCTTACTCAATGAGCGACAACTAGATCGAATAAAGCTTCTATCTGGCCATTACCTCATTCAAGCACTAGCTACCTGTTCCGTTACAGCTAGGAATGACTAATGCAGGAAAACTATTACTCTAAGCTCAGAGCCAGATATAGTCTATATATATAAATAATAAGGAAGCAAGTAGCGTATCATATATCTAATAGGATCGGACTTAATACTTTCCATGTGACACTAGAAAGCAACCTTATATAAGTGCCGTGGGAGCTAATGGCTTAACTTACTTCTTAAACCATGCGCTTTCCGCAAGATGTAACGTTGGTAGGGCTAGAAGAAAATACCCACACGCCTAGAGTTGAGGATGACTATCTGTAGGTAGATACACTAGTAACTACGTCAGAAATGAACGAGTTTAAGGTAGTATATAGCACTTCATATTGGTTATATTTGTCTATAAAGACTCGGCATAGGATAAGCTAAAAATCCGGCATGAAGCTTATGTGAGATCGTGATAGGCGGTGCTTTCGGTGGAAAAACGGTATTGGTAGGAGATTCAAGCACAGCCTCCTTGCTCGTATCCACCGGAAGGGATCCGCCCCACCCAATGAGGCTTCTAAATCTCCATAGATCCATAATACATAGATGCCTCCTATTTCCTTGCTGCTATTTTTATCCTAAACGGACCCTTATTGGACCCCAGACGCGATGCACTTCAAATGTTACCCATCAACTCGACACGACACGTATTTTCGAAATAAATTCCCATTGTAAATAATCATCGTACAATGGAAATCTGCAACAGTAACGAAACTGAACCGCAATGACAATCATTTCTTACGACATATCGTAAACAAAGAGTTTGCATAACACACTCAGCATTATATACCGAGCACGATCTGCTAAATTCATGCGTCCACGTAAGGTACTCTGGAATTATGGGGCCCTGGTTTCAAGCTAATCCCATACTGCCCATAGCTGAGGGCGCCAACCGAAATAGCCCCTAAAATGTACAGTAGGGCTGTACGGTATGAAGTTAACGAAATTACTGTACTAGGTATCTACATATGTACGCGTTTGTCGCATGTGTCGCATGTAGCGACTAACCGCATGCATGTGTATTTCGTATTCTGAAATAAAATAGGTAACAATTTCATTTTGCATGCATAAAAGAGTTTTTGCCGGGAGAGACAAGTTTTTGATATAGGATCGCCTTCGAATGTCACGTAGACGAGTGAGTATGTATGTTGGCGGTGGTGATGCTCATGAACTGACTGACAAGCTGGCTCGTCTTGTCCCCTCATCCCTGCGCTGACCGTAGTCCAATGTAGCGCGTAGGCTATTACACTGGCAAGTTATAATAGTCGGATGCATTGCGCCTTGCTAGATTCATGCCATTTGCCAGCTCGCATTTGTGGCTGAAATCTGGAGAGGTTGGATCCGCTGAGAAGAGAAAAAAAAACCTGAACATGCGAGTCAAAGCTATCAAACTCCACTACTGCATGTCTCTTGTTAATTCTTTCTTCCTACTAACGCATTATTGCCACCGCCTATATGCTGTGATTAAAGGCAGGATGGAAAATTCAAAGAGAAAAAAAGACTTTGTAAAATTCCATCGGAAGGGTGACATCGTTGAGCAGGCCACGAGAACTAAATGCAGATAATATATTAGTGACGTAGGTGGTTGTTTGGTGGTATTCGTGTCTCTCTCTTGAGCAGGTGACGAATAAGTCAAGCACCTTCTGGACAGTTGAAAATATGTACTAGACCACAAACAGGGGATTTTCATCCAATCAACCTCAACTTGGCATCGGTACTAAGGTGGTCGATACGGAATCTTAGAGGCTAGAAGGCTAAAAAGTCTATCCTGTCTGTCCTGTCCAGCCTGTCTTATGTACGACAGCAGTAACGTAACGGCTGAGTCGCCTGTAGTCTATTGCTAAGCCACAATTAGGCCCTAGGTACCTTACCCATCAGCCCGCATTGAGTGGGTACTTGTGCTATGCAGTACCCTATCTTAGTACATTAGTAGATGTATTTTTTATGGGATGTCTCTTTTTCCTGCATATGTCTCCTTTTACTTGCTGGTACTTACGCATGGTACCGCATAGTACTGGTTTAGAGACCTCTGATAAAGCCATATGGGGTACTTTCCCGACGCTGATCCCGTCCCTGCCTGAAAACTGAAAAAGAAAAATACGAACTCCTGCCCTTTCTTCATCTTCTCCTTTAGAATCTACCTAACCGCGAACCTAACATATTCACATCCATATTCATCCATCGCCTATGTCTTCGAGCAAGCAGGGTGATTGATTCATCAACTCGCTCGATCCCCCGAATTCCCTCATTTTTATTATTTTATTCTAGTAATATCTAGACCTGCCTGCATCCCAGGCTGCCTTCGCTTTTTTTTTAATTCTTCGTTCGCCTGTGGGGGAACCTAGATTATCGCGTGGCCCCTGAACTTACGTGTCCGTGTACCGACCGGTAACTAAAGCGACGTCCACGCGAGTTTCGACTGAATCAAAAATAAGCACCATCATTTGTCGGGTTGTCATTTAGACTTTAAACAACGGCTGGTGTAGCCGACCGTCAAGATGGCATACAACGGTGGACACAACGATGAGTACAAGCGTGGAGATGATGAGTACAGCGGCCATACCCTTCAGGATATGCCCGCCGGCAGCACGGTAAGTAAATCTTAACCTTAACCATAACCATAACCATAATCGTACCCGTAACTATAACCATCCCGATGGAAAGGCCACGCAGCTAATTGCCAACTTAATTCTATTTAGTACCATCTACCTCCCCATGATCAAGATGAAGACGAGTCCCAGCGTCACCTCCTAGGCCAAACTCCTGGCCTCCACTACGAACAAGACCGGTTGGGCGCGCACACTCCTCCCGTGCGCCCAGTCTCGGCCTACAGTCTTTCGGAATCATATGCAACCGATGCACCTCCTACTACCCAGTCACCCGCACCTCAATATGGTAGCGAGTACGTCGGTGGGTACGGCGGTCATCAGCTTGAGGATACCGGTTTCGGATACGGTAGACCCGCATCTACCGTCGACAGCGACGAAAGCTGGCTGCGACGTCAGCAGCCCGGTGGCGGCGCCGGTGGCTTGAAGCGCTACGCTACTCGAAAAGTTAAGCTGGTTCAAGGTTCCGTTCTCAGTGCCGATTATCCCGTCCCCAGTGCTATCAAGAATGCCGTCCAGGCCAAGTACCGAGATGCCGAGAGCGGCAGCGGTGAGTTCTTGAACATGCGATATACTGCCGCTACTTGCGATCCCAACGACTTTACCCTGAAGAACGGTTACGATCTCCGGCCTCGGATGTATAACAGACACACGGAGCTGTTGATTGCCATCACCTACTACAACGAAGACAAGCAGCTGTTTGCCCGAACATTGCATGGTGTGATGCAAAACATTCGTGATATCGTCAACTTGAAGAAGTCGACTTTCTGGAACAAGGGCGGTCCCGCCTGGCAGAAGATTGTCGTCTGCTTCGTCTTCGACGGTATTGACAAGGCCGACAAGGAAACCTTGGACGTCTTGGCCACCATCGGTGTCTTCCAGGATGGTGTCGTCAAGAAGGAGGTTAACGGCAAGGAAACCGTCGCCCATATTTTCGAGTACACTACGCAGTTGTCTGTGACGCCTAATCAGCAGCTCATTCGACCCGTGGATGACAACCCCCAGACGCTTCCACCTGTCCAGATGATCTTCTGTTTGAAGCAGAAGAACACCAAGAAGATTAACTCCCACCGTTGGCTATTCAATGCTTTCGGCCGAATCCTCAACCCCGAGGTGTGCATTCTTCTCGATGCCGGTACCAAGCCTGGATCCAAGTCGCTTCTCGCCCTGTGGGAAGGTTTCTACAACGACAAGGACTTGGGTGGAGCTTGTGGTGAAATCCACGCCATGTTGGGCAAAGGCGGCAAGAAGCTGATGAACCCCCTTGTCGCCGTCCAGAACTTCGAGTACAAGATCTCCAACATTCTGGACAAGCCCCTAGAAAGTTCTTTCGGTTATGTGTCTGTGTTGCCTGGTGCCTTCTCCGCCTACAGATTCCGAGCCATCATGGGACGACCTCTCGAGCAGTACTTCCACGGTGACCATACCCTTTCTAAGATTCTCGGACCCAAGGGTATCGAGGGTATGAACATCTTCAAGAAGAACATGTTCTTGGCCGAAGATCGTATTCTGTGTTTCGAACTTGTCGCCAAAGCTGGTTCTAAATGGCATTTGACGTACATTAAGGCCGCCAAGGGTGAGACCGATGTGCCCGAAGGAGCTCCCGAGTTTATCTCTCAGCGACGTCGTTGGCTCAACGGTTCATTCGCCGCCTCTCTCTACTCTCTGATGCACTTTGGTCGTATGTACAAGTCTGGCCACAACATCATTCGCATGTTCTTCTTCCACGTTCAGCTTATCTACAACATCGCAAACGTCACGTTCACCTGGTTCTCTTTGGCATCGTACTACCTGACAACAACGGTTATTATGGATCTAGTCGGAACTCCTCAGGCTGCTAGCGCTACTAGTGCTGAACGGCACGGTTGGCCCTTCGGTGATACTGCTACCCCGATTATCAACATCATTCTCGAGTATGCGTATATTGCTTTCCTGATTCTGCAGTTCGTCCTCGCTCTTGGTAATCGTCCAAAAGGTTCTAAGTGGTCTTACATCGCTTCGTTCGGTCTCTTCGGTTTCATCCAGCTCTACGTCCTCATCCTCTCTGGTTACCTCGTCGTCAACGCCTTCCAACCGCAGAATTTGCCAACAGGAGAAAGCGCCGGCGATGCACTCAAGGATATGTTCACTGGTCAATCTGAAGTAGCCATTATTATCTTGGCATTGCTCGCGACGTTCGGTTTGTACTATATTGCCTCGTTCATGTACTTGGATCCGTGGCACATGTTCCACTCGTTCCCGTTCTACATGATTCTCATGTCGACGTACATCAACATTCTCATGGTTTACGCTTTCAACAACTGGCACGATGTCTCGTGGGGTACCAAGGGTTCAGACAAGGCCGAGGCTCTACCTTCTGCTCAGGTTGTGAAAGACGAAAAGGGTGAAGCTGCCATCGAAGAAATCGACAAGCCTCAGGAGGATATCGACAGCCAATTCGAGCAGACGGTCAAGCGAGCTTTGGCTCCCTTCAAGCCAGAACCAGAAGTCGAGTCCAAGGATCTCGAGGATTCTTACAAGTCTTTCAGAACTTCGCTGGTTATCTCGTGGTTGTTCTCGAACTGTGCTCTCATTGTTGGCGTTACCAGCGACAAGCTATCGACGTTCGGAATCGGGGTAAGTTTACTCGAATTATAAGACTTGATGATAAAGGAACGACCGTACTAACTAGAACATAGGGCACTACCTCTGACAGAACGGCGCAGTTCTTCAAGTTCCTGCTTATCTGTACCGCAGCCCTCTCTCTCGTTCGTTTCATCGGCTGCTGCTGGTTCTTGGGACGAACAGGTATCATGTGCTGCTTCGCCAGGCGGTGATGGCCATGTTTACCTAAACAGCAGCAACGTAAACGTAGTTGGGTTTCTACTAAGAATTATTATACCCCTGAAATGTGTACAAACGTGGAGCCCATCTCCAGGACCTGGCGTCGAACACTTGCTTGTTTCTAAGCTGGATAGATGGGACGAAGAGGGACTCGGATTTGCGAAGATACTAAGGGAAGGGGAAACCAGAAAAGTTGCGCGCGGCCTTTCTGCTGCGCCAAATGGTCCGTTAGATCGTGTGGCATTGTCTTTGGCGTCGTTGATTTCTCCTTTTATATACTCCTAATGTGCCTAAACTGAACTGAATAATCAGGACACTTGATACGAATGGATTCCGTTAAACTTGAACGCCTGTCTTTCTCTTGGGGGCATCTATGCATTTATACGTGTTTAATACTGTGACTGTTTTATGTAAGACTTGAATTCGTAAGGTATTACGCACTTTGTAGTGCAGGGCTAGGGAGCTCACCACCCACATTTACAGCTATCATATTAGAGCTACCCCACTATAATTATAGAAGTTGTGCCTGGAAGCTGCAAGTTTACCCCACGTCACAAGAAGTTAATGTCGAACTTAACATCAAAGTTCACCCTAACTTTTATCTTTCAACTTCCTCATCATATACAAACTCTCTTACCACCTATAGAAATTCAATGATACAGAGATAATTCGGTAACTCGACACACCGTCCTTCACCTCAAACTAGCATGGAATCTTTAGAAACGATACAAACCCGGCACCGCAAAGAACAGCGGGAGCTACAAGCGCGAATCACGAACAAGAAAAAGAACGCGACGAAGAAGACGCGGAAAGGCGTCAACGACGAGTGCGCCGAGCTCGAGCGGCAACTGAAGGAGAGGCAGGAGCGCGAACTCGCCGCTCTAAACGGGGACGCGGGTGCGGGCGCGGGCGACACGACGGCAGACGACGGACCCGACGAACAAGCAGGCGAAGAACGAGAGGAAGTAGATGGACAGGTCAACGGCACGAGATCCACGGACGTGATTGCACAGAAGCTGAAAGAGGTTCGATTTGACGAACCTCCGGAACAACAACATGGAAGCGATAGTAATGGCATAGGGCAAGGAGAACAGCAACAACAGCAACAAGGCAAAAAGCGCAACCGCCAAAAAGAACGCATGGCCCGACGCGCGGCGGAACAGGAAGCTGCGGCGGCCGCCGCGGAGCAGGAGGCGGCGAATATGACGGACCACCGCGAGGTCGAGAAGACGTACCTACTGAAGGAATTCAAGGCCCACGGCCTCGTCGAGCAAGAGATACGGCCCGACGGGCACTGTCTGTTCTCGGCCGTCGCGGACCAGTTGCTGAGTCGGGGCGTGCCGCTCTGGGTCGCGGAAGAGGAAGGGGAGGAGGGGGTTAAGGGGAAAGAAGGGATACCGCCGTACAAACTAGTCAGGAAGAAGGCGACGGAGTACATGGAGGCGCACGCGGACGACTTCGCGCCGTTCCTGGAGGAGCCGCTCGAGGCGTACACGCGGAAGATGCGGGATACGGCCGAGTGGGGCGGGCAGCTCGAGCTGCAGGCCCTGGCGAACGCGTACGGCGTCGAGATCAAGGTGCTCCAGGACGGGAGGACGGAGACTATCGAGCCGAGTGATATGGGCGAGGGGAAGAGTAAGAGCGGTGATGGGGAGAGGGTGAGGATTTGGTTGGCGTATTATCGGCATGGGTATGGGCTGGGCGAGCATTATAATTCGTTGAGGAAGGCTGATTGAGAGCGGGTTGCGGGATGGGTTTGTGGGATGGGGGATATGCCCATGGGAGGAGGGAGGTAGGAAAAGGAAGGGGCAGTGCGTGAGGGCTTGGAAGATGGGCTTAGCTTGTTGGCTACCCAGATAGTCTCTCGGGGGGCGGCCGCTATTAGATGGTTTTGCTTGAGGGCCACGTGTGGCTATCTTGGGGTGTATGGATGGATATGTGCTACAGTTAGCCCGTCGAGCACGTTTTATACATATCGAGGTACTTTATGCCTCATGATAGCTCCTGCGCATTAACAAAAAGCGTAATGCAAAAATGCTCCCGTGCACTCCTCTGCTTCATCCCAATGAATGTGCGGAATAATCTTTCTGAGAACGCAATCTAATAATTTTCTCTTGTCGGAGTTGTGGAAATTACCTACGGATTAACGAGAGTGGACGTTGAAGGTAAAAGGGTTGGAGGACAGTCTCCTGAATTCCTATCCCTTTCCCCTTTCTCATTATATATGAACTGTTCCTGGGAATTTATAATAAGACGAATCTTTTGAGTGGGTTTCTAACTGGTGATTACGACTTAGTATTCGTTTCTATGGCATGAGACGATGGAGCTAAGTCTTCATAGTAGAACATGTAGTGGCAGTTAGGCCTGTTTACTGAAGAGTGCCTAAGGTGTTTCCATGATGGTTGTACAGGTTTGCCCCAGGTATTAAATCATCGTGCTTAGCCGCCTGTGTCTAAGTAGCCGCGTATTCTCGTTTCGGCAGACTGCTCCTAAGGATCATTACGGCGGCACATATCTATTATATCTGGCATACAGTGAGAAACGGAATGACCGTTTGGAAATTGCTTGGCCTGCTTCATTATTGGAAGATACCTATTCATATACAGTCTGTTACTATGCTACCTCTATATATGGCATATGATAATTTGACTTTGGTTTCTTGGTTACATATGACCAAATATTGCCCATAAGAGGCGACCATGTGTAGGTCAGTGATCGAGAGCCACGTATAAATTTAGAAAGATAGCCACATGCGAGAATTATCAATGTAGGTAGATATTGCTCGAGCCCGATTACGATGGCGTTGCACTTGGTTATCGTGACTTTATGAGGTTTTCATGTAGGTGTGACTGTAACATGAATTCTAGTTTCTTAGTGGCAGACAATCCCGCGTTCAAAATTTGACTATTGGCGATCAAGATAGGGGCTCCGATCTGTTGCAGGGGATCATGGCGAGTATTAGTTACCCGCGAAGTCGAACATCGTAGGTTTTTATTTCTAGTTTTTGACAAGCGAAGTAGTTTCCGGTTCGGCTTCTTTCAAGTATAAATCCTCGTCTATTATAATGAAGTCCGTACTCTTTCTCCAGCTTGTTGCATTGGTTGTGGCTATTCATGCAACTCAATGTCGCGAGATTAACCCATTCCAAGTACCAATCCGAGATGTTCAAGTATCATCAGTCATACCGAACTCGTTCATGAGGGGGATTGCAGCAACCGTCGGGACACCACCTCAAGATTTAATACTTCTTCCATGGCCGTAAGTGACTCCATATTAACAATCTCCTTTTCGGATGGATCTCTTACAAGAATTCAGGGAGCTCAATAACACTTGGATCTATAACCAGGGATTCTGCGATGCGGTGTATATCTGGAACTATTTCTGTTGTCTTACGCGCCGTGGTGGTTACTACCTAGAGAGCGAGTCAACAACTTGGGTGAAGGCAAATGACATCACTCTCGCTGGTGGAGCGCCCATCGAGGCGGAAACGCAAAGAGAACTTGGTATTGGCAAACTTATCACATCGAGCCTTGGAGGAACGGACAAATTTACGTTCAACACTACCGGCAATCTCGTCGACTTTCCTGTTGGTCTACCAACAATGAACTGGGATGATGGTCCCACGATGCTTCATGCTATGGGGATGGGTACGAACTCTACGATTCTGAATGTCTTGTTCCAAACAAGACGCATAGGCTCTCGGGTGTGGTCCATGTTCTGGTGCCGTATATGGGCAGCACTTGATGGTAGTTCTCTTGATGGTTCCGTTGTGTTTGGTGGCTACGACCAACAGAAAACTGCCGGAAAAGGCTATACCCAACCCCTCGATTCCAGCGAAGATGCCGGGTGTTCGACTGGCATGGCGGTTCAGATCTCAAAGCTTACACTTCACAATTTCTACGTAGAGACTGCCGACCTCCTCGAGTCAAGTACCCGGATTATGGCATGCATCGTACCGCAACACGAACTATTGCTCAACGGTCCGGCGTCAATAATCGATAGTTTTCAGGATAGTACGGGACTGAAAGCAGTCAATTACTCTCACGGATTACACAGGGGTGCGTCCCAATACAATATATCCGAAGTGTATGTCTTCCGTCCAGTCCCTCTACATTCCATTTTAAGCTTCAAACATTAATCTTACTCCTCGTTAGACTTGGTGGCGATCTGACTATTTCACTTTCTATGGGGTTGGACATCCGCGTCCCTAGTAATCAATTTCTAGTACCATTAGAAGATATTGATGATGGTGGTTCTCGGGTGGTAGATACGCAGCAGCGAGAGCTCTTGATTGGTACCCTGACAAGCTCTAAGACTGCTACCCTTGGCCGCTATTTCCTTACCTCCGCATATTTAATGGTAGATTTAGATGCCAATAGCTTCACTCTATGGCAGGCCAATCCCACGACAGATAGCAAGCTCGTAGGCGTTGGTAATACCGGGTGCGGGGATACGACGCCCCCGAACCCAGGCACAGGAGCTGCGCCGAGGCTCTCTGGAGGTTCGATTGCAGGTATAGTCGTCGGTGTAACTGTAGGGACTACGGTCCTGGGGTTAGGTATATTGTTCTATATCCGTCGAATTCACTAGTCGCCTTAGAGCGATTAGACAGTAACGAGACCCCCGAATCTAAGGGATGAAGCAAGTCGGCTATCCGAACTTCCGGTATTGGACAGCACCAAGCCCTTGCACCACACAGACAATGAACTCCACGGATCGCCAGCTGCTGTATCTGAAGTGAATGGACAAGCCCGCCACATATGAGATAGTGGCAGCACCTTAAGAGAAGAATAACAATGCCTAAAGTTAGCGGGACAAGAAATTGCCTGATATCGCTCTTGGAGTCCGAGTCTTCAGTAGTAGACAGGGTCATAGACACAGCATCCGGGGACGCGATAATCGTTAGTGAGCACTAACTTAGCGAATATTTCTCTTCAAGCCTAATATTTTTGATGCTGGCTATATGTTAATCGCATGCTTATGAGCAGGTCGTGCTATTCTATACACCTTGGAATATGGGGATTTGCTCGTCTTCTTTTGATTTGCGCTCCTGTGGCGGATAGATAGCTTTCCATCGGAATCGTCTAAATAGTAATTTGAACCTAGACAGTCTTCTATCGTCGTGAACTAACCAGAGGACTACAGCCGACACTGCCCAGGTAGAAACTGCTATCGTGATCGTGATGACGACGAATAAAGCTTCACTGCTACGAATGCTGTCGTAGTCAAATATATCCATACTAAACAGGGACTGAAGCCAAAGTTAGGCTACGAGCTTCTTGAGGAAATGGGGTAACGCACCGAAACGTAGCTTAGGGGAAGATAAAATATGGTGACGATTGTAAAAACCAAGATATATTGGTTTAATGCTGTCGCCCGAGATGCCTCCCGTACTGAAGTGGCACTGAAGAGCTAGATGATCCTCTTAGCAAATCCTTATGTGTATATCGATGGTGGATCTTCTACGTACGCCATCCCTGAAACTTTTTATCTCCACTTCTTTCTTTTCAATACGATCTAGGAGTGACTTTGAAGAAGAATTGTGCAGAGTCATAAGTTCTTCCCATGCCTCGTCAATTTCCTTCACGAACATAGCTGGAGGCGCTGTGCCGTGACTCGAAGCAATGGAACTGCGGCGAGCAGTGTTAGACTGGACGTTAATATCAAAGTCTCGTTTGAGCTGCTGAAGCTCCCGTTCGCTCTCTTGAATCCACTCGGTGAATATCCTCAATGTCTGAAGGACTGTGAAGTAAAGCTTAGACCTCTCAAAGCTACTGTCAAACATCGCAGCGCCATCGCGTTTCGGATCAAACAGGTCATCGATCTAGGCATATTAGTGAGGGTCTAAGGCACTATGATGGACGTTTTTACCTTCACCCCAACCAAATTATCAAATTCGTTTAGGGTTTCAATCCATTTACGCCTCCATATAGGCAGGACAGAAAGCAGAACTTTAAGATACACGGCAACGCCCGTAAATCTTCCCCGACTCGGCATATCTAGAGGTCGTTCGCTTTCCATGAAGAGTCGCCGATACCCAGAGTCGCTAAGGTAAATAATTGTATATGATGGCATATCTGCCGTATGGGAAGCGACTACTGCAATAGAGAATCTTTCTTCAGCGATGCCAATATCACCTGTGCCGCTCAGCGAAGTGAGTTTTCCAGAAAAGCGAGCAGGACGAAGACCATTCTTCAGATGATACTGATAAGTACCCGGCAAATACTGCTTCCCAGCTAACAGGACGCGAATATGGAAATGAAGGTGGATCCAATTCGATGAGATCCAAACCTGGCTCGTTTGCATGAATCGTGGCCATTTGGATGCATAGCAACTCACGAAACGAATCGCTTTCCTGGTTGCTAGGATACTTTGTCTGGTGTCGCCGACAACACTCATTTGTGAAAGGACGAGATATATACAGGCAAAGCTCAGGAGTCGTCGATGAGGAAATATTTGCCTTGTTTTACGAATTAGCTCGCTGAATCCAGAAAGGGGTCAGTATACTAGCTGTACCATAACCGTCCGAAGACTCTGCCGTCCCAAGGGCAAGATCGATCAACCCGTAGTCTATCGTCATCAGGCTATCATGCACTATCAGCCTCATACTTTTGGCGGTTGAAGACTAAGGTTACCTGGAGCTGGCATAGAAGTGAGCGCTTTCCACTTAGCCAAGGCTCCCGAGAAAAGTGAGCCCCGGAAGAATCATAGCTTGATTGGTATAACAATGCTTTCGTATATCCTGGACAGTTTAAGAAGAGAACGGAGTCCGCAAACTCGTCCGTTTCGAATGGCACATCAGGTTCGTCTGGATTCCGGATTGACCTTCCTTGGTATAACCAATTCTCTTTGATAAGTGACACGACTTGAGTGACTTTCAAAGCAAGGAGTGACTCTTCTGTTTGATTAATAGGTTTCCACGGCACTTCTATCCCATGCGAGTCGTCATCTGTATGCTGCTGAACTATAAGGACGATATCTCCGTAGCGTTCCTGTTCCCAACCATGCATAGCATGCATTAATTCGATTGGGTCGTATGATCCAGTAAGAATATGCGGAAGATTGTATCTTGCTAAGAACATATCACATAACCGGACCGGATCTGGACGTAATGTGATCTGTAGATACTTCTGTAGCGAGGAAGAGCTGAACACGTCTAATCTTGGTTGAAAGAGGTTGGCGCTGGTCGGTGAGAAGGGGAACCCAAAGTCCCCATCATTATTGCCGTTGGCTCTTTGAAGCATATTTAGAAGCCGCTCTTGTCTCATATCCATCTCTTCAAGTCGCTGGAGAACATGCTCGAGACAGCGATCCCCACTATTTTGGTTCTCGGTTGACAAGCATCGTGAACAGGCAAGCCCCTCGTCCGAAGGAGGTTTGCATAATTTTGGTTTCCGTCTCCAACTTGAGCGTATTTGATATTGTCTTTTCAGTCTAGAAGATCGATGTGCATATTGCCCTACTTGGGAATAGGTTCGATCTATGGTAGATACTGCAGGCGAGCAACTATCCGATTGCCCTAGGGTCTGAAAGCTGCTGCTGCGGACAAGCGTGGTTTGGGTGGAAAAAGGAAATTGCGGATCTTCGGTTCCCATGTTGCCAATTTTGATAAAGTTGGGAATATCATTCAAATTACCTAACCTACCAACATCCACCATTGCATTGTAGGATAGGGCTTCGTCTTTTCAAGGCTTATGACACGCCTTACCCCTATTTCTTGGAGGCCATCTCTCGTAGGCTGAGCAGCTGCGCCTGCGTTGCATTGACAAATCCCATTGGATTCTACTTACATTTAAACGCCAAGCGTGCTGTACGATATCCCCGACATGGCCGACGTTACATTTGAGGAGACACAATGAGCAATCGATCTCCAAGGTCGAGCTGGTCGAGTAACACAAGCAATACTAGTAAACGCCATTCCTGCAGGATGCAAATTAATTTGCGACATGAAAGACGCTGATAACGAATAGCCTTTCTGAATGGACCGAATACTTAGACAATTGGGACCTGAAGGCTGAAGCTGCAGATACGAGCGACCTTTACTTTGAGTGATATGGCAATATGGTAAAATTTTATGAAGAATGAAGGTGTAAGTTCAGTTGTATGTGGGGTTAGAACTAGGGATGTGGAGGGGAGATGTGGCCGTGCTTGTCGCACCAGCCACATTTCCCTATTGCCGAGACGGGCCGCGCTCGGAGTGTTGGATCGCAACTCGCCGTTATCAGACAGATCTTACACACTATGTAGGTAGGCGCGACGGATAGAAAGTTTTATATGATGCTACTAAAGAATGCAATTGTATTTCTAAGCCATTTGCGGGTTCGGTCGGCATCTGCCTCTTAATAATCCATTTTCTTAGTGCCCCACAAAGAAATAGGCATAGACAAGCTAAGAAGCAAGAAAAAAGAGGAAGAGGGAAAAAAGTTTATAATCTGGAAAAGATGTTAGACCTTCGACTTCTCCAGGAAACCCCCCAAATATATATCTCATCAGCCCGAGTCTGATTTGACTTCGTTCCCCTTCCAATCCCACACAACTCATAATTTATTTCCGAATTGGGAAACAAGGGATTGTCGCTCAGAGTCCCGAACTAGAGAAAGGGAAGTCATCCGGACCAGTGGTATGACTAGATAATTGCGTGCTTCGACGCGGAGTTGGCATACTATACAACCAAGGCACCCATTCGCCAATTCATCTTTCGCCCGTCAATATCCCAATTCGCGGTCATGTATTCGAGACCCTGAGTCTAGTTCCGTGGGGGTTCATCCTGTGATTCTAGGTGGTCCAAACGTCGAAGCTTTGTCCAACGAGAAGAGGCGCATTTGATTCTCATCTATCGCCGCCACTCGAAGAGTTTATCCCCAGTCTGTGCTACTATCTGGGTTTGCGATACACCGACCATGATAGAGCAAACTTGAATTCGAAAAGGTTAAATACTCCGTGTCTTGTTAAGCTGTCATTGTCGTTCAAAATACACACTTCATTTATATATATCCCTGCTATCCCGTTACTCGGTTACCATAGGAAAAGGACGATAATTGGCAACAGTCCCGTAACGTCCCTACGTACTTAGCACCTGTCCGGACCGTGGAACTTACTAGCACCGAAAGTCTGGTACCTTACCAGGTTGCACATTCGTCGGTCGTTGAGCGGCAAATATGGGTTTATTGTATGTCACTCCTTGGGACCGAGATCCGGTAGACCAATATCGTGATACGGGACATTAACATGGTTTCTAGAGCCTTAGGCACGGCTCTTGATTGGCCGGATGCGCAGAAGCACGCGCAGAAAGTTAGGGAATGGGGTATAAAGGTAGCGCCTTATCGCATCCTACCTCATGATTAATCCGACGTAAGGGCTGACCCTATCATAGCAATTACTCGAAATATGGAACAAGGCTAAGCACAAGGAGCGAGATGCTATGCTGTGGGGTGATGAGGTATTGTTCACTTCGCTTTCATCATTCAGTTAACACCTTCGTTAATAAACCGCATAGGTAGAGTACTTGGTTGTGAAATATTCCAAAGATGACCCCAAGGTCCTCTTATCGCTTCGGCAAGCTGATATCTTGACGGCCCTGGCGGCCGATGAGGAACTTTCCGACAAGGGCGGTTGCGTGCCAGCACTTCAGGATGTTGAGTCGCAAAAGTCGAACCCATTGCCGGTATTCCACCCCGAGTTTGGTAGGTTCATGCTCGAGGCTACGCCTGGCAAGCCGTGGGGCATTGGATTTAAGGAGCTTTTAGGCGTGGAACGCGACATGAAGATTAGGTATTTTGATTTGGCTATCTATATATGCTTACTCACGGCTAACAAGAGTCTAGGAGGAGGATTGCTAAAGATCACATGCATTCTGACGAATATCCTATTACCCTCACGACGTTTCCTCGCTTGGGCGTCCCGGGTGTCTTCACAGACCCCTATTACCCAGCTTCTGGGCCGAAGCTGCGGTCACAGTTTGTGCCAGATGAAATTGCTAACCCACACATCCGATTTCCTACCTTGGCAGCTAACATACGCTGGCGGCGCGGGAGAAAGGTCCAAGTGAACGTCCCCGTGTTCCATGATGAGAAGACGCCAAACCCATGGAAGGATCCCACAGTCAACTACGATCTTCATAACTGGCCAGAGGACGACGATGTGAGGAATGGTGCAGCCCCTGATAACTTTATTCATATGGATGCCATGGCATTCGGAATGGGGAGTTGTTGTTTGCAAATCACTTTCCAGGCAAAGAACATCACCGAAGGTAGACGGATGTATGATCAGCTAAGCCCAATAGGTCCGATCATGCTAGCCTTAACAGCAGCAACCCCTATATATAAGGGGTTCCTAGCCGATACTGATGTCCGCTGGAATCAGATCAGTCGCGCTGTAGATGACCGTACCCCCGAGGAATTAGGAGAAAAGGTCAGTCCGCCAAGTATTGGCCCGGTCAACTTTGCAAGTACTAACCATTAACAAGCCCCTGAAAAACAATCGATGGCGTATTCCTAAATCTCGCTATGCGTCCAATTCCACCTATATCAGTACCGATGCGCGTCTGAGACCAGAATACTTTGACCCTAACCTCGTCATTGACGAAGCTATCAAGGCGGAGCTCCTAGAAGGCGGCATGGATGACCGTCTTGCAACACACTTCGCCCACCTATTCATCCGGGACCCCATCGTAATCTTTAGCGAAGATCTCAAGGAGTTGGACCTAACCAAGGCCGATCACTTCGAGAATATTCAAAGCACCAACTGGCAACACATGCGGTTCAAGCCGCCTCCACCCGGGTCCGATATCGGCTGGCGCGTCGAGTTCCGGCCGATGGAGATCCAGATCACGGACTTCGAGAACGCGGCGTTCGCGGTGTTCATGGTGCTAATTACGCGCGCGATCCTCAGCTTCGATCTGAACTTCTACATCCCCATCGCCAAGGTGGACGATAACATGGAGACGGCGCACGCGCGCGACGCCGTCCTCGAGAAGAAGTTCCACTTCCGCAAGAACCCGTTCGCGAATCGGCCCCCGCGGTCTGGCGCCGCCTCGAGCCAGGGCTCGCCCACAGCCAGCCGCCCGCCGACACCGGTCGGCCCCGTCGAGGACGAGTTCACGCTGATGAGCGTCGATGAGATCATCAACGGCGCGGGACCGGACGCCGACCACGATTTCCCCGGCCTGATACCGATCGTGGAGAGCTACCTCGACTCCGTCAACGTCGACGTGCAGACCCGCTGCGACCTGTCGACGTATCTGGACCTCATTCGCATGCGCGCCAGCGGCGAGCTATGGACTGCGGCGAAGTGGATACGTCATTTTGTGGCAGGACACCCCGGCTATGCGCGTGATAGTGTGGTCTCCGATCAGGTTACAAAGGACCTCGTAGCAGCCGTTGTGGAGATTGGCGAGAGGGAGCAGGAGGGGCGTGGGTGGAAGGATCTTGATGTGCCGGATGTGCAACGTTTGTTGGGGAAGTTTAGGAGTAGTGGGTGTGGTGGTGTTTAGACTGATTGGGCGGATAGGAGGCTTTGAATCGACCAAGGCGAGGTCAGGCTGAGACTCGGGTTGGTCAGGTAGCTATATGTACTGGAGTAGCTACCTACCTAGGTACCTAGAAGTTCGCCTGCTCCTTGGGCACATATACGACAGTGTTTTCGCGATTGGCGGATCTTCGCGCCGTGGCTGCTCATCTGCCTACCTCATAGCCACGTATGTATGTACATTGATCAAATCAAGTTTCTGCCCACCTAGGGTACCTACATGCACACGAGGGTCGCCCACATCAAATCACCTGGCTTCACGGTGTTGAAGTGGCAGAACTTGTCGGGGGCTTATGACTACGGTCAGATGAATCGAATACTGCTGGACGTCTCCAACACATAATCTGGTTATATGGCTAATACACTCCCCGACGTGAGTATAGGTAAGATGGAAGAGAGTAGAAGAGAGTCCTAGTGGGGAAAGCAAGCTTGGTGGCGATACGGGGTACGTATCGAAGTAGGCACCTATCTACCTAAGTACTACTTTGGAGCGTTCCTTTCTATCTTCCCCTCTTTTGACTTTAACAATTTCCTCTAGGATAACCGTTAGCTTCATTCGTCTTCCTTTCATAGTTTGAAACACCTGGTTGCATTTTGGAAATATCAACGTTACCAAAAACACTCTTCTCAAGCGACAAGGTCGGATTGGAAACCAGATGAGCAATGGAGTCCCACTTAAGAACCTCACACTCCCTCTACTCACGTGACCAACCAACATCCTAAACCATGGCGAACGAAGGATCTGGGTCTCAGATCCAGGAGGCTACACCGAGTACCACGATACCTGCGGATAAAGCTATAACGTATAGATTGCAAGGTGTACCCCCTAGGTTCAGCAAAAGCGGTCTAGAAGATGCTCTTAAATCAGCTCTAAATCTTGAGGCTGGCGTCACATTCAAGGTCAAATCTCTTGCGGACGATCCCTCTCCAGGAGTATCTACGAAAAGAATTGCCACTCTAGATTTCTCACGGAATCCAAAAAGATTTTCCGAAAACCCTATACGTGGAGGCTGGCCTATTCAAATAGGGGTTGATGATGTGATCCATTTCGATACCTGTTTTCAAGGATGGACGCCACTACACTCTACACCGGATGACCAATGCACCACTGAGTAAGTAGACCTATATCACCCTCAAGCGATAAGGACTGATTGGCGTAGCTTGATTGCAGTATCTGGTCTTGCAAGTCATGCCTTCGGGTCGTTGAAGGCAAGAAACGGATCGTATATGTGGTTGCGAGACGCCCTTCCTGTCCAGTTTCCTAAAATGAGAATTTTCATATATGGATTCGACTCCCAGTTGAAAGAAAGCGAGTCTACTCAGAACTATGACGATGTAGCAAACCGGTTCCAGACGAGCATCAGAAATATAAGAACCTTTTCACGGGACAATGATGGGAGACCAGGCCCTAGCCATCCAAGACCAATCATACTTCTCGGCCACAGCCTAGGTGGGATTATCATTAAACTCGTATGTGTCCCCGTCTTCTTAGAGAATGTTGAATTAATACCATGGCAGACACTGTATCGAATGGCCGAAGGTGATGAATATTCGGACCGAGTCAACCTGATGTCTACCTGCGGAATGCTTCTCTTCGGTGTTCCCAATTATGGAATGGAAATTAGCCACTTGGCTGCCATAGTGGAAGATTCGGCAAACCGGACCTTCGTCCAGCAACTAGACAAAACATCAGACATTCTGAAAATTATTCGAGACAAGTTCCCTTCTGTGCTTCCTTTCAAAGATGCGAGAATCTACTCCTTCTATGAAACGATGCATTCACCGACCGCCAAGATAGAGGTAAGTCGAGTAAAAGCCTGAAGTAATATAATACTGAGTTCATATATTATAGGATGACGGCAAATTGAAACTGACGGGGAAACCTGTCCAACTCGTCGACACCGCTTCCGCAACTTATGGAAGACCTGGGGAAGATGGTGGAAACCACATACATCCGATTAACAGGATCCATTCAGATCTAGTCAAATTTACCTCTGAATATGACGAAGACTACAAGCTTGTCTTGGGTTGCCTCCGAGACATAGAAAAGAACGCTTGCAGAATCATTAAGAATAGATTTATCTGTACGTTCAAAGTTCCGCATCTCCTCCAATATACATGGGATACTGTGAATAGATAGGAACCTAGATAGATACCCTACATGCACTTTCCCTTAATCTACTTTCCTGAAGATAAAAAGGGCTATGGCACCTTTCTAACTTTAGTCCGGCTTTCTAAGGAAAGAATGTCAACCATAACTATTCTGGACAAGGGATTAGAATCTTTATGGGGGTTTCCTTCTTTTTTCCTCGCTTCTTTTTGCAATCAGTTGCTATGAATGGTCTGTAATGTTATCTGCAGAGATACACTGCGTCGATGCGGGGACCTAGCTGAATACCTAGGTAGGAATTTGAAGCTGATATTTATTATGGCAGCACCACGGGATATGATTCGATCCCTTGTAGACTCCGTAAGGATAGGCAAGTTTATGGAGGTACTATCGACAGTTGATCAAAACAAACACAAACCTACATTACGGGCCTCTGCCGACAAACCAAACGCCTCCTGGGTCTTAGGAAATGTGGACTATCAACTTTGGGAGAACTCTAACAATTTTTCGGACAGTCGACCCCGAGTTCTGTTGATAACCGGGCCTCCTAAATGCAATATACATCAAGTCTTGACGTACATTTCGAGCATAACTGCACAGAAACCAAAACATTATGTTCTCTATTTCACCCATTCAGCCATAAATAAAGGAAAACCGACTTCAACACAGTTCATCCATACTCTCCTCTATCAAATCATAAGCTTGTTGCCGGCAGACAAGCAGATACCAGTCATCAAAAGTTTCTTGAGCCACACTATCGAAGGCATTATCAAGGAAACGAACGATGAAAATCAACTACTTCCACTTCTAAAGCAAAAGACTTCAAGTGGGAAGATAAATATGATCCTCAATGAAGCGGTTGACCAATGTCGGGCCGCTCTTTGTGATGTTCTTACTGATATGAATGAGTGCGAGATATTACTCGTTGTTGATGGCTTGGTTGGAGCCGACACTAAGGAACACGACTTCCTGAATAGTCTCTCTATATTCGTCAACAACCTACACCGCCTAAACCCAAAGGCTAAGACGTTGCTTACAAGCCAAGTTAAGGACGAGATAAAGGGATTTGGTACACTCCTTCATATTGAATATGACCAGGAAAGGCAAGGTTCGTGTGCGAAACCAGTGCCCGAATTAACTAATGAAACAACTAATAATCTGAAGAATGTCTTCGTAGTCTACGCTTCGACAATACTCGCTTCAAAAATATCTCGAAGCAGCAGTACGGCACTTTGGAATGGTTTTGGTCCTCCCCAGAGTATAAGGGATGGTCAACTGCGGAAACCTCTTCCATTTTGCTCATACAAGGGAAACCTGGCAGTGGAAAAAGCACCCTTGCAAAGCATTTCAATGACAATCTCAGAGAACGGGAACTGGCCACAGAGCCGGCTGTTGTAGCCAAGTATTTCTATAGTGCTAGGGAAGGCGAGCTCCATACTAGTCACTATAGTATGCTTCGGTCGATTCTTTTCGACATCATAGCTCAGGACGAGTCTTTCTTTTACCCAGCTTTTCAATCTGAGTATCGAAAGGAATTGAAGGGGCGTACACCTGGCACGCCTCTTAACTGGCAATATAGTCGGTTGAAAGAAACACTCTTGTTGTTGCGGGATCACAGTCCCGGAAAACAACTCTATCTGATTATCGACGCAGTCGACGAGGCTGACGATGAAGATAGACGCGATATATTCGGAATCCTATTTCGCATCTGTTCTGAAGCCACAGGTTGTATCCTGAAACTATTCATTGCTAGCCGGCCGGTAGGAGTACTCGATCGTCTGGTTATGAAATACAAGAATATCGCCAAGGTTCTAACGCTACAGCATTATACACGGTCGGACATTCGTAATTTCACTTGTTCTTTCGTCAGAGAGCTTGAATTCGATGAATACTACGAGGAAGCAGTTGAATACATTGTCAAGAATGCACAAGGCGTGTTTGTCTGGGTCGAATTGGTTCGAAGGCAACTCTTGAAGTTCAACGAGCAAGCGCGACCTATTCAGGATGTCCTTAAGTATCTGAAAGGTCTGCCCCTTGAGTTGAAGGCCATGTACAAACGCATGTTACAGGAACTTCTGAGAGAAGATGAGGACATACTTAGGCGCAGTAGAACGATATTTATATTCGTTCTCTTTGCACGCCGTCCTCTCGCACTTGACGAACTAATCCATGCTACTTGCACTTGGGATGAACATCCAGAATTTACGTCATCTCATACACTCCTCAACAACATGGCTCGGGCAAAGCAATTTTACATCACTGTGTGTGGAGGGAATTTCATAGAATATATTGAAGGTAAGAAACAAATATTAAGAGTTGTTTAAGTTCCTTAAATTAATGATTTCGCAGAGACTAAGACTGTTCAAGTTATTCACCACACAGTCCGTGAATTCTTTTTTACCGATGATGGCATATCAAAGTCCGTACTCTGGTCGAACATAGAAGATGCGCACATTCATATCTCGAGAACATGCTTACGATATATTCAACTTTGGTCGAGTAGCTTACCTTACATTGATGAACGAACTCCACAGATTCGAAGCCCTCCCTTTACTTCATGGACTTCAACAAACTTTGAAGATTGTGCGCAATACTTTGATGGGGCGATTCTAACACTCTTTGCCTTGGACTATCTCGGATTTCACATAAATCGCTGCAGCGGGAAGAGTGCTGTACGAGATGCCGTTTCGGAGTTCCTTGACAAATTCACTAATACTCCAGCCGCTTACCTTCTCAATGGCTGGCCAAGTTCATTTCTAAAACAAAGTTTCCCGAGTATCATAAACGAAATTCAAGCAGACCGTTTTATGGTTGAAATGTTACAAGCTGCTTCAACAAAACGGTTTTATACGACACTCCGAATGCTACTAGTGGTTGGATCAGGTATCGTCTTAAGCAACCGGAATGAACAGACAGCGTTGAAACTTGCGATACAACGTGGGTGCAAGGTGTTAAATAATCTGTGGGGACAGCGGACGATAGTACCGAATCCGCCAACCCGTTAATTCATTTTATGTATTATGATGTATATTGTATAAATGCATAATAAGCTTTAATTATTAATATTATATTTTATTATTTAAAAAAGTTATAACATTAAAAAACGTTATAAATTATAAAAAGTTATAATATTTTTTAATTTATATTATTTATAACGCGTTAAATTTAAATAATAAATAATTTAAATTTAACGTTATATAT